TGGTTGGGGTGATAACTGTGCTAAATTAATTTGACTAGAGTTAAGCAAATGTTCGAGGAAAAGACTGCTATTACTCAGTCTGCATTCGTTTTACTGACACCTAATGAAGATAGTACTCGATGATGCATTTAGAAAGATTGCGCTTCGTGTGGGTTGTATAACCAGCGCTACAGGAGCATGTAAACTGAGAAACATAGTTGTCGTTGAAAACAATAACTCGCTGTTCACGTATCCTTAGGTCAACTGTCAGTTGGAGGAGCTATTTCACAGTTCAACAACAAAAAAATATCCTAGTGATCGATTATTTAAGACAATCGATTCTTGATGAATTCCATTACCTTGTCGTCTTCGGAATTTCATATTCATGAGTAAGATCATCTTAGGAACTTTAAGAAGTTGTTATCGTTATTATTGTCAGTATTTAATCTTCGAGCGAGAGAGGGGTAACAATTAGGATAAATCCAACGGGTCGTCTGATCAGATTTTTTGACTTTATTGACCATTGAATCATTTTGGTTCCTTTTCTCACTCAGCATTATTCAACTTCAAAAATTTGATTACTGTTCAATACTGGTTGGTTTCTTCTAAATTGACCTTTTTTAATTGCAGTCCTGCCTTAAACTCAATATGGCGACAAAAACCTCAGGTGTTTTTCACTTTTGTTATCAACTTGATCGAGGAATGACAATCACTGGATGTTAGTGTAATATGTTACCAATTTACCCATAGCAGATGATGAAACCGTCATTTGTGTATCCTAGATCAGCCATGAAGCTATCTGCTAAATGTGAAGCTCATTGTTCTGTTTAGTCGACTTTCAACTAGTCGGTCAAGATCTCAAACTCAGTTCTATATACGGAGGTCTAGGCGGCTAGATAGTACTGTCACGCAAAAATTTGACTCAGTTGCTGTTGCTGGAGTTAACTAATTTGTAGCCAATTTATCAGAGGGTCTAGTGGTAAGCCTATTGCTACCCCGTTTTTTTGATGAGTCATTACTAAACTTGTATGATATAGGAACCGTGCATATTGCTAGATGGTGATTAGTAATACCAACTGAGATTGTTACTTTTGATGTATTAACATAAGAAATGTGTATGGTCTTTGTAAGTGGAACACTTATGAAGTGTACTAACGAATTGATGTCAACTAGAGAGAGAACCAATGAAAAGGTGACAAGACAGTATTCATTGTTTAATATTAGGAATCATTTAACCAGAAGCTCTGTACACAGCTTTCGTATTTGTCGATATTTGTCATCATTTTAATCATTGATTCTGGTCGGTTCTTTGCAGAGAACCAATCTTGAAGTGTGTCATTGTAAAGCGCCTGACCTTTGACATCGTCTGTTCGAGTCTCCAGCAACACATTAGTGTTGCAGACTTGCCTAGATGATGAGCACTGGAAAGAACTAAATGCTGGCGAAGCAAAACCTCCTTCACATTGGCTACCAACTTCTAGCTGTAAACTAGTTTCTTTTCAGTTGCTTTAGTAATCTAAGTGATGAATGGTAAGGTGGATTTCTTTTACACTTTTTTTTCTAGAGACTTACATATTTATTCTTCATTAGGCATCACTAATATACTGGAGCACAGTACTGCTGTTGCATAAGGAATTAAAGAATAGGTCACTAATAGTATGAGCTCAATCTCACCACAGGCTTTTGACAGTTTGCCTAACTTGAGCTGAATGTTTGTAAAAAATCTCCACGAGCTTTCAGAGTTCTGAGTAATGTCAGTCTAACATCATTTGACAATATTAGAGCAAGATGGATCCTAATATAATTCGTCATGAAATTTTCATGATTATACTATTGTCGATTATTTGGTTTTGTGAATTTCTTTCTAAGAAATTCGAAACCAAAGCTATTTTTCAATAATATAACCAGACGCTGAAGTTACACTTGAAATCCACAGCACAGAATTTTGTCTAGAATACGCTCATTTGTGAATAAGCATTGGTGAACGATAAATAAAAAACCTCGTATCGTGAGGTATCCGGGGGTTTATCGCTGCCAAAGCACTTTACGGAGAGTGCATCAACAGTATAACAGCATGGGAATATGAAGAACGCGTGCATGTTTCCACGATGAAGTCAAGACGTGAAAATAAACTAATGTTCAGGTTAACATAGAACATCGGAGAGTGACGAAAACGATCCCAAAACTGTCATGAACTGAGAAAGGAAATAATATCAGATATGTTAAATGATGAACAAGATGCGATTAAATAGCCAAGTTTAGGAAGAAGTAACATTGAAGGATCACATGATTTATGCTACTCAATAATACTAAGTAGTATAAAACTAAAAACAAAAAAGAAGTATTTCATCCGGTAGGCAAGAACATGGTGGGAAAAGAATTAACAGGTTGTCATTTTTTTGTCCAGGCATTTTGTTAAGCTCTGCATTAGGAAGATTTGATAACATTTATTACCAACTCTTAAAATAATTCTTCGGTATAGATCATTTTTAGTAGGTCAACGAAGCAAATGAAAACATTCCGGAATGAAAAGTTATAGAAATGGAATTATATTGAGTTGATGTGTTGTGGAACTTGTGGCTCAGTGGTTTTCTTGAGAAGACTACCAACCATTGGGCTACTGTTTTGAGCCCCGTTCCACCTACCCAGTAGTAACAGTAGTATTACTTGCGCTCGCACAATAAACATGGCTCATTGCTTAATGCATGGATGTACACAAGGTAGCTGAGTTACGTTTCGTTCGTCTTCCGTTTTTGTCCATGTGTAATATTTATACAAAACGATGTATGCATGCTTCAGTATCCTATAAGATGTATTGTAGAGCTGTGACTGAATTGTTTATACACGACTTCCAATCAGTTTGTGACATTTTCCAACCTCACTCCATGTACTGAAGTTTAAGACACTATCCTTCATACAGAAAGTGTGGGTCACTGTCTATTGCATAAACGTGCCTTTACCTGCCTAGTGCAGTTTGATAAAATATAATATTCATCATTTATTGACGAATATGTATACTAGTTAGCTAGTCAAAGAATTGATGTATGGCGTTAAAGTAGTCAGGGAAAGTATTTAAACTTACCGAAACTCCCTAGCAATCTGTAAATCTTTATCCACCTTTAAATGCATTGAAAAATAGTTTGTATTCACTGTGAGCTAGTCGTGGTTCTCTGTTGATTGCAAGTTTCATTCCAATTGTAATTTGGTTCAGATTATTTACCTTTTTTCTTCCCTTACTATTCTTTCGGTTCTTCTGTTTCCTGCAGACTGAATTCGCAAACAGATAGACAATCACCATAAAACCTGGCATAAAAGTGCATCACTTCATGTTGCCACACTACACAGTAGTACACAAAGAATAGGTGGATAGGTAAAGAGTGATATGAAAGTAGATAAAGTTATGTGAGAGAGGAAACAATTTGAATGTAAAGTTTAGCGCAAATATTCAAGCATTAGAAGACGTCAAGGAGTGAATACATTTGCATTACTGTTACCGATTTTCAGTTATGTCACTAAGATTTCTTAACCACTGATTCTTTTCGTCTCGGGAACCCCGACCAGGCAGTCTACATCTCCTTGGACAGATCATACCAGCAGTTAGCGACTTCCTGGACTTTTGCCAGGTCTTGGTCTGGCCACCCTGAACCCTCTTTCAACCTAATCCAACCTCCCCTATCTGGAATGGAACTTCAATCTAGGCGGTAACTCGGCACACGCAACACATGTCGTAATTATCTCAGTCAACTAAGGTTCGCCTGACCTCAACATTACTCATATGGCGGTGATTCCACCAAACACGAGCAATACTACGAAGACATCTATGATCGAAATGCTGTAGCCATTTCATTTCTTGTACTTTTAACGGCCATGTCTCATAACTGTATACGAGGAGAGAACAGATTGCAGCCGTGTATAATCGTTTTTTAATATGTAGTCAAATATCCCAATTGTTGGTGCAATAGATTACTCAGGTAAATTGACAACTTCCATAAGGGTCTTCTGTATCCGAGCTGAGATTTCATCAGCAAGCAACTCATTTTGGCTGATACAAGATTTTATCCTCGAAATAAGTTCAGTGGTCACTAGATTCTACCACTTCACTCGTTTTCATTAAATTGAGAAACCTGTTTTGTAAATCCTGGTAATGACTGTATCACAAGTTGATGTGAGATTATCAAACTTTTTGAAATGACCAACGTTTAATACATCTTTGTTTTCTTAATATGCTACCTAATTTTATCAAGGAGACTAACTACTTTATCCCTTATTGTCCAAGATATTGAGGATCCTTAGTGTCTCTTTGGTTAGAGAATCTAGGTTCCTTCTTTTTTTGCTCATTCTATAACCGTTATAATTCATCGTCACGAGCTTCTTGCTACACCAGTATTTCACTTTCGTTAAGATTTAAAGGATACCAGACTTAACGGACGACATTATTCCACTTATTAACTGATTATCCTTTGTCTAAACTCATTTGAATTGTCATTGTATTGGAGTTTTGAGATCATAATTTTGAATGTATTATATTACGTATCATCTTCAAGTTTACCACTTAATAAAACCTTACTTTCAAGTGTTTATAAGTATGTCTATCGGTTTCAAGCAATCAACTAGTTCTACTGACAAGTGAAATTTACTACTGGGAAGGTGGTTATCATTATTTGTTGACCTGTTGACTTTCACTGTAGTGTAATAACAATTCCAAAATTTGAAATACAATTCAGTGCTTGATATGTCTGATGATCCAGAGTTGACTACTTCGAATATTTGCTGTGACCTAAGATTTCCTTTCCTTTATCGTCAATCATTGTACCGTATCAATAATACCATTATGCTAACCTGCGACTAAAATCGTCTCGACGGATAATGAGCTATGTTACATTCCTCAGTCATATTGATCACATGATTATGATGATGAAGAAGATTACTGCATGCTGTAATGTTCGTGCATATCGGTAATGAGTATTGTGCTAATAATTCTCCTTCTTTGCTAACTTATCAATATCCCTCCATTTTTATAGATGACAAATATTTTCAGTTCATCGATGCGTGTTGAACTGGTTGATCGTGATATACAATTGTTACAAATTGCTAGTTGTGTTCTACCACCGGATGAATTTATTATTCGCTTAATACATAAATTCCATTTGGGCAATTATTTGAAAAGGTTCGTTTATGAGTTATTGTTGTTGTTGTTGCTTGTTTTTCGGTTCAAGTAGACTTTAGTGACGGCGAATCATGTTCAAATATGCACTGGCCAATCGCAATCTAGAATGTGAAAGACAAAGTAGTTATTAGGGAAAATGGTATTTTATTACAATCCATAGATCTGCTTCACATGAGAAATAAAAATAAGTAGATTTTCAACAGGTTTATCATCTTTGAAACCATTATATTATAATTTGTCCCTTGGGTTCCTAGTGGAACATGTGGATTCAGTAGCACGTCCCCATTTCACTCTCTTCTCTGCAGTCATCTTGACCTTGCTCCACAACTACCCAGAAGCTTTCATTTCTTCCTCACACCTTCTCCTTCATGTCATTCTCAGCTGGGACGACCAACTTGTTGTTTCCTATTCCGCCTGCACTCGAGGGCCTCACCTGGCATGAGATGTGATGTGATATGCCCGAATGGTCTTCTCAGTGTATATCCAAAACAATCCAATTCATCTCCACTTTCGTCTTCTGCATATTTTGTGGGCGATAGGTTGTTGGTCGGTTAGTTGGTTCGTCGCCAGCCAGCCAGCCAAAGTGAGTTTCTCATTATTGTGGCCATCTGATCATCTTCAGTGAGAATATTGAGTGAGTGTAGGCGGCAGCTTTTGAGGTGATGTATGTCCCCGTAGTTTGTTGGAAATACTTTTCATGACGCGCCAAGTCTCTCGTCTTTAACCTTTATAAATATTAATACTAATGTACTGTATGATCAGATATATGTTAAACTGGAATGACAGTTTACGTAATCGAGGATCCTATCTAGGGTTTCAAGTTTAAACAAAGATATCCTATATTCAAGACAATCTTTATCATGGCTAACATCAATTAGAGAAGCATCCGTAGCTTGAGAATACTGGACAATTGTTTCGATAGAGTTTGGGTTTCCTCAACATGACTTCATGGTGTCTGTGAAGCTTTGACGATCCTCTGTTTGATCCCTTTCAAGGTGGTAGACACACTGCTGAATAGTCTCCAACTAGATGAAAACAATTGTCCAGTACTCTTTGGCTATCATTAGTTTTCCAGATGATATGAAACCGTGGTGAAGGCTGTATTGAAACCAAGTAATCCCCATAAAGCATTAATTAATGTACTTTTTGTATTAACTGCAGAACCACTGTTACTATTTGAATTAAATCATCAACAAATTTTTTTGCTTAAAGTTTCTCTTTGACTTTATTATTACCGTGGACAATAAAAACGTTGATTGCAATTTGATGCCGTATTGGGATGACAGTCTATTTAATCGTGCTAATATTCTTCTGTGGTAATTTGTTACTCCTTACTCTAAACTAGGCAGTTGTTATGAGCTAAAAATAATATATATTATTAAACGATGAATTTCTTTTTCCCTCTCGATTAATGTTATTCTTTCTTTTTCTTCTTTCAATATCACTATAATTTTAGTGAAACGTGTATGAAAGAACCAGGACCAGGTCGTGTGCATGCAGTTGAAATGTTACTACGTATATTACTTTCATGTATTACTAATCGGTCTCGTCCTTCTATCGGTTGCTTCACAAAGGATTATTATGCACTCGATAATAAAGATACTAGTAATGGATATTCCAATTATCTTGATAACATACTCCTTGATACTGACTCAGAATTCTACTATCCTAATTTAATCAATGATGTCATTCATACACTGTGTTTAAAATCTTTAAGTTATAGCGAATTATTATCTGCTCTACCGTATCAAAGTACAAATAGTTTATTGTTAAATGTTACTATTGAACAATCGGATATATCACACCTTCATAATAATCAATTTAAGGAGTCTAACAAAGAAATAACCTTAGATAATAAAGTACAACCTGGATCATCATGTTCAATAGATATTGGTCCAAGACCTGTACCACCAGCCTCTGTATCACGAAGTGCTAATAAACGAGCTATAGATCAAGCACTACCTAAAATATTACGTAGAGTAGCAATTCAATCATCTATCAATAATCGTACTGTATTTAATCTACGACCAGAGTTTATGGCTTATCGTTTTAATCGCTTTTATTGGGGATATCGACATCCGGAACAGACAACTGTAAGTAAAACAATATTATTAAACATTTTTGATATGTTAATGTTTTTATTTTTACAATTGCAAGATCAACTTATCACAAAAGATTCAATTATGCTGGGTATCGTTGTATATTCTCTCCGCTGCGCACATATGGAACAAGTATTGAATGACTCTTATTACACTCATTTGATGTTGATTTGACAGTCAAAATCACCCTCCACTTTAAAATATTAATTTTTCAGACTCACTTTATCTTAACTGATAGTTTATGAAGGGATTACAAGGGTCATTGATGTAACTTCCAAAGTAGATAGGTATCTCCATTACAATGCATAGATTTGTCCACAAATCTCCGCGATTCAGGTCGATTATCAAACATATCACTTAAAGTTTTTATTCACTGGTTTCTGTTTTCGAGCCAACGTCAACTGGGAAGCGTTCATTTCTTTATGCGGCTCAGATCAACAGTCGAAGACAGATTATATAAATTGACACCATCTTTTTGTTTGGTTGCCTGTGACATTTTTGTAGCCTAAATCTACATAAGCTAATACTACGTGACAGAGCAAACGGTGACTCTAGGCATACGGAACATATATACAATCCACCTCTTATTTTTAGAGGAATATAGTAATATCCAAATCGATTAATATTGTGTAGTCGAATTTCTTGTTTCCACCGTAAACGAATGTGTATCTATGGCTTCACTAAATATTTCAACTTGAATCTGAAATCCAATAATTTTTTCTCTTCAACGGTGAGTATTTCGAATATAATTTAATATGATTTCAAATATAAGTTCATGTTTTTTTTCAGCTAACATTGTGCAATGAGGCGGACTATAATTAGACATGTGTAATATATGTCCTGGTCCCCTCAGTCTATCAGCGTTTGCAACCTCATCAACTGCTCTTTCTCTTCGCCTTAAAACTCTACATTTGACTTCTACATTAATGATGACGTGACACTGCAACACAGCTTATACTACGAAGGTGCAACAGTGGTCAGGATAAACTTACTATTTTCGTGTAATCTGTTTCAGTGAATAATATAATACATTACATCCACTTTGACCGTATATTTAACCCTGTCTTATGATACAACTATAAGGAATTATCGTTAAAAGTAGATGTGAAGAGATTACAAATCTGTAATTACAGGTGTTTTCGTAGCATTGCTTAGGTTGTGAAGTTTCATCGACTGAAACGACTTGAACATGTTCTGTGCATTTTTTTTTTGAGATATGGCCTACCCTAATGTGAAATATTAACTGAAATAAGATTGAGTAAGAAGAATGCTGTGGGACGACTAGTCCATAAAGTGTCTGACTGTTGTTCTAAATCATCTAGAAAGGCATGGAGTGTTTCTTTCGAGATAAGAAGAATCAATGCTTGTACCCATTTATAACACGCCTAAAAATCCATTACATTGGTGAAGAGATGTATTCACTCCTTGTTCTATAACCCCAGTTGTCACTTGTTTCATCCTTGTAATGGCTACTTGATATTACCTGAGTTATGCATGTATGTGTGGACGCTTTAATAACAACCTTTAGGTTCCACTCCTTTTTTTGTCTCTCAATTTCTCGATAAATGGGAAAAGTAGTATGATAACAAGAGGTAGATTACAGCGTCAAAATACATACAAAATACAAGGGGGGTTATACATATTTTGCAATGGCCTTGGCTATTTTTAGGCTCTCAGGTTTCCAGTATACCTCCAACTAATGTTAGTTTATGGTGAATTTCAACCTGAAATCAATCTGATATTATTTACAAGTGTTTTCGCCTGCTTTCTCTCGGAACTTTGGAATAAAACGACTAGTTGAAAAAGGCTTTGTATGGGCTTATGGCTTCTTATTAAGATTTTGATAATCTTATTCCACAATATAACACTTTGAAATGTTCGAAACTTAGAATATTTTCAGTAACTTTCATCTTCAATTTTTTTTTCCCGTCATACACATTTGTTCACTTTGGTATCGCTCTTTTCTTATCCATCTGTTTTTTTATACTACTGTGAAGTATGGCAACTTAATCCATTGACTTGTGTATTGTGTTTCTACGTTGATTTTGTTTGTCTGTATATTTAGCAATCGTCTTTTTAGTTGAAAGGTTACTGTTTACAGAAAAAACAGTAGTATCTACAATTCTACTGGGAAATGTTATAAGTTTAGATTAATTAAACGTAGAGTTTACTATTGTTTCTTGCAGTGTCGTCACATAATATATCCTTTTTTCTTGAACTATCAACTTTTATAGGCTGAAGCAAATGTGTCTAGGTGTTTAAAGAAATGGATACAAGAACAGAATGATCCAGATTTGAAGAATTTGCCTATACCACCGCCTGCACCTCGTCCTTTACACAAATTTGTACCATCTGTGTATCCAGGTCCTTTAAAACTGCTTCGATGTGTTACATTGTACGTCTAATTAAAAGGCTATTGGATATTGGATATTTTCATGGAACAGCAACCACCTGGTGGTCATACAACCTACTTGAACTTCTGTTACATCTAATTACTGTTGCATTATATGAAGATGAATTAGAAGGGAGGTAAGCTGTTTCTTACTCTGTTTGTTGGATCATTCCATACAGTTCAGTCAATCGTTATGTATATGGAACCTGCGGTTACTACTGCTTATCAGTTGTAGTTGTCACACGATAGAGGGCAGCAAGAGGATTGATGAAGAAATAAGGATGATAGTAGTCAGTAGTGATGGGAGGTCATATGAAGAAAGGATGAGCTGATTGAACAATAAGCATAAACACGTGATATGGTGATTAGGATGCTCCATTGACATGAATTCTGAGCTTTATCAACTGCAGTCTCCAAATACCGATTTCGGCTCTCAGGCGCAACCTAATCACCCAGGTTAACATGTAATGCATGAACTGATTACATGTTGTAATAGAGAAGCCACTAATCTTTCTTCATTTTTAACCTAGTTTAGCTGACCTCGTAGATCGGGATAGTCAGCGACTTAGTACAGGTTCTAACAGCATTATCTCCTTTCCCTAAGACGCTAAGCCTAGCTTGTGTGTTATTAACCCGATGGTTTCGCAATACACAGCCTATGCTATGAAGGTAGCAGTTGAAGAACATATGAACCTTTTCATTAGTTCTACTTTTTATGGATATGTTTTACAGGCATGCATTAAAACAGAGAGGACTGTAGTACATTACACTCGACCCTTATTATGTAATCAGGTATTATAGTATCTCCATAAAATGGCATAAGTTGGCGAAAGTTATGCGAACCCTTTTCGGTTCAAATAAACAGTCAGAGACTTCATAAACTGATGATATGTTTGCCTCTTGTCCTGTTTCAACTTTTCTCAACGTGTTCTTACTCAGGGTAAAATCACTCCTTCAGCGTAGACGATAACTGAGCGTGTTCAATTACTTTGGGATTTAAACTTTCTCTTAGGATATTCACCTCATGGTTCTTTTCATAGTCAAGCATTTAGCGTTTAAATTTCAGGATAACAGTTCTGCATTTATAATAGATATCTTACTAAGTCATTTTTCTTTGGTATTAAAAGAACTTTCTATGCCGAATTAATGCATAGAATCTCTAGATAATTGGTTAGTCACAATTGATTTACTGTACTTTTTAGCCTTTATACGAGAATCGTAATCCACTCAGCAAGTGTATGCACGTTAATTCAGTAGGTAATGAGCCACACCTATTGTGTCAAGGCTAATGATTCTATCTCTCTGCCTAGACTTCGGTAGGTAGAATGAGGTTCGAACTCGTAGCGCTTCACTGGAATACCTAGATCCAATGAACTGCTATTAAACATACGTAGTTGAACATTATTGTCAACAAATGCAAATCCTTTCCAACCTTGTACAGAATATTACGTCAACTGATGAAACCAGTAGGGTTATAGTAAATTTTAGAAAAAAAATTATTGCTATGTTGAAGTATCGCGCTTATCCGTCCATCTTTTATTTTCACCTAAATCGCAACAAAATCACACTAACAAATAGCTTTCTTTATGTTATCTCCTCTTTTTTTTGTCTCATGTCGTTTCACAACTAGTGATATGATTAGTGTATTCGTAGAACTTTGGGGCTATCGTAGGGTGACAACTCTATATCTTTCATATCCTGTTTATTTATAGTTCTCCATCTTCTTCTAAATAAATGAACTAGATATTAAGTTACTCCCTTTATCCTATTGATTGATTATATATGATTGCATAAATACTTTTCTGTTGATTTACTGCCTTAGTAGAGTCCACAGTCCTAGGTTTGGTCAACACTTTATGCCATTGTCCTAATTGACTTAATCGACTACCTCGAACTATATACAATCATTGCTTGAAGTTCATAATGCTTTCTAATGGGCTCTTATTGAAATTTTAGGTTTATGCGCCACCCTAATCTCGGTCAAATCGAGAATTTCTTTTACTATTTGTCCCTTGGCTTCCCAGTGGGACATAGAGCTTCAGCAGCACGGCGCCATTTCACTCTATTCTCTGTAGTCCCTTTGGTCTAGCTCCACAACTGTCCATAAGCTTTTGAAGTGATGTATATCTCTGTAGTTTGTTGGAAATGCTTTTCATGACGCGCCAAGTCTCTCAACCATCACATAGAAGCACTAACTCGATTGACTGACACTAATATTGAAATCCGCATCTTATTCCCGCTTTATGCTGAATCAAGTGGAGTGGGTAGACCACACTGATTATTTCAGATTAATGAAGGCCTGTCTTGCTATCTTTTCAATCCTGGCTTAGACATCCTCATGTGTGCCTGTGCCGCTGCCTTTAGTTGAAACGATGCTGCCTTGTCTAGGTAGGTGAAGGAGACAACTTCCTTTGGATTTCTCTTTTTGATGGTGGTTGGTGCTTGTTGTTGTTTGTTAGGTATCTTCATCACCTGTGTTTTCTCTACGTTCACCTGAAGTCATTCCCATCTTCGCTGTCTTTCTTTATCTGTCAACTTATTAGTTTTTACGTGTAGATGTTCGAGTTTGTGCGATAAGATATTAGACTTAAATCATCATCGACAAAATCTAAATCTTCTAAGATCTTTCATCGGTCCAGCCAGCGTATGTCCTTCTTCTCGCTCCTCACAGGTTTTTGCATGATCCAGTCGAGTCGACCACAATCAGGAAGATCATCGGTGATAGTTGGGAACCTTGTCTTTCTCCTGTCTTCACTTCAAAGGCGTCACTGAGCTTTCCATTGTGAATCACTTGACATGTAGCATCATATAGCATATAGCTGTTGAATGATGTTGATAAAGGTTCGTGGCACTAATACCGTAGTGATGAAGCAGCGCCTGCCTAAATACTTGTCGGCAGACGCTGCCGCAGGCGTTTTCACAATCGATGAAGTTGAGGTAGGAGTTGACTGGGATTCTATGCTCTGTTCTATGATGATGCGTAGCGTAGCGTTTCATGCTTTGTTCTTCCAGAAGCCAGCCTGTTCTGGTCGTAATTTTCAATCCTGCTCATCCTTTAGTCTTTCCAGGATGATGCGGCTTAATATTTTGCTTAGGGTGGACAGAAGTATGCTTCCTCGCCAGTTCTTCCATAGATTTAGGTCACCCTTCTTTGAAAGTTTTACAAGGTAGTCCTTCTTCCAATCAGTCTGCAGGTACCTTTCCTTCCTTCAAAACCTTGTGCAGTAATGGTGTGAGTATATCCGATGCTGTTGTGTCTGCGTCTATTTTCGGTGCTTCTGGCGGGATTCCATCTGGGCCTGCCACTTCCCTGGCATTATGGCATTCAGGACTTCTGCCTTTGTTGGAAGGCTTGTATTCACTGATAATTCTGTAGCTGGTGGTGTTTCTGGATGAGTTGCAGGTGGTGGTCGGTTCAAGAATTTTTTGAAGTGGTCTGCCCATTGTTTCCTTTGTTTCTCCTCTTTGATGGCAACTAGCTTTCCTTCGCTATCTTTCATTGGTTTCGTCTGGGTTGATCTGTTCTCAGACAGCAAGTAATCTGGTTATCTGATACAATGTTGTCAGGTCTCTCCTACCTGCAGCCTGTTCTGCTTCACTTGCCAGTGTGTAGTAGAAGTGTCTTTTGTCTTTGCGTGCACTCTTCTTCACTTCCTTGTCCAGTGTTTTATACATTGTACTTAGTTCCTCTTGTCGTTGAGCATCCTTGCACTGCACTGGTTTATCTTCTGCTTCATCATCCTCCTCGCCCTGCTCTATCAGCTTCCACGTATCCGTCGAGATCCATTCCTTATCTTCTTTCTTCTTCCTTCCTAATACGGCTGTGCAGGTTTCTTTCCACATCTCTTTCAAAGAGTTCCAGTGTTCTTCCACACAGGTTTCTTCAGAGATGTTGCGTAGTGTTTCCCGTTTGTTTCTGATGACTGACATGAAGATGTCTTTTGTAGTTTCGTTCTTCAGTTGAGTTTCTGTTCTGGGTGGTTGTTGAACTTGAACTGTGGTCTATCGCCAACTTCTTCGAAGGCTTTCAACTTGATTTTGAAGGTAGATTCCTTGCACTAGATAGTGAGTGGTGTGAAGCTGCATCTGCTCCCCTTCTTGATTTGTGTCCAGTAGGCTTCGTTTCCAGTTTCTTGAGATTGAGATGTAGTCGATCTGATTTTTAGTGTGTTCATGTGATGAAATCCATGTCTCTATGTGATGAGTATCCTTGTGTTTGTACACACTGCCTTCAATCACCAAATCGTTGAATGCGCAGAAGTCTGCAAATAGTTTTTCATTCTCATACATCATTTAACTCAACTGTTTTTGATTGATATAAGAGATGATCTGAAGTCAAACTATTGATTCGAGTGGTTGAGTTTTCTGTGGAAATCAGTGTCTACGTCTTCACCTTGTATCCTTTTTATTCTGCATAGCTAGTTCTCCTTCATCACTCGAATTCATAACTAAACTGAACTGCATCTACATTTATCAGTGCCTCTGATATCTTAACATATCGACCAAGTAGATCGGTCAAAAAGACATTCACTGGAGCACAAATTTTTTGTCAGCTTCTCAACCAAACCATTACTGACACAGCAAACTAACGATAGGTTACCTATGATGGTCACTTCAATGTGCTTTTATGGGTTCAACTGCTCCTGTGGAGCTAGTTATATAGGTTGTACTCAAAGGGTTCTATGTACGCGCGCTCGTGAACACGTACCATCTCGGTTAGGGAAAGGAATGACAAAGAGCATCAACAGTTCAATCCACTCACATCTAGTAGATCAAAGTAGATCACGCCTTTTTTGTATCTCTTGCAGTCTGTTTAAAGGTGCACGACTTCTCATCTTATCCATCACCGAAGTCATAGGGATCAATGCAAGAAAACCCGACCTGTGTGTTCAAAAGAAATATGTACATCCACTTTGTTTACCTTTCTTCTGTATTGTCATTACCTTGATGAACATTCATTTTCTTATGTTATTAGCTTTACACCTTTCTTTATTCATATCACAACCTGTAGTCATTTTCAGTCGTGATGTAACACTTCATATTTGTTATTCTCTGTTTCACATGATTGCCTTCCCACTTGAATATAACTCATTACTACATAATTATTATTTGATCCTTTGTAAACAAACACACACACACACACATTCATGCACCAATAGATGTATATAAATGAATCATCATCTGTAGATTTATCTCCTCCTTATTTCGTAACTGTTCTGACAATAGTGATTTCATTGCATAACTAACACACTAGACTGATAACGATTCCACCGTTCCATTAAATTTGATATCCATTCATCTATAACAACACTGAATGTTCCAATATAGTAAAAATTGTACATCATGCCTTCTTATAGCTATTGTATTTCACTTATTCTCATGGATTTATAACTGGAGTGCCTGAAGAAGAAGTTATTGAAGACAATGGCTCACTCAAATTACTCTTGTTTTGAATTACCTATGACGATTATTTTTATTTATTGATGTACTTGTCATTCTCCGTTGTTTTATTGGATCAAATTGTTCGACCTCTATTGGCGTTTGGGCTCCTATACGGACGCCTTGATATTGCCTGAATGTCAGTTGTAGTGATTTGGTTGGTTGTGACTAGCAGACGAGTCCAGAACGCATTTTTCGTCCTATTTAGGGCTTTTCGGCTGGATCTACCTGCACCCCAGTGGGTGGTGTTTTTCTCACTGAGACTCGAACCATGTACTCAAACTCCAAGGTGTTAACCACTATGTTGCGGAGGAAAGATAGCCACTTGTTGTACAACAAGTAGTAGTTATTACTATTTACTGATGTACTATTGATTCTCTGTTGTTTTATTGGATCGAATTGTTTGACCTCTTTTGAGGATCATACTCTGTAATATTGTTTATTTTAGTAATAATAAGTGAGAATTTATTGTAGATTGTTCAAATAAATATGCTTATTTTTGTAATGAAGCATGTGTTCTGACTTGCTTTCAGAGGTTTATACCTGTGAATAACTTGTTATCCTCACCTTTTCTGTCTCTCTCTCTCTTTTTTTTTTAGTAAAACTGGTTCATATCCATTTTTGGAAGCTGTCACTCAAGTACCAGAGAAAAGCGAATCAGATGCTGAATTAAAAGAGCTTGCACGTTCTGGTCATTGGTTGAAACCAGTATCAAGTTGTAGGTTGGAGATTTCTTCACGTTTAGAAGAGTGAGTTTTCTTCGCTGTTAACTTTCATATTCGTTGATGAAATCTGACTTTTGTTGTTCTGTTTGTTAACACTTTCATTTTTTTTTCTATTTGAAAGTACTTGTGCCGCGAGAATAACTTAGCTCATTGCTTACGCGAGACATAATTTCTTTTTGAAGAAATATACGAAATCTAGCAAGTAACTACGCCAGTTGAAGTTACCTCGAAACACATAAGTTAGTTAGTTAGCTAAGTTGACACAAAGGGAAAAAAATGATGTAATAATTTGTGTGTAAGTGAAGGTAATAGGAAAAAGGATCATAGTCTGGGTTATATCATCCCCTCCATGGAAAAATTTCTACTATTTCCATTTGATAATTTATTTTATTTTTCTCTGACTAATTTTTAGCGTTAATTCTTGGTTTGTCATCCTAGTACGGCGCACTCCACTACCTCCGTATAGTGGAGTTCATTTAGCGTAGCGTGCTTATACAAGTGAATCCAAGCCAATGGTTCATATGAGTTACAGGATCAAGACCGAACAAATACTATTCAAACCTACTTTGTTTATCACCAATCCTAGAAGTGTAACAGTTCATATTGTTCCATCGCTGTGTGATTAGATACCTGTCAAATACTTGAGAAATGAACCCCTTAGGGGGCAATCTTCTGTGTCATTTTGGTGGTTTAACTGTATCTTGTCATTCACACAGTCCATCGGTCTCATTTCTTAGTGTCCACCTTTTATCCTAGTCTATGTTTGAAGTGAGAGATTAAAAAGATTCCTATCTTCCCTGATATTGTTATTATTAACATATAAGTAGGAAATTCGACCTATCCATTCGGTCGCTTGGTAATGGCTTCAATATACAGCTATGTCAGTGGTTCTAACCAGCGCTTCCTAGTATCCTATCGAATTCAGTCAGAGTTTTGTGATACAACTCGAGTCAGTAACCTCTGGTACTAAAGAATTTTGGCAACTTGAGCCGATCCACCTGTGTGTGAGGTTCTACGTTATCAGTCAGCCAGGTATTAAACTTCATCGACTAAGTTATCTATTCGTGAAAACCCTGTACTTAAGATCAATATACTTCACTTGGAATATATATATGAAGACGTATACTTTTGTAACACTTCGTGTCAGTGGTATGCTAATGGACAATGCATTACCATTCTTCTGTACCTATCCCGTCCGTAGGCATTTAGATAATCCAGTTTGAAGACTGTTAGAGAAGTTTTCGATGTCAAGATTTTGTCGTTTGAACCATCACTGTAGTCGTTGGAAATATTTAACTGTATATATCTATAAATTTTTTCGTCAGATAAAAAGCTAAGTTACAAATGTTCTCCGCTATGAGCTGTATTCAACATAATTAGACATTCAGGTACACCTAATGACTTGAAAAATTTATAATCGAAAATCATAAATTTGTTTTTCTACCTTTTCTGATAACTTGTGTTGTTATTCTTGTTGTGTGTGTTTGTATTTTTTTTTTTTAATTCTAGTAATTGTATCACTTCTCGATTACTTCGAATATTGAATTCTACATACCACGACGATCATTCTGACTTGATAAGGTGAGTTAATGACTTTTTCTTGAAAAATATTCTTGTCATCCACTGGCGCTCATCGATCTAAGCATTTCTCTCATAGACACACTACCTCTTGGATCTGAGTCTTACTCTGTCTGCTCTAACTTTAACAACCGAGTGGCATCATAAAACCCGACGTGTGTTTAATGCCTTCATTTAATTGAGTTGCATAAGTACTTTACGCTTCCCCCCCCCCACCCCACTGTAACGTATTACTTGATAAATTATTTTTAAGCAAAGCAGTTTAAGTTAGTCTGCTTTACAGCATTGAGGAATAGGGGAACACAAACGAGTAACAAATTATTTCAATAAGAGAGAATGAGATGAGAGTAGAATAAAGAGATGATCCTTCTGATAGCCTACTTAAATTGGTCTTTAATTGTAATTTAACATCGTTAGTATTACTTTATATTTTTACTGCTTCAAATGTTTACGTTATAATTTGTAATTTTCTGGCGCTGATTATATCAAATTGATTGGTGTTTATGGATACATGGGCTCCTGCCCAGATGCCTCTATATTGTCTTTAGTTCCAATTTGATAGTTATGATCGGTAATCACTAGTGGTAGAATTCAGGCCCCAAGCTTCGTCTTATTTGGGAGCTGTCTGTTGGATTTACCTACCTCTCGGTCATTGAGGCATCTGTTCAGGTGCTCAAATGCCAATAGTGGCCAGTCAGTTCAGCCCCTTTTATTCACAAGCTTTATATAACCTACTACAGTTTGATTTGTAACACATTAGAAATTGGTCAACTATGAAATGCTACTACTCTGCGACCCATGAAATAATTCTTTTTCAAATTGCTCAGAAGACTTCACTAGATAGTCTTTGATATTGAATAGTCGACTATATTTACTGAGCACACTTGATGGTAAGCAGTCACGCAACGCTTTGATTTGTCTGGTATAGTTGAGTAGTTACGATATCCTCCTAATCTCTTGAATTATTTGATTGTAACAATAGTAAATCAAATGAAATCGCCGTTATATCCTTTTTCAAAGTGACAAATATTGCATTCTCTATGGAACAATGCATAGATGTGCACACGGATAGGTTTAGTAAATAGTCACTTGACCGATAGCTGCTATCTTAACGTGGTGGTCAGGCTTACATATCAAAATTATCCAGTTAGCTACGCTGGTGGAATCCTTGTTCCCTCGAGGTCCTAACATGCCACAATGGTCTTTTGTATAATGGTAAGACGAAAGGCAGTTACTGTTGTAGTTTAAAGTAATGCACTATGATGGAGGCTCTGAGGGCGAAGTCGCATTGCTGCTAGCTGGGTAAGGTATCACATCAGTAAAGTGTCTACCTTGGATGACCAGCAGTGGCGCGGTGATGCTGCTTTCCCCAAAGAGAAGGGGGTTTAGAAAAGTCCGGCCTCGAAAATAGCACATATACGGGACCCGAGTGTTTTTTAAATTTGACCTCACCTGACCACTGCTGGGAATCTCCGAAATTCACCTTAAATGTATCCAGAGACCCAGTGAACTCGCTCATGTAGACATAGCATTGAGTGGTAGAGCAGAAAGTGCTCTCATCGACAGGATACCATACCAGTCAACAACCGTTTATCTGCTGTCCGACTGAATGGATCTGTAACAACTAGGAAGGATTGTGAGAACAACCGAAATCTATTCATTATCCATGCCTATGCACCCACTGAATACAGTTGGGCCGTAGCAAAGGGCGAATTCTATCAGAAGCTATCTACCTTGCAACAGAAAACAAAGCGTTCAGATGTAATCATAATGACAGGTGACTTGAATGCTCGACTAGGGAAGCTGAGCCAATCGGAAAGGCATCTTAGACGTATTTACAAAAGGAATTCCATGCCCACGAAACGACAACGGTGGTCGTCCCTTCCAATTTTGTCCCGACAGTCACTTGTTTCTGGTTAGCACTAACTTCATCAAGAGTAAGGAGAGACAGTGTCTCACATGGCGTCTGCCGACTTCAAACCAATCATGGACACAGATAGATCACATTGCTACAAGCCATTGTTGGAGAGGATCCGTGGAGGATTTTCACTGTTTCTGGAGTACCAGTTTCGACTTAAATCATTTTCTAGTAGTAGTATGCCTGTGCGTTACTGGCCACAGGGAACGTGGGGCAGTGAGGCCGATATGTGCTCGATTGGAAGATGAGAACGTCAACATGTCCGAATAAGAGAGGAGATAGCTAAGCATTAATCTGAACATGACAGCAATGCTCATCCTGAGGAATCCTGGCGTGGTACTAAGCCTGGTGTAGAAACAGTGGTAAAGATAGTTGGTGGCCTACAGCGGAAATTTAGAAAACGTCAATGGATTTCCGTGACGTCATCTGAACTGATTGATGTGAGAAGACTAATTTTTCCTGGCTGTGATCGCGATGAAGAGCAAAGGCAACTCAAACATACGTTGGTCAACAGTCTTCGTGTTGATCGCAAGGACTGGTTGATGGCGAAAATGAGAAAGACGGGGAAGGCATCATCGTTGAATAACACCCGGGAAATGTTTGAGCTTATTAAGGATAGCGGGAAGAAGAATAGGGTGGTTAGTGAAGCCATAAGCTAAAAGGATGGGACACTGATAACCTCCCAGGATAGGAAGCTAGAACATTGGGTAGAACACTTTGAATTACAGTTCAACTGGTCCTCAGGCACACTTTACTTGCCCAACATACAGGGTGAACCTGAATGTGACATTGATGTCGGTCCTCCAACTCCTCTTTGAAGTTGGGAAAGCTGTATGGACCGTGAAATGATGCGAAGTAGCTGGACCTCACAGTTTGCCAGTTGAGATTTTTAAACGAGGAGGTAGAGGATTGCTACTTAAAGTAAAGGAGATACAAGACAGTGTATGGGAATCAGAGGTAGTGCCGTCAGACCATTGCACTTCACTGATCATCCCAGTGTTTAAGAAGAGAAGAGAAGTCTTCTTTTGATAACCATAGTGGAATGGGTTTGATTCATATTGTGTCCAAGATCCTAGAGTCCATAGTTATCCGACGCGTGTGTGGAGTTGGAGAATGTCAAACTCGAGAAAACCAGGTAGGTTTTGGGCAGACCTGGACGAGGGTGCACAGATCATATTTTTATCCTCCAACAGGTTTTGATACACATGTATACTTATCGTTGACAGATAATTGCCATGTTTCTTGAGCTGTAGATGGCGTCAAGTTTTTTGACCTTGAGGTGTTGTAGCGATATCTGTTTATGAAGAGATTATCGAGCACTTACTCAACACTAATTGCAACTCTCTACTTGAACTCATGCAATTATGTCAGGGTATATGGAGAGTTGTCATATGAATCGACCACAACTAGTGGGGTTCAGCTGTACGTAATGTATACTACCTAAAGAAGAAAGATTTTCGTTCTGGCTGAATTGATCCATCACAATGTACTTTAGTTTTGCGTTTTAGGGCGCAATAGTTATTTGTTTTTCGCAACTTCTCAGCCATTTCAGACTTATGAGCTTTCATGAGCCTAATTGTTGGGTGAAAGAAGAAATAAGTGTTTGACTGAGATGTATTGTCAATTCATTGATCAAGTGGGTAAAGATATTGAAGCTTCTTTTCAGTTGAATGTTATGTCTGTGTAAGATAAATTCCGTGTTTGTGTATAAAACTGTATGCTTCACTATCGAATTGATATTTACTAATCTACATGTGTTACAACAAGGAGGAGTATAGGCTATTTGCAGTGATATCTACATTGTATTGCTTTTATGTTTATGTTTTCGTATGCGATTATATTTTACAGATGGACATTAAATCATTGGAATAGAATAGTTCAGAATATAACTGGAGATCAGTCTTCTCGTAAATCGTCTACAGAACCAACAAAGGTAAGCTGTTCATAATAGTGAACTAAATAGACATCATCGTTATTTCTTTTCTTCATAATTTATTTAAATTTATGAGTTATAGTCATAAGCTTTACTTTACACAAATACTCGTAATTTACTGAGAATGCCTAGTTAAAGCTATTTTACATAGAGGGGAGCGGATATCTTAGATCCCTTGAACATGTACCAAAAAACCTACGTCTGTCATGCGATCAAGTGATTTTAGTAGTGTAGTCGCTCAGCTTCTTGTTAACAACAGGAATGAAGTATGTATATATTAATGATGGATACTGGCTAGCAGTGGGATACTGTACGCGCTTTTCGTGCTGTTTAGGACTCATTATCCGGATGTACCTGCCTCCTAGCAAGCGATATTGCTCCCACTAGGATTCGTACCCGGGACCGATCGCTTCAAACGTCAGAGTGTTATCCATTAAACTACCAAGCCGCAAAGGGCACTTCTTGTACGATATACACATCGCGCGGTAACGTTTTGGCATTTCTTGTGAACTAGATGTTTGTTTTCCTTGTTAAACCATGTCGCTTCCTGTTAAATTAGTTTCATTTAGTTGCAAAGAGCGTGTGAAAATTCTCTCGCTGTATGATGTTAAAATGTGCTAAGTTTATAAGGAGATAACATGAAGTGGGGGGAATCAAATACTACTATGTTGCCCTGCTGTAATCGTTGTTCTTTCTCGATTCGACTCTCTAATGGGGGAATATGTGTATCGAAATAAAGTGTATAACAATCCTATTTAGACGAACAGATACACTGTGATGCAATAGGCTTAAAAATAACTGATAAGAAATATGTGTTCGATATCTTCCAACTCGAAAAATGTCTTTCCAATTAAACAAAATTGACTAGGAAAAGTAACAAAAGAATCATACTCGCTTGGATGAATAGTGTCTCGGAAACAACAGTCAAAGAGTTGGGTTCTTCTTAAATCACAGTGTCAAATAAACCAATTAGATCGCTATGCAAACCAAAAGACCTTGACAACAAAGAAAAATTGTCCAAAGCCAATTTTGGACATCACTACATGGGAAATGCAGGTTGATTAGAACTCTAACCTCATGCGTACGCATTCTTTGGAACATGAACATTGTTAGTTCATTCAAGAGGTTTTGCATTCAATTTAGAGAGTTCTAACTCTTTGTTGAGTAAGTATCCTCATATTTGGCTTGGTTGACTTCATTGGTCACGACCTCTTATTGGAACTTTGGGAAGCACCTCTCGATGCTAGCTAGCAATGAGAGCATTAGATTGGTTCTATCTGGAGGTTTGTTGAGATTTATTAATTGATTTCAGGTTGGAATTCCTGAAATTCCAATGAGAAGTCATGATCAGTGGAGTCTACCAAGTCGAATACGAGGATAGTTACCCAACGACGACATTGAATGTAGGTCGCGCTATATGGCGAACTGACAGAAGTATAAAATATGGACCATTGGATTCCGACCCGGTGGCTCAATGGTAATGTTCTGACCACAGGACCTCAAGGTCCTGGGTCCGATCCGTGGAGGATGGGTCATGGGCGTGCACTACTGAGGAGTCCCATACTAGGGCAAAACAGTCGTCCACTACTCCAGGTTTCCAATGTTCCCCCAAATTCTGTCAGTCCATGATGAATCCCAATCCAAAATCAATTTTAATTCTATAACATGGGCAATAGGAATGGTTCGGAGCTATTTGCATTTCTAAGTTGTGTTGTTCATATTTGTGTTGCAGTTATCGACCTCATCAGTTAAACAAGATCGTGCAGAGATAGCACGAGCTCGGCGTGCTCGAATGATGGCACGTATGAAAAAAATGCAAAATAACTTTACGGATTCATTATCTCAGAATGAAAAGGCAGCATATGAAGTAAGTTAGTAGTATTTATTATTATTATTATTATTATTATTATTATTATTATTATTGTCCACATTCATACTATTATTATTTATACTGTTGTTATCAGCACTTTATCTTCTATCGTTACTTTCTTGTTTAATTTACTGGGTCTCCAGCCATGAACTATTTCAGCCGTATGTTTATTTATTTTTTTATACGAGCTGATAAATGAAAATGTAATGAATACCCAGACCGTGACGGGATTTCAAACCTCCGGCCTCTGGATTATCAATGTTGACAGATAAGATAGAAAAAAAAAATCGGCATAGAACCTTTGCACACACATGTGAATCACCTCAAGTTGACATACAGTAGTATATAAAAAACAGATGGAAAGGAAAAAAGTGATATCGAAGTAGGCAAAGTTGTGTGAGAGAACAAGCAATCTAAATATGACGATTAGTTCAAATATTGAAGATTTAACGATTATCAAAGAGTGAATACATCTGAGCCATTATGACCGAATTCTAGCCATGTTAACAAGAGTCTACCGTTTACTGTCATCTCGGTGACCATAACCAGTCAATAGACGTCGCCACCACGCGACTTAGACCAACAGTTTGCACGACCTGATTTGGCCATCATGAACCCTCTCTTAACCTTATCCAATTCCTCCCAGAATGACACCTCGAGGTTTGTAGCCTAACCTTATCATTTCTTACACGGCGGTAATTCCACCAAACGCAAGCGATACCACGAAGACATCTATGATCGAGAACCATGGAATTGCTTCCTGGCTTCCACTTTTAACGGTTATGTCTCACGGCTATACAACACATCGGAACGAACTGCATTGCAGTGTACTCGTTCTTTGATTAGTAGTCGGAAATACCGCCAGTGGACGTCACAGGTAACGCAAATTGGAACGTGCCATAGGGGCTTTCTGTATCCGGGGTGAGATTTCGTCAGCGACCAGCCCGCTTGGCCTGATGCAACTTCAGAAGTAAGTGAAGTGTTCGACACATTCCACCACTTCAATTCCTATCATTAAATTGCGAGTACTTACAACAGATCAGTCCGTTAGCATCATCTTTCTTTTGGTAGATGCCAGCGAAACGCATACCAAACATACTGAGATTTCTGCTTAACGCGTTTCAAAGACCTTGCACTTTGTCAACGGCTTCACGCAGCAGGACAATGTCGTTTGCATCCTCGAAGTCAAGAAGATGCACCTTGGTATTGAGACCTTACTAAGTTTGTATAAGTCCCTTTTGTTATTATTTTGGAAGAGGAGAGGGTTGTAAAAAGCCATACTAAACTACTGCAACAAAAAGAGATTATTTTTAGTGAGATAATAATGATACAGTACCTAAAATGATAGAAAAGAGGGTGTTGGTTGCATGCGCAATGTCGTTACCGAGCTCGTGAAATATGCATGCACGTACTGACTTATATAGAAAGTATTCAGGTTAGTATTTTTAACTTTTCTATTATTTTTATCGTCCATCTGATTGTCTGAAACTTCACGTACAATAGTTCTGTGAAAATCTTTGTTTAGTTACTAGAGGAAACAATTTAAGGAATAAATATATTGATGTGAACTATGACTAAAACTGAAGTGGGAAGATCTGATGCATTGGCTGATTGCTACTATATTTCCCATGAATATTGTCAGTCCCAATAACATATCCTGGTTATAGATATGTTAACTCTTGAGGTTTCACTTTTGAGTATCGCTTGGCACCTCGAAAACAGAAGGAAGCTGTAAACAATAAAGTGAGTTAGTGTTATTGCTTGTATTATACCGTCGTTGATTGGACCGAATTAATCGGTCTCTATTAGCATATGAGCTTCTGTGCTAATGCCTCAATATACCTGTGTTCTAGTTATAGTAAATACCGATAATGGCCAGTATCAATCTTTACGATAAAGAGATTCATTGTCAATTTGTAGCATGTACTAAGAGTAGCGATACACACATACTTTCAACAACTTTGATATTTTCTACACTTTTCTAGAAAGATATATTATCTGGTTCTCACACGTATGATCCTATAATTTTTCGTGATAATTCGGCATGCCGTGATTGGTTATAAATGCTTTCAGGGAATTCCAGGCTTCTTTGATGAATCTAGTGGGCACTGGTCCACTGCATAACATCCAGTTTTCATCTGTCATAGGGTGGGGTGGTAAGTGCGCACTCCTGAGTAGGGCTACACAGCTGTCCTGCCCTCTCAAATTTTAAGTTTCTCTCTGACTGTTGTCCTCTTTCATTGAAACCATATATCAAGAGTGGTCATGAGTGATGACGTAGCTATTACACAACTGTATGTTCATATGAGATGGATATGTATATTGTTTGCGTCAGTGTATGAGGCTTCTGAACAGTGGGCACCCGCGACATTGTACGTCTGGTTCATCAGGTCTTGTGGCTAACACATTTACCATTCAGGCAGTAAGTCAGAATCCAATGGCTGACTTTTTTATGCTCTTTCCTGATATAGTGTGATCATCATTCAGTGCCATCGAGGAGTTCACAAATCTGATCTGATGTCATAGATCATGACAGCTCATTAAGATTCTAGATAGTTTCGAAGCAAGTGATTAGCGAGGATCAGATTGTCGTCCACTTTTTAGGATTAGCAGGAAATTAATTGATTTTGAAGGAGGATTTTGCCATGAATAAATACTGTACTGATGGGGATAGTTTTAGATTTGTAACGATCAGCTGTTGATACGTTTTCGGTCCAGCCTGTAGATAGGTACGTTGTTGCAGTGGAAGTGTAGAGAAATGTGAGTTTGGTGGTGAACATAAGAATCTGGAAGGGAAAAGAGGAAGAGAAAAAGATGAGCCGACGACTCAGGATTTACTTACATTTAATAACAAAGGATAAGTGACCAACGATAGAGCTTGACGACGAAGAGGTGAGATAGTCTAGGAAACGGAACTGAAAGGTGAAGGAGTAAGCTTTCGAATGCGTTATACTACTCCCCTTTCTTTGGAGGGACTGTCCTCAGTGCCTGGTTGTACCTGAGTGAATTAGAGGCTAGGTATGATGTGTGTAGCTGGTGCGAGTTACATTAAAGGGCATGGCTGTTGTTGAGTGCACGTCAGTCTGATCATGAGCAAGCCAGATCCCACTTCCAACACCAAAATGTCACGACCAGCTGTTGATACGTTTACGTCTTGCCTGTAGATAGATAGATACGTTGTTGCAGGTGGGTTCATAGATGAGTGTTAGAGTTTCATGGTGACTCGTCGAGAATGTGGAATGGAAAAGAGGAAGAGAAAAACGTGAGACGACGATTCAGCAAGTATAGATTCACCAAACATGAATTGTTTATCATTTTTTACTGGGAAAAAAATTGGTCCATTTCATCACTTGTTCTCATCAATTTTGTTAAGCATTTGAATAATACGGAACTAAGTTAGTCATTCTTTGGTTTTCTCTTCAGGTATTCAGGAAATTGAATGTGATTGGCCTTGCTATATTTGTTGTTAGTCAAGTGATTTTTCTGGTAGTGAAACAGACCACTGGAATGTAATGTCAAATTGACTTGTTTTCTCGATGTCTATTATAAAGTTGAATAGGAATGTAGATGGTACCAGAGAAAGATCAATGACTGTAACATAGTTAGGTGATCTTGCATTATTACAGTTGTTCACATAGACAGACTGTTCTCAATGATTTGGAAGGCTCAACCTACAAGACATATGATGAATGAATAGAGTTTATCGGACTTTCATCTCAAAGAATATCAGTGTCGAGGAGTTGCCTGTGTCTTCAAATCTTCGGAGGAATTAAGACCTTTTCAATGAGTTGCTTTTTAGGCTCAAATAAGCATTTTATTAACAAATAATAAATACTTACTTTGTAGGGTGAATTGATGGATATTGATTCTCCTGCTTTGAATGAAGGGGATAGTCAGCAGACTATGCAAACTGATGCTGTAATTCCAGCTATAGTCCAGCAATGTGCACTTGGGCCGACAAGATCACTTGGCGCTGCTTCATTTCTACTAAAATCATCATCATTATCAACGTCAGGAGGAGGAGGAGCGATTGCCTCAGCAGCAGATACCGTAATTGTACCAAATCCTGAATTGGTCACTTGTAATTTATGTCTGGTATGTTTCTGCTGGTAATTTTTTTCTGAAAAAATATACTTAACTTTCATTATTTTCACCTCGACTTGAAAATACATATTCAAAGTTATAACTTTTTGATTTAGGCTAGTCCATGGGTCATCAGACCTACAGCTTCGTACACCGCTTCATCAACTGATCCTTAAACTATTAGCCTCTATGAATAACTTTTAAGTCAGTCAGTCAGTCAGTCTTTACTTTATGACAATCAAAGTTGTTACTAATCAAATCCCCTTGGCAAGAAAGAAAAGAATAAGAAAATGAAAACCAAAGTAATTCAAATAATATAATCCTAAGTCCCGTAGAAAGCAATGGGAAAAGAAATCTATGACCTAAGAAAAATAGCGAAGTGTGACAATATTTAAGACGAAGCTTCTGTTAATAAATCATAAGAACCACCTCTTATGCAATAAGTTTACATTTCGTTATTATTGTTGATTGCAGTTTCCCGTCGATTATTATACCGGACTGAAGTGATTAGTCGCTCTTAGCATATGAGTTCCTTAAACGGATGCTTCAATATTGCCTGAAGTTTGATTTTCACTTTATTTACTAGATGATGGCTACTATTGAAACCCACGATGCGTGTTTTGCCCTGTTTGGGGACTCATCAGCTGGGTGCACCTACATATCCTAGTGAGTGACATTCATCTTACTTAGTCTCGAACGCAGTGTGTTATCTACTAAGCCACCGAGTTACAATAGCTGCTCTCTTGTGTGACATTTGTCAAGATGGAGGTATGAAGTCGGTACTGTACAGGAAATAATATGTACTTTTAAGGTTAATTTCATTGACTTGAACCCCAATCTACCTACTTTTATTTATTCAACTAGATAGTATCACAAATTCAATGTCTCATAGCCTAGACCGTAAACACACGATGATTGAGATTATGAGCCTCTGTTTCAAAAGTTTTATCAAAAGTGTCCGAAATAGAAATTTCAGCAATTTTCACAGTCCTCAGAGACTTCACCGCTTAAGGATTCATTGAATGAAGAATATATCTTGAAGATAATTAACTTCATTTCAGTATTTAATTGTTTACACTATACTAATAAACGATATCCTAGATGGAATCCTACACATAGTAAGTGAAAGTTATTCATTGCTATTGTCTTACTAGTTCAGTAGTCAAACAGTGAAATTGATTTCTCGAAGTCACCAATCTAATCAAATGATAGGGTTTATAGCAGAGTAATTAGGTGAAGAAAAAAAGTTTCTTATATTTTAACATATGAGGGTTATAATAATGCATAACTACTTCTCATGTCCGAATCTGTAGACTGTAGAATCCCAGTGGGAACAACATCACTCACCGAGAACCAAGTACACCCAGCTGACGAATCCCAAATCGGACGAAATGCTCATCCTAGATTCTATTGCTAGCCACTGTCCATCATTACTAAACTTACTAAGGTCAGTATGAAATGAGCTGACAATATCTCTCCATGAGTGATTTAGTAGTCTCCTTGACAAAGTCGTCTATGATTGCTTGTTTCCTTCAAATGTTGTATCATTGATTGTATACACTTTCCTGTTGGCTGTCCCTCTACTTCACTTCTGACCTTTCTGTCGTGTATCATTCTTCTTATTAATTGATAGATTGGGTCTATGTCTATGCATCTATTGATTGCTGACTGACTGACTGACTGATTGACCTGAATGCCAAGCTTCCAGCAATTCTCTGATATTCTTTGTGTTTCCTCTCTCCGTCCAACATTTCTACATTGTCGAAATTGAATTCATCTCCATAGTTGTTATCCACGTGCATTAAAATGAGTGATGAAATATCATGTGTGACCATGTGTGAGCCAATTGGTGCTCTTGTAGACGAAGGCGAAGAGGGCGGCCGCTTTGTCCAATCCAGTGGAGACCATGATTATTGCAGTTGATTTTGTAAATGATATTCGGTTTGTCTTCTTCGCTTGTTGCATCCTCTGGTCTACATAATAGTGTTTGGAGGGAACTTGTTGGTTTATGAGCCACATCAATTCCAAGTAGTGTTGTTGTGATTTCTGATATATATTCATTCTTCGTGTATGGTAGGACGATGCGTTTATTGATTTCTGTCGATGACTTTGTGGTTGATGATGCATGGGATAGGCATCTTCTGATAAGGTTTCGTGGTAGCCATTCTTCTTTGGAGTGGACATCAAGTAATTTTCTCTGTTTCTCCGTGAGGTTGTTGTACAGCAGTGTGTGCTCTCGCTGTTTTAAATAGTCCGCACGCAACTCATTTTGTATGTTGTTGGCACTGTGTAGTTGAGGATTTGGTCAGTGTGTGTTGGCTTCCTGTGCTCTTGGGTTGCCAGCCTTCCAGCATAAGTCCTACTGACTAAAACACTCAGCAATGGTAGTTAGTTGTTTGACTCTTTCTCCATTGAAAGCGTTGTTAATCAAACTGTAAGTGTTTTCTATATCATCTTTTTAATGATGAGAAAAGTGTCGTCTACATTGTGAATAAGAATTTTTGGTTTTATCACAGGTAGAATGATGGCTTCCAGTGTCTGCATCAATGCTTCAGCAATTAGTCCGGATATCGGTGATCCCATTTTAGTCCTTTCATCTGTTTGTACTTCTTACCATTGAATTGGAAGTATGTTGTCAGACAAGGATCGATGAGTTCCATCAGACTTGAACATTTGAGTTTTGTGCCTTGTGAAAGCTTTGTGTTTTCATTGAGCAGCAGGAGGGACATCGTTTCCTTGGTCAGTTGAGGTTCGATGGATGTGTATAGTGCTGTGACATCGGGGGATACCATTAATTCGTCGTGTTCTATGCTAATGTTTTTGATGTTTTCTAAGAATTCCGTTGGTGACTTGATGGAATGTCCGCATGGTTGAACAAGGTGTTTGAGTTTTCTCGAAAGTTCTCTTCATATGTTGCATGTTGGAGTTCCTAGAAGTGAGACAATTGGTCGTAGAGGGATATCGGGTTTGTGTAGTCTTGGTCTGGTGTAGAACCGGGGAAGGATAGGTCCATTCGATTTCATCCGCCTGGTGTGTCTTGCTTTGTTATTTCTTCTGCTTCACAGAGTTTGTTCAAGGTTTTATTGATCTGGTTGTTGAACTTCTGGACTTTTGGATAGGGTTGGTTTCAAGTGGTTGATACACATTTTCGTCTTTGAGTAATTTCTCTGCCTTCTCTATATAGTTTTCTTTGTCCATAACTACCGTCGTGTGTGTGTGTGTCCTTTGTCTGCTGGGAGTACAACGATATCTTTCCTATTTTTCAGTCTTTTTAATGTTTTCTGTTCTTCAGAGTTCATTTGAGCATGATGTCTCTTCTGACTGGTTAGTAGTGGTACGATTGTTTGTCATATTTCTTGTTGAGTGACCTCATTTAATCCTGATGTTTTAAGTGACGATTCTAATGTATTAAGGGATTGTGGTGTTGAGGCATGTCTTGTGTTGCAATCAACCCTTTTTGAAGGAGAAGTTCTTCCATTTTCGTTAGTGGTTGTTATGATATGTTGGTATTCAGGTCAGTCAGTCAGTCAGTCGGCAATCAATAGATGTATTGACATAGACCCAATCTATCAATTAATAAGAAGAATGATACACGACAGGAGGGTCAGAAGTGAAGTAGAGGGACAGCCAACAGGAAAGTGTATACAATCAATGATACAACAATCGAAGGAAACAAGCAATCACAGACCACTTTGTCAAGGAGACTACTAAATCACTTATGGTGAGATACTGACAGCCACTTCATACTGACGTTAGTGCTGATGATGTCGTGTAGAGAGATGATGAAAACTTTACAATGAGAGAAGCCAGCTCAGAGAACATAACACAACCAAGACTATCCACCTGAGCTGCGAATATTCTCCAGTCTGTAAAAGTGTTATTAAGTTGTTATTAAGAATGCATGTTTTTCAAATTTTTTATTTCAAAGATACATCTCAGTGATAGATGTCACAAGTCACTTAAGTTTTGTGAAAATGCCTTGCTAATTTTATCTAGAAGCACAAATTATTGTTATATTTGTGGTCTGTAACCTTTGTTTCGTACAAACACGGTAGTTTTTTTGAATGTAAGAATAATTGTTTCAGCTCAGAGTAATATCGGTTCACGTTTGATCATGTTTAAAACCGTATCCAGTTAGCCTTTTTTCAAAAATTCTTTTTGTCTAATCATTTCAGGAGGAAGTGACTGAACAAGCTGCTAGTCGTATTGTAATGGCTGCGCATGTTTGTCGATCATCAGTATTATCTTCTCAAGGAATTGGTTGGTTAGAAGGTCCAGCGACAATGACTGTCATTAAGCGTTTATCACGTGAAAATGATATGTGGTTACTCCACAATCTCTAATGTCTGTTGATGACAGTTTGCCAACACAGTTGAATAATTCATCATTTCTATCGACTGGGAGAAATGATGATGCAGAGAAGGATGGTTATGCGAATGAGGTAAGCCTATCATACCTTTTTTTCACCTGGTTTCTTTTATTGAGTTTTAATTCTTTTGTTATAATAAAAAGTAGACAGATCTGCGTGCTTCATCTGATTCTTGTGCATCACTGAAAAATATGTAACTCTGTCATGTGTTTATATCTCTCTGGGCACTTCAACGCAACTGTATTTCCTTACGCTTTTTCCACACTGCGTAAAGATATTTGCAATTATTTAACCAGGAATCTTTCTTTCCCTTCTGAATACATTTACAGGAAACATGTGTATATAGATGAAAGACATGCCTAAGACAAACAACTACTTATTAAAATGCAACACAATCATTTCAGTTTCATACGATGGGTACAGTTTACTGGGAAATCAAGAAAGAAACTTAGTAAAACTATTGTCATCGGGTCTACCAGACGGTTGTAATAATGACTACAAAATAGAGTAGCAAAGAATAATTTCCTAGTAAATTTTCGTTTGAAATAAAAATGGTTGTGAATTTCTTTTCGATAATTTAAGCCAGAATAGTTGTTAATTTTCCGAGAATTTTTCCTTCATTTATGACTGATAAACTGCATATCTTGAGGTGTCTATGCGTTATGTGGTCGAGCACTTTCGAAGTAGTGCGTCAACCATGAAATCCCTCAGAAGCTGTTTTCGAAGAAGCATTCGTTAAAAAAAAAAATGAAAAACGCACGGATTCACACGGTTTGAAATAAATCAATGGTTAGGGGAAAGTGAAACGTCAGGTAGACAACTGAAAAGAACACACTTAAGTCTACAGGCGAAAACTAATAAGTTGACAGATAAGGCAGAGCAGTGAAGACAGGACTGACTTCAGGTGAAAGTAGAGAAGACACAGGTGATGAAGATACCCAACAAACAACAACAAGCACCAATCACCATCAAAAAGAGAAATCCAAAGGAAGTTGTCTCCTTCACCTACCTAGACAAGGCAGCATCGTTTCAACTAAAGGCAGCGGCACAGGCACACATGAGGATGTCTAAGCCAGGATTGAAAAGATAGCAAGACAGGCCTTCATTAATCTGAAATAATCAGTGTGGTCTACCCCACTCCACTTGATTCAGCATAAAGCGGGAATAAGATGCGGATTTCAATATTAGTGTCAGTCAATCGAGTTAGTGCTTCTATGTGATGGTTGAGAGACTTGGCGCGTCATGAAAAGCATTTCCAACAAACTACAGAGACATACACCACATACAACAACTAAAGATACAATTGAAGTAACATTGTGATCGAACGTCATTTCGCTACTCATCCATAGTGAGTAGTTTAAATTATTTAGCCAAAACAGACGTCGTTGGAACTGTTAGAATTGTCTGTTAAACATGTCAGCAGTAGATTCACATACTGGTACATATATGGAGCAAGTACCCAGAGCATTGACAAAAACTTAACGACTATTTCATCTTATCCTTTCCTTGTAACTGCTACAAATATTTTTAGTGTTGTAGTTATTGTGTTTAATAATTTCTTGTTTGTTTTCCTCTTTTTACTTTCAGCTTCTTCCTTATCTAGCCTCTGCGGCAACCACGGTTGCAGCCACTTGTGCTGGTACATCCCATATGGGACTTCGATTGATACCTAATCTGATTTCTGGGATACGTTGTTTCGACTCGAAAATGGACACCTCTTCACTGAAAGATGTTTCTATGACTGGTATTAGTAGTAGTACGTTTATAATGTGATAGTGTGCATATGCCATTGTTTATCTGTTTGTGTTTAAAACTGAAGTTTATTTGAAATTGGTTGAAGTTAACCTAATTTCCCAGTTGTTTGTGGTGGAAAATTGCTCATCTACTATTTCCTCAGTACAGTAATCGTTTCATTTTCTTACATCTGATATATTCCGATATTAGTGTGTGAGATAACGCAATAGTTTGGAAAATTCATATTCTTAATACCAATTATAAGTAAAATGCTACTCTTATGGTGGTTTGCTGTTCTCATTCCTTCAATATTATGTCTCTCTTCAATTCAGATCGTATCATACCTTCACATAATAGCTGAGCGAAAACCCCAGGGACTGGAGTGAAGTTGAAACGTGGTTACCGGCTGGATGTCAGTTCATTCGGAAGAGCATTGTCGGACTGGTACTGTAGAGGTTGCTGGTTCGAATCCTTTCATGATCCTGGTTTCTATTCACCTCCACTCATCATCTACTGATGGTGCAATGAAACGAATAAACGGTTCTGCTTTAGGTATCAGGAGTGGAATTTGATTAAGTTTCGTGCTTTGTGACATTGAGGTTGATAAGCTTAGGCTTCCGAATTGAAGTCCCGCGCCATCTACTTCACTCTGAGCAACCAATGTGTAAAGTATCTTAGGCCTTCACGTGATTAGCCTAATACCTAGTACATAATATTGTACCGAGTTGGTTTACATTTTCATTCTATAATTCAATCCTTTGTCGGTAAACTGCTTAGATTACAAATTTTTAAATGCACAGAGATAGACGACAGTGTACTCTTTGCGAAATTCGACCTTTTCAAATATGATGTTGTATTTCATCAATAGAGCACAATATTGATTATTGTTCGCTTCATTCACCTGAAAGAACTTTCTTCTATTCCTTGATGCTTTTCAGTTTTAAGTGGGGGATTTGACTTTTACCTATCTTATCAGCATGCATTAATCCGGCAGATTCCTGTGGCTTGTGTTAATACTTCCCCCTCAAAATTCACTTTCAGTAATGGCTTCATATACTGAAGTTTAGTTAGTCGGATGCATATTATCATCCTTAACCATAGTGTAACATGTGTAAGTCATGGCCTATAATACATGAATCTGTGTTGGTCGCTTAGTTGAGTTATTATTATAGTTTGAAGTTCTTATGGGGATGTTATTTTTAAGGTGGTTATTCACCACGAACTGACATCAGTTGAAAAACTATCGGGGAACCTAGGAGAACTAGACAGCTGTTTCGTCATAGCATTGGACTCTTCAGCAGCCCATACCCATGACCTCACTAAGGATCGAATTAAGGCTTTTCAGATACCGCGGCAAAACCGTTAACCATTCAGCTACTGAGTTGGCGTTCAATGGTTCATAGTTTCATACTTCTGTCAAATGATTAAAACTTATAATCGAAACTATCTGTAAGGAAAATTACCAATTTAGTTACAAGGACAACCAACTATGCCTAACTGAAAAGTGTACAGATAATTTATATTGAAAATCAGGAGCTCACTTCTCCAACCACCAGACTAGCCAAATGACTGAAGCCAATCCATACACAAGGTTAATCACTTAGACAAAAATAGTCAGTCTATATGACTGTCACAAATGCGTATAGTTAGACGAGTAAAATTGAATAACACTCCATTACAAGCAAACATAGAGAAAGCATCAACCAAACAGAAAGGAGTGGGTGGGTGATCGGGTTGTCATACAAATAAGGAGCTTGTTACTACGCGAAGATGAAGAAAACGATAGGAAGGTATAGCATATTCGACAAAATAGATTCCTTTTCCTGGCCTTTTCCAACACATTACGTCATGATAATTGCTGCTATTGTTGATATTCTCTAAAATGTTCTTGAAATAAAGTACAATGAGTTGATATGGTCAATTTGTTACTCATTCAAGTACCTATTGAATATCCAGGACGTATAAATTACTTTACCTGTATTAGAAGTTCCACTCCAAGTAGTATTTGGTTTACATCATGGCGACAACAAAATGTTATTTATCATCGTGATGCGCTCCTATGATCAGCATTAAATGTGTTGGATATATATATATATATATATATATATATATATATATATATATATATATATATATATATATATATATATATATCTGTGTGTGACTGCCATAATCACACGTATCAGGACTGATTGATTCGTTCTCCTATTTTAACTTGCGAACTGTTTGTTAATGTTCACCGTCTTCCTTCTTATTTAACTGTATCATAAATGTACTTTTGTAGGTTTTTATTCTGTCATCTGAATTTAAAAGAATTAACCTTGTAACAGGAAAACATTTTGTACATCTAGAGGATGCAGATGAGACAATCGTGATAGGCGGCAAGACAGTCTTCTGGAGAATTTGAATGGCTATGTGAGAATGCTTAAGATGTATTTTTCGTTATTCGAATCCAGATTGTCTCCCCTGCCACCTTGTTTAACAATGGGGAGTAAAGAGGTTGGGCACGTTGAGCACTTCACTTATCGAGGAATTTGGATCAGGCGTGATTCGTCAGGGATCAACGAAACTTTCTGAACATTTAGAACAGGCTAGCTTGGCTCTTGCCACTTATCCGTGATATTCCATTACCTGTTGAGTCTAATGTACTACACCACAGTTCCTTCTGTTCTTCTCTATGACTATGAAATATGGCCATTAAAGTCAGAGGTTATATATGTATTAACCACATATTTCAAATCCTGTATACATCGTCGATGAATAAAGTTTAGATGATGAAGTTGAAAGCACTGAGTTGAACAGGAAATTTGAGATGAACTTTAACGTAACTAAGTAAAACTCAGAAGCTTACTGGATCATAAACAGACAAAGAGATAAGATAGAACATGGTACAAAGGTATTCTAGTCTAATTGTCTACACTTCACCACAACATATGGGGAAGAGTTTGATCAAGAAAAAAATAATATAAATGTGAATTAAATTATCCGAAGGGAAAAGATGAAGATTGACAAAATGTGTCAAACATGATAAAAATTAGTATAATTGCTTGTATTATACCGTCGTTGATTGGATCTAATTGATCGGTCTCTATTGGCATACGGTCTCCTGTTCGGATGCCTTGATATTACCTGTGTTCTAATTATAGTAATGATGGATAGTGGCTAGTATTGGAATCCAGGATGCATGTTTCGTCCTACTTAGGACTCGTCAACTGGATGTACCTGGCTCCCAGTGAGTGATGTTGTTCACACAGTAAGTAGCCGTCGGTGGTCTAGTGGTTAACGCTCTGATTTTCGGGGCGATCGCTCCCGGGTCTGAGCCCCAGTAGGGGCAGGAGAGAATGTGCATCCTGGATTCCAATACTAGCCACTACCCATCATTACTATGATAAGAACTATTTACATCTACTCTATTGCGACCATATCACAAAGAGTCTTCATCCATTGATTTTTAAAGTCTTGACGTTCAAATCACCTTTTGAAGACTTTCTGTCCTGGTATCATATTTGATTTGGTCACTCTACTTTGGCTAACATTGTTCGTCGATCTAGGTAAAGCTTCAGTATGCTTATTGTATATCCAAACTATTTCAATCGTTATAAGGGAAAACATATGAGATAATTTCTTTTGAAGACATTTTTTGTGTTAATCATTTAATAGCACAGAAATTTGGATAATTCCCTTCAAGAATTGAAAAAGAGTAAGAATGGCCTATCTTGAATCACTGATTATTTGTACAGATCTATTAGCAGTTACTATAGGAGATAATTATCCATAACGTTTGTATAGTTCTCCAGTTCATATCATATTTTCTTACTGCGTTATTATTATTATTATTATTCTGTTTTAGATACTCTCTATTCTGGACTAATTGATCAGCTACTGGATAATTATCACCTTTTAGGTCAGCAAGAAACTGGAGAGTCTATAGTATTCGATCGTTGGTATCCTCGACCTTTAGTATCTAGTCGTGATCCAATAGCTGAAGAAGGTTCATTTTTCACATTCTGTTGTCATCCTATGCATGCTACTTGTAAGACAAAATATGCACGACAATTGAAAGGTCGAGTGGAAGATGTGAATCGGTAAGATTATATATATATATATATATATATATATATATACAGCTTTCATAGTGAAAACCTCAGTAGTTTTTTTTTTGAGGATAACAAAAGAGGATTGTTACTTCATTTCAACCTTTGAATTATTAATACGATGCATAACTATATTATACACAATGATTGATAACAAATTGAGCTGTTTAGAGTGAGCAATCAGTGAAAGACATTTCACAGAGTTTGTTTTTGTTGTTGTTTGGTTATACCGTACTTAACCCAGTCATATAGATATGGTCATTTCTTAAAATAACTAAATAACTCGAAATTAAAGTCTTTAAATATGATACTGTGTGATGCATGAGATTCAGTTAGACTGTGTTGTTAAACACTAATGGATTTGATCTCATATCAATCCAACGGTTTATATCCAGTTTACTGGATACTCTCTGTCTCTCTCGTTTCCTATTACTGAATATTCGCAACCAGAATTACTCATCTTATCGATGATATTTGATTTCAGTTTGCAGTGAGATTCACACTACACTATCCCATCCGATTTTAAACTTTTTAATTTAATGCGGTTACCTTATCGGTGGGTGATAGTGTTCTCATTGAAATATGTTTTCAACACCTCAATATTGTCTACTGGATTCATTAGGTTATGATAATATAATCTTTCTCAACTGTTGTCGATAAAGAAGACCTTCTAAAATAGTCTTGGTTCTACAGACTGATACTGGTTAGGTATTGTCTGGAAGTAAGGCGTTGAATCAGTAACCTAAAATTCTCTGGTTTGAACCCTTCCGCAACTCAACATATCATTTCACCTTCAATTGTTATGAATTAAAACATAGTATGCATAAGATAATTAGGTATTTCAATGGTTGAAATAAACAGAACTTCAAACAAGCATGAAGAAATGCTGAAAGATAATGAAGTGTAGAAATAAATAAAAAAAATATCATGAGGTTATGAAAGATGCCAAGAATTATTAGGTACGAGAAGTTGATTACGTGTAAAGCTTTTTATTACATCTCATTAATCGTGTGCATGAGGAAAATTAATCCTTACCAACTCCCTATATAACCTTGGTTCTTCTTTATTTCTGCTCTCAATAGTTTGAAAATGTCTAGAGTTGTCACACGCACCCGACAGTACATGCAATCCAGTTCACTTATGAATTAGAAAATGAAAAGAACTGTTGAACTGCAAAATCAAGACAAAAGAGAATGGCAGTTTAAATACTAGTGCTTACAGGAAACCAACATATTATATATATATATATATATATATATTATATATATATATATATATATATATATATATATATATATATATATATATATATATATACATTACATACGGCTTCATTCAGTAGAACGTCACAATTTCACTCTCTTCTCTGCAGTCTTTTCAACCTGGTTCCACAACTACCAGAAGCTTTTATTTCTTCCTTACACCATCTCCTCCATGTCACACTCCCATGCCCAACTCATCGTTTCCTATTTCGGTTCCACTTGACGGCCTGGCCTGGCGCGTGACGCCACCAAACGGTCTTCTCAGTGTATGTCCAGTCCAATCCATCTCCAATTTCTTCTCCGTATTTGTTGGGCAATAGGTTCTCGGTTGGTTCGTTCCCAGAGTTCCTTGTTGCTTATTCTTTCTGGCCATCTGACCTTCAGCACCGAGTTTAGGCAGCTGTTGATGAATGTCTGTAGTTTGTTGGAAATGCTTTTCGTAACGCGCCAAATCCCTCAACCATCACATAGAAGTACTAACTCGCTTGACTGACACTAATATTGAAATCCGCATCTTATTCCCGCTTTATGCTGAATCAAGTGGAGTGGGGTAGACCACACTGATTATTTCAGATTAATGAAGGCCTGTCTTGCTATCTTTTCAATCCTGGCTTAGACATCCTCATGTGTGCCTGTGCCGCTGCCTTTAGTTGAAACGATGCTGCCTTGTCTAGGTAGGTGAAGGAGACAACTTCCTTTGGATTTCTCTTTTTGATGGTGATTGGTGCTTGTTGTTGTTTGTTGGGTATCTTCATCACCTGTGTTTTCTCTACGTTCACCTGAAGTCGTTCCCATCTTCGCTGTCCATCCTTATCTGTCAACTTATTAGTTTTTACGTGTGGATGTTCGAGTTTGTGCGACAAGATATCAGACACAAATCTTCTAAGGTCTTTTCATTGGTCCAGCGTATGCCCCTCTTCTTGCTCTTCACAGTTCGTTTGCGTGATCCAACATACTAGTGTAAAAACTTGCATTTTACAGCGTCGCCCCTTATATCTGTTGAGGCAGGATCGGTAATTCAGTTATAAATTTCCCTGGTAAATCAGGAAATGTAAGTAAAGATTTAAGACACATTGAATGAAAAAACTCTGCCATTTGCACTTTTCAAAGATGTTGGTAAGGACTCATACGAAAGAACCTTAGTGTTGATAATAATTGCCTCCTCTATTATGTCGGTACATATAGAAGTGACAACGGAGATCTTACGAAGAATTCTTAACAATGGTATTTCAACTCAAAAACTGACTGAAAGAGAAACATTTTGTACTTAAAGGTTTAATAGATCCAATTTGGTAAAACTGTTTAGTCTTTCAAATACCATGTTATAATTGTGGTATCAAGTGAGGATAGCAGAGTACAATAATTTAACGAAACATATAATTCAGAGAAAATTTTCCAGTGTTATTCTGCACGCACAAACTCTTAATCATATTATAGGGTTGGATAAGGTGAAATTCAATGTGTCCTGATGGAGATAGGGATTCATTACAGAGTCTTTTTTCATTGAATTCACACGTGACATAAATGATCCATCCCATATTTCAGATATTTCAAAAATGTTGGAACGCTTAAAACTAACGAATAATAAAGTCTGTCTTAGTTTATTTATCAGATGTATCACAGTTAATCTGTATTATGTACTGGATTACGTTTCTGATACGAAATCTATCACCCATAGTTATATGACGTAACAAATTAACTGATATGGAATTACTTTCTGCCACTGTACTCAGGTTTCTCCTCATATCAAAAGAATATAGACCTTCTGAACTGTTGGTAGAGCATCGGGTCGGTAACCCCGGTGGTCGCTGGTTTGAATCTGGTCGCGGTTCAAATTCTCACTTCACCTTAAATACTAGTCTGACAAATTACTCCAGATAGTCAAATGATAACCATTAAAGTGCTTTGAACGCTGAATGACTACCCTGATAGGATTATAAATGCTTGATACGTCATTCACAATAGTAAATAATAGTGTACTACTACTGTGTGCTATATCAGATAATATGCAATCTACTTTTGAACAAATTCTATCAACTACGGCTGTCAAATTAAGCCATCAAAATAAATAAGTATTCTATAATTGTTGGTATTTGCTAGTAGCCTTGTTTTAATAATATCCACGGGTCAGTAAAGTGTATCGGTGGCTTCAAATAACTCATCGTCTTCGGAAATTTTGTCTATTAGCCAATACAGCTGTGATTGACTCTTTATCAAACTGAATTTTTAAATAGACAGACAGATGAAATCAACATAGAACCTCGCTCACAAGTGCATCATCTCAAGTTGCTACGCTTCACAATGGTATACAAAAAATCATATCAAAGTAGATTAAGTCGTCTGAGAGGATAAACAATTTGAAGATAAAGGTTAGTGCGAATATTGAAGTTTCAGATGTCAGGAAGTAAATCCATCTTCGCCGTTGTAAGTGATTCACAACCATATCAACAAGAGTTCCCAAACACTGATTCCTTTCGTTTCGGAGACTCCAAACAGGCAGTTACATCTCTGCACACGGCTCAGGCCAACAGTCAGGGACTTCATCAACTGGTAGCAGGTCTTCATCTGACCATCCTGAAGTATATTTCAGTCTAGTCCAACTTCCTCTATCATTGCACGACGACGTCGGCGGTGACTTAGCATGCACAGCATGTGTCCAAGCAACCTCACTCGATGTTGGTTCAATACCTCTTCAATTCACTTGGTTGTCTTGCCTAGTACCTTTCACTTAACCTCAACATTGCTGACACAATAATTCCACTGAACGTGACCAATACTACGAAGACACCTTTGAGGAAAATACTGTAGGCATTTCATGTCTTCTACTTTCAGTGACTGTTTCACACCTGTATAAGAGGAAAGAACAGACTGCAGCTCAGAATGCCTTAATGAATGCTTGCTATTTGATTTCGTTTTTTTTTCTACTATTGCTATTGTTACTTGGCATATTTCAAGAAATAAATAACTAGTTGCTTCGATATAACGTTTTTCTTCCTCCCTCTCTTTTTCTTTTCATACATTTTTCTTCCATCCCCTTTACTGTTAGCAGTCGAAATTCATTCACACTAGCTTTTGACTTTCGTTGTCCAGTGTGCAAATGTATATCGACAATTGACTTACCGATGTTAGGTCCAATTTATTCAAATCTTCCTGTGGAATGGTTACGTTTAAGATTATTATTATCTTCAAATCATCAGTTGAATCAACAACCGTCTGTTGCTAATAACAATGCTAATTTCCAACCATTAAGTTCATGGTTATGCAGTCTCGCTCGTTGGTTAGATATGTTCTCCGATTCGAATGATTTCATATTGGGTCCTTCATTTCCTTTGAAAGATGATGACGGAGGTGGTGCCGCCACTTCGTATGGATCTGTTAGTGATCGTTTGCAGAAAACGGTATGTTGTGTTTTTAATAGCACCTTATTTGTCAACCTTCACGTTATTCAGTAGGTCTTTATTGATATACTTGGGTGTTTACTGATAGATTGTAAGGCGGTTTTTCCCTCTCTCCCTCTTCCAACTGTCTTATCCTAGATTAGCTATCTGTAGTGTATTGTGACATGCACAGTTATTCAGTGATTTTGGGTTGGTCAACATCATGGACTGACATAAGTTGGCGGAACACTAGAAACCTGAGGATACTGGACAGCTGTTTCGTCCTAGTATGCGACTTGTCAGCAGTGCGCACCCATGACCCCACCCTCCACGGATCGAACCCAGGACTTTCAAGTTCTGTGGTCGGAATCTTCTGGTCCATATTTCCTACTTCTGTGGCGCGACCTGTATCCAATATCCTCGTTGATTAACTGTCCTCTGGTTCGACTTGGTTGACCCCACTGATCACGACTTGTCACTGGACTTCAGGAATCACCCCTCGAAGCTAGTTACCAATGAGGGCTAGATTAACTCTATTCAGTGATTTACTGGGAATGGAATGCGGGAATCACATTGTATAAGAGAACTGAAATATTAAAAATGATGATCTCAATCAACTAGTATTCAATTGTACTTCCTTTTTAATTTCAATAAACATTTCACGGAAGACTCGTTTGTGTTTAGCTCAGCTCAAGAGCTTTGTTTTGACTCCTACCTATTTCCGTACGGTTTGTGCATTCGAAAAAACTATCTGATAAAGGCAAGCTATGGGTGTGCCCAAATCCATCTTCTTTGCATAAAGTAAGTTATTACATTTTTCGAAACTATGTTACAGTGTGAGCATACGATTCATGAGTGTCTCTGAAGTGTCTACACGAGCAACTACTGGAGAATAGACCATGGAATCACATCAGTTGGAGAACCATTGAAAACCTAAAAGCACTAGACAGCTATTTCATCCTAGTATAAGACTTCTCAGTAGTACATGCCGGAGGTCGAACTCATGACCTTCAGGTTCAAGTGATAAAGTTCTTTCCTTCCATAAAATAACAAAAATTAATCGGCTATCTTAGTAGTTGTTACGGTTGGCTTCTTGTGATTGAATGATGATACGACTGAAAACAAGATGTGTAAGCACTTAGTTACCATTATCTGGAATCGATAGCGATGTGACATGCATTGAAAAACTAAAGACGGAATGTATATGTAAACTATGCCTTCTAATCAGGCTCATGAATATGATGCATAGTCACTATAAAAAATAAAATATAGTTGACGGATCATGTGTTAATCTTCTTTATCTGTTATTTTATTAACTTGATTTCTTTCTCTATATTTTCATGCGATCATTTTTCTATTCAGACTAGTGGACCACATTCATTGGAAGATTACACCCTGTGGAATTTCAGTAATATAGTCTCATCGGATAATTCTTTAAACTGCTCATCGTCTACATCATCACCATCTCTTGATATCGGTTTAGATAATTGTCCACCGAGTGCAAAACTTTTAGCATTCAGTGAAAATTATGAAGCAGTATCAAATTTGATTAATGCAGTAGTTAAACGAATGAAGTATAGTTTAATTTTACAAGATGATGATGATGATTTCAATAATAAAAAGGATAATACTAATAAAAGTACTTCAAAGAATACCAATAATTATGGTACAAGTAGTAATGGTAATACCAATAATAATCGCAACAGTCTGAATCCATTGAGTCGACAATTTTGGACATCTAGACGATTTTCTAGACGTGCTTCAGAGATTGACAATGCTACTACAAGTTATTCAGCTAACAATAGTAATTCAACAATAAACGGAGGTTCTGGTTTAACAAGTTTTCTTCCATCACATTCTGCATCATTATTTGTAGCTACTAATCTGTTCACTTTTGTTCAACGATTAGCAAGTTTATGTCAACCTACCCCATTGGATTCACTTGTACAACGTCCAACTAGTCGACGTGCTGCCAACACTGTTGTAGATTGTAAGTCGATTTTATTTCCTTTTCATTATCTTGTTATTTCATGCCTTAGAAATACAAATTAATAGGTTCATCTTGGGAATAACACTCAACTTACTGTTACTTTTAGTGTATATTAGTTGATGAACAAAACAGTTATCTGATATTGTACAGCTAATAAAATATGAAAGAATGATGCTTGATCTTGAAAGTATCACTTCTTATAATCAAGGGTGCATAAACCTACGGAATGATGAAGTGTAGGTGATGATTGTGAAAACAATCCTCCGTTGAATGTGTCTCATATCATGTATTCATTACTGACTGACATCAGTGTGAGAGGTTTCATGGCCAGCACCTTACCATTGAGTTACTGAGTTGAAGTCCAGTGGTCCATATTTCGTACTTCTGTCAGTTCACCAATGTCGTCGTTGATTACTTGTCCTCACCTTCACCAGATTCGCTCCACCGGTCATGACTTCTCATTGGAACTTTAGGAATTACCTCTCGAAGCTAATCACCGTTGAGCGATTCTCTTTAGTTCCAGTGAGTCGTGATCAATGGGGCCAACCAAGTAGAATATGAGGAAAGTTACTCAACGACGACATTGGATGTAGGTCGCGCTATATCGTGAACTGATAGAAGTAGGAAATATAGACCATAGGATTCCAACCTGGTGGCTCAATGGTAATGTGCTGGCCGCGGAACCTGCAAGTCTTGGGTAGATCCGTGGAGAATGCTATCATGGGTGCACAGTGCTGAGAAGTCCCATACTAGGGCGAAACAGCTGTCCAATACTCCCACGTTTCCAATGTTCCTCCAACTGGTGTTAGTTCATGATAAATACCAACCTAAAATGATTAAATCTCCACAAACCTCCATCTTTGGCTTTTCAGATTGTTTCGTATTATTCTTCTTTTATACCATCTATTATGGAGTTGTAGTTTATTGCCTTAATCACTTAATTTTAACGGATCAGTCCTGAGTTCTAGTCCAGGTCCGCTTACTGAGGTTTGGACAGACATACAATAGATTTAATTCATTGCCTATTACACTAATGTGCATGCGGTTACTCAATACATGTCACCTGAATGCCCAAGCTGTGAGTAGGTGATGTATGATTCGAACCTGTGACTCAGTGATTGAAAGTCAATGAACCATTACGCCGACTAGCATTGACCTATGTAACAGGTAGCATTACTCCGCAGCCTAAGAATTCAACCAACCATACAGATTGGTGGCATTTTCCGTAAACATTTGATATTTACTATCTATTCCTGTGAAAAGCTTATCTTTTATTCATTTTATTCTTACTAAACTTTCATTTATGGTTACCAATGGATCAGCGATTCCTTATATACCCAATGTTATTAATGAAGAAAACAATGATCAAGTTGTAGCATATATTGTAGCGGATACAGATGTTCAAGTCAATTCATATTCATCTGATGATGACGATGATAATACAACACCGCCTAATCCAAATGTTCACTTATTGGTCACACAATCAGAATTCAGTACATCATCTACTACTGGAAGCTTAACTAGCAGTTACAGCGGTAATCCTTCTAATCTGACATCGAAAACGACTACAACACCTAACAAAAATACCGAACAATCTATAGGAAACTTATTACAAACTATACCGTATAATTCGTATTCAAGTCTTTCTGAAACCATTGAACACTTTCATTTAGATTTTATGAGCTTTTATGAACGCCTACGTACACTTGGCTCATCAATCCCGCATACAACAGGTATTGTAACACGTGCAACAACAGTCAACTCTCCAATATTAAGCTCTTCAAAAGTACTTCAAGTGTCTGATCATGTTACAAAAACCACTGAAGACTTCAATCATAAAATAATTGTTAATTCGCATAATTTTGCTAAGAATTATTTAGAACGTGTTGCACAGCGTGCACGTAATGTAATATGGTCAGCTGCATGTGAATGGAGATCATTACGACATAGTGTAGCGTATACACTAATTGCTTCTGAACGTGTGAGTGATTTCAGTCTGTATATTTATGCATAACTCCTTGATATAGAATAATTTACTCTACTGCACTATTCTTTATTCTTTTTTAAAAAAATGTCTCAGTGGGAACAACACTCACTGAGGTGCAGTTACATCCAGCTGACGAGTCCCAAATAGGACGAAACACACGTCCTGGATTCTTCTGCTAGTCTCAACCAAGCAAAATTAGAATACAATATTGTTATATTCTTGGAACTTAGTCAAAATAGAACTTAGAAAATACACGTATCTGTACCATTTCCTGCCTTTGACACGCCAATATATCCGATAAAGCTACTTAAACGGAAAGGATTATATGTATGTAGGGTAGTAAAATCCTCAGGATACAGAGGTAAATGTATTTGCGCCACTATGTTCGATTTTTTGCCTGGCTTAGATGAACTTTTTATGGTACTGCATGTGTGTGAACGATTGTTACTTCTTTACTGTTCCTCCCTCACCATAGAATTAAGTGTTCGTCTGAAGTACATGAATAATTAAATGGATTAATTTTGTGTGTGAGAGTTCAGCAGACATCTACTTGAGGCAGTTCATACACACATACTTTTTGAAAGTCTCAAATTTAGGCTAGTTTTTTTCTTTTTTGAATTCAGTAGGAAAACTCATGCTGTTGACACTGAAATACTACAGGATCCGATACAACTTTAGTGTTGACCTTTTGATAAGAAGAAGTAGCATCAAAGTGGAATAATGGTTATCCGCGATAACCTTTTTACCGCTTTTGCATCCTTTATAACCATCAGTGTGACTCCCCCCCACCTGAAACTCTCATCTTAGCGTAAGCATTTCACAATATGACTGTAAGGACTTCCTTTCATCTTACTATCGTACAGATGTTTGTGGCATTTCATGCCTTACTGCTTTAGTTTTTCAAATATATTTGGTTGTCTTGTGAACCCTTCTTCAGGAAGTTGATATCGTCAACCACATCACAGAATGAGTTTCAGTGACGTGATATTTATCAGCATAGGGATTACCGTTTTCATACCCGTAGCTTTTTCCACTACATTTGAGCTAATTTTAGTTCTTTACTATACAAGTGAATAGTCGTTTTGGTTCATTTTACCAACATAAATTTATTGCCATTGTTTAAACTAATCGTTGATGTTCATACCCTGATCCATTGTTGTTTTTTAACTTCTGCATTGTTGTGAGTACTTTGTGTAAACTTTTGCAATGTAGTAGACAAGTTCTGTGCTTCTTTGTCATAGAGTTAAATTATTTAGGTTATATTATTATTATTACTAATAGGTTACAAACATGGTACAGTGAGGGCGCCAAGAAAGGCACCACACAAAATAGTACAACAACATTGTCAAGGTATTAACGATAGGAAGTGAATAAGTAAGAAAGAAGGACAGTTCAGTAAGATGCAATAAAAATAAAACAATCAATACTTTTCTGTATCAGAAGATAAGAGCATGACCCCTACTGGTTTTCATTCTGAGCCATATCTGATAACGTCTCAAGCTACTTACTGAGTGGCGTGATATCCCGGACCCCACCCAGAGAATCATGATGAACCAACAGATGCTAAGTTGATACAACTATCCTTCATCCTACAGGATCACATCATACACTGAACACCCCTCCGCTCTTTCCATTTAGTCCCAGGGCCAGCAAGTAATGAACGGTATGGAAGCCGTTGGGACAATATGCGAAACATATGTCTAAGTCACTGAAACCGGCGTTTCCAGATGACTTCACTTGTTGAATGACAATCTCCTTCATGCCCAACCACATGCCTTCCTTCATTAGAATTACTTACATGGTGTTGTCACCGAATACGAGCAATCCTAAAGATACAAAATCTTCAGTTCGGAGGGGTCAGATTTCACAGGCGTAGAGCAAAAGTGCTGGCACTGAAGCGTTGTAAACCCGAGCTTTTACAGTCAGACTAACGTCACGACGGCACCAAAGGTGCCCCAAATTAAGATACGCCACTCAGGCTTTCGATATGTTGTTGGAAATTTTACCGCACACCACCAGCACTCACACAGCTACTCAGATACATGAATATTCCTACTACTTCTGACGACTCACTATCGCTGGAGCATAGGCAGATATGACAAAAAGACATCATTTGTTTTGATAGTTACTTCCTACTTGAAATGAGCCTTCTAGCCTGACCGTCGAGTAGTGTAGCCTCGTTTCGAGCGGTTATTGCGACACCGACACTAGCGAAGCTGGTTGTCGCTGCCTTATGGTCCCTGGATAAGCGCACATAAACATACTTTTCGAGCTGACAGAAGGGGAGCTAATTCGAAACACTTCATTTGGATCTGGTATGCGAATCTCTGAAATGCAACATGCATCAACAGGGAGGCTTTTCTGAGTCATAGCTAAACCTGCTTGTTGTCTGATCTGCATTAAGGTGTGAACGTTAAAGTTGGCGAGCTTAAATGATACTCGTGGTTTAAGGATAGCTGTGTCACGCTGGAGGACAGCTTTATGGAGGGGGGCAACTGTTTAGCAACTCAACATGGTACAGACAAACCAGAAGTCTATGCAGCGGAGTGAAGTGGAGATAAAGACATAAGCGAAGATGATAAAAGTAATAATAAAGTTTGTATGTGGAAACGACAAAATCAAAACAATAATATGAACAAACGGTTATAGTGTTCGTACAGCAAAAGTCTTCAGTATTTGTAGGAAAGTTGAGTAAGTGCTTCGAAACCTTCATTGTGTACTGTAAATTCATATTTTTTTGCGGAGGTTGGAATATTGCCCAGGCACGTAGACGGAAGCAGTTAGTTGTCTTACGAGACCACTCCCTGACCCTTTGACTTGAAGTCTAATCCACAAAGTAGTGGAGCCAACATCTGGAGACGTATTCCCATGGTTACCGGTGATTGAAATAGGTTCCTACGCCATTCGTTCCATTTGCAACCTAGAGCCTATTAGCACCATTGGTTCGGAATCATGATTTTTCAAATCCCTTAGGTGAACTTCCGGTACCCACCAATCCAGTGATAAGCCCTGGACGTTTGCCTGCACTCTTTCACACTTTTGGAAACACACCCACCACATAAAGTCAATGAATAGGATTTCTCTGGTAGAGGCTGTGAACTCATACCAGGGCATAATTTCCAAGTTAAGTGGTTGGAAGTAATTCTACAAGAAACCGAATCCCAGGTTTTCGCACCTATTGGGACTCGTCAACGTGTTCTTTCAACCTTGTGGATCGTGATTTACTTCCTGAACTTAATATTTTCATGTTGACTGTGTTTAATGTTTTTCACTCTCTTTAAGGTATTGATTCCTAGAAACGTATCATACATCCTAATGATGTATGCGTTATTTATTCAGGACCTCTCAAATTATATAGTACACCTTCAAGAGTGCATCAGAATTTTGTGTATTGTTTCACTGTAAAGAGACTTTATTTTGTAGTGCTCTCTCCCCCCCTCTCTCTCTCTCCATAAAAGATTACGCTGAATAACTACGCATATTTTCTGACCTTATTAGACTGGATATAAATTTGATACTGACTAAACTGTCATCGGATACTCAACTACTCCTTTCTGAATAACCTAATTGAAATAAACGTTTTGTCTTCTCTGAACTCTGGTTAAACATATATTACCATCTGTGTATCATACAATACTAATTCTAACCAAATTCATTCTTTAATTTTCAGAGTTTAAGGTTACATGGTTGTCATGCGAATTTCTTTAATGGTGGTCTTGCAGAACGACGAATTCACGGTCTTGAACATTTGTTAAGTGTCTCCTTAACAGCACATTCACGACATGCTGTTGTTTCACGTGGTTGTCCATTATCATGTGATACAAGTGATTCAAAGACATTTGGACATCGATACTGTTGGCCTCAATTAAAAAGTCATCCTGTTTATTGGTGGTGGTGGTCCTACTGTGTTCCCTTTGATGCTGTGTCTAAGTCACAATTAAAAGATAGTAAGTATAGCCTTGTTGATAGTTGGTATTTGTAATCAATTGTCACTGAAGGCAAGGATATTTATAACGTCAACTATTTTGATATTTGGTAGCAATCAATTGGTTATCTTGAACTTAATCTCTCATCAACAAAAAGTGTTTCAAGTAGTAGAGTGTTGTCAAGTAGTTGGAACCAATCAGCAGAAAATTCTCTCCTATCTAGGTTTCGTTTTTTATTGACACTTATCAAGAAAGTGTTTGCAATCTCTGAGGAATTGCTGTCCCTTCAGGCTATTAGATCCTCTCGTAGTACTGGATCTGGATAGGGTAACCCATACATGTTATCAATTCTTATGTGTTGATCAATTTATTTTGATTGTTATGCGGTGTTATCACCAAATCCAGAGACTCAACATTACATTACACTATGATCCATTGCCTATAAACGCCTAACATGTATTGAATTTTTTATAGATCTGATGTAGATATTGTATCATTTCTGTTGCATGTGTTTATTGTTGAGACATTGACTACGGATTAGGTGTTCCATTTTTCTCCACCTAACTACAATAGTCGGTAGAACGGTTACTGTGCTCCACTTCGTTGAGTGGTTCTTATGTGTGTGTGTGTGTGTTTTGCTGTATGCAGAGAAATGGTTATTGCTGACTTCACAATAAATTGTACCTACTACAAACATCATTCTGTAAATAATTTTGTATTATTGTGTGCTATATCAGATATAATTGTTTAAATATAGAGCCTTTTTGATGGGGTTAAGTTCTCTGAGTTGCATTGTCTAATTGTGAAGCTTTCGTTGTCATTCTAGACAACATCATTAGCGCAAATTTCTGAAAAAAAGTAAGTTACAAGGTTTCCTCCTCTCTTTATTCAGTAGGTTGTTGTAATGTTGTTGTGTATGGTTGGCTGCTTCTTCCAGGATCTTGTTTTTGTCCTCAAGTTTATTTTGATTGGTTTTCTTGATGACCTGATATTTAACCTTCTCGTTATTTCTTATCGGTATGTCTATTATTCACTGGGTGATCTCAATGCCAAGTCTCTTAAATCCCTCTAACATCCTTTGTATTTCCGCTATCCAGGATTTCCACATTTTCCCCAGTCAAATTCATGTCCACAGTTTTCCGTATGCATTAATATGAGCGAAGATATGTCATAACGCGTCATTGTTATTTGATGTTCATGTGGACGGATGCGAAAAGGGCGACCACTCTGTCCGATGTAGTATTTTTCTTAGTTTCTATAGATTATTTTGTTGATGATGTTTAGTTTGTCTTCCTTTGCTATTGTATCTTTTTGCCTGCATAACAGAGAGTGAAGAGATTTTTTGTAGTGTTGTGAGATACAGTGACCCCAAAAGGCTTCAATAATCTAATCGCGATATTCGAGACGTCCTTCATACAAGGGTAGGGCAATTCATTTGTCAGTTTTCGACATTGACTTCTTGATTGATGACGAATTATGTAAACACCTTTTGGTGGAGTTATGTAGGTAGCTGTTCTTCTGGAAAACAGTTATTAAATAGTTTTCTTGTTTTATCCACAGAGTTGATGTACCACAATCTGTTTTTGCTCTTTTGAAAGATGCTTTTGTACAACTAATTTTGTGTGCTGTTGGGTTGTTGCTATTAAAGTTGAATATTTGATCTGTATGCGTTGGTTTTCAGCATACTTCAGTTTCCCTGAATTCGTCCTAGTGATTAGAATACCTAAAAATGCAAGTCTGTTATCTGATTCCTTTTCATTTGTGAATTTGATATCTTCGAAAATGCTGTTGCGTAATTTGTAAGCGTTTTTCAATTCATTTCTCTTAATGATGAAAAACAAGCGCGTCATTTTCATATAAGATCTAAAGTTTTGATTTGATCAACGACAATATAACATTTTCAAATCTTTGCATTACTGCTTCTGTAATTAGTCTTGATATAGGCGAACCTATTTTTGTTCCATTCGTCGTTTTGTACAGATGGCCGTTGAAGTGAAAATATATTGTAAGGCATAAATTAATTAATTCCATCCGACTTGAACATTGTAGTTGTATGTGTTCCGAGAGGTGTGTATTATTTTTGAGGAGAAGAGTCATTGTATGCATAACCAGTTTCGGTTCCATTTAGGTGTAACATCGAAAGACACTATCAGTTCACCGTTGTTTAATCTTTTCCATATATTATGTTGAAGAGTTGATAAAGTTGTCGGATGATTATACCAGATGTATTAATTCTCTGAAGAGTTCTTTTGAAAGGTTGAATGTTAAGGTTTCTAGAAGTGAAATAATTGACTGTAGTGGGATGTTTGGTTTTTGTATTTTTGGTCTACCATTGAAACATGGAAGAACAGGTCGATTGAACTTTCTTATCTATCACTCTTGTTTGCTAATTTGCCGCGCTTTGGCAATTCTGTTCAAGGTCTTGATGATTTGTTTAGCAAATTTCTGAATGGGTTTTGCCTCCATTAGTTGAGGTCCATGAGTAATTTTTCTGCTTATTTGATCTAGTCATCTTTATCTACCAACGTTACCCACCTGAGCTACAAATATTCTCAGAATATGGAATTATATTATACGATAGTGCCCATATTCTAATAATAATATTCCAATAATAATAATAATAATAATTGATTACTTCTCATTACACTTTCTCCTCCTTCATTATAATTTTTAACTCATTTTAGTTTCTAATGCTTGTCGTCTTAATAAACCACCAACATTGTTGAATATTGCTGTGACAGCTGTTAATGTTGCAGCTACTGAAGATGCTTGCTTCCTTTGGCGTTTATTACTTCCACCATTAGAGAAATATGCTAAATCTGTGAATGATACTTCTTCATCAGAGAAATTAAAATATGATACATTTTCTTCAATATCACATATGCATTCATTGCATTCAACGAATAATAATGCTCAGTCTACAAGTCTTCTCTGGGATGTAAGTGATTATAAAATTGAATTTCCATAGGAAAGAAATGTAAAATTTAATACCTTTTTGTCTAAGGTTATTTATTGATGCTTGTCATTTCCCCTTGGATCGAATTTTTTTTTTGTAATTTTAATGTTTTTTAAAGATTATTTATGATATAATTTGACTGTTGGTTACTGATAGTGGAATCTACAATTACACTTGTCAACTAGATGTACTTTTATCTCAATGTCAGTGATGGGGTGTTCTTATTGTGACTCAAACCTTATCACCTATCGCTTCAAACATTCATCAGAGAAAAATCACTGTTGTGACTTAAACGATGTAGTGTACAGGTTTATAATGTTGTGAAGTGATGGGTGCTGGAGTTCGAGTTACAATGGGAACAGCCTCACTAATTGCAATATGAGTATACATTCAACCAACGAGTCGCATATTAGACTAGATTCATTTCCTGAATTCCATTGCTATCCACCACCAAATGAATTACATCTTATTTTTAAAAGTTTCTATTAGGTTTTTCTTTGGCAAACATGGAGTCATTTGTTAAGTCGCTTCCGTTAGCATATCATATTTAAATAAGTGCTTTTTCTGTCTCTGTAACTTGTTGTGAACATCCTCTTCCCGCCTGCTGCAGCTCAATCAATCCATGTTTACAAACTTTTCCACTGATATTTACCTCTCACTTAGAAAACCCCATTTTTCAAGGTTTAGCTGGTTTAAAAAACTTTTCCAGTAACCAAGTGCATGCTGTTGCACTAGACTGTGAATCACTCCGATTATGTTAGGGCTAATGACTGATAATACCTGACTCACGAAACCTTGGTAAGTTGAACAGGATTCGAAGTTGTACCCGGTTGGTTGAGAGTTGCAAGTGAATCAATGCCTTGAAATTATCATTATTATTTATATAGTAGACCAAGTCACACTGTTGTTCAGTAGATTCGACCCTTTTCAGTAGTTCGCACATTTTACTAGTTTCACATTTGGTATGGATTAGTTCGCTATGAAGTTACTACCCTAGGATTTCGTTATGCGCCAGCCTATCAAATCTCATGCAACATCGTGCTACAGTGAAGTAGTCAACGTGTTGAACACACCTATTTCTTGTCATCCTGAAGATTGAGATCAGTTATGACAAAGGAATACATAGTTCATGAAGTCTAAACAAGTAATATTAATTGTGTTCCATCGGATAGGTGCTTATTTATGAACACTGCAATCGTGTGTCTCCGTTAGTAGAGGATAAGCTTAGGTAAAGCTAGTTGAAGAGACTTTCTTCTTTGCTTACAGCTTATTGTAGCCACTAACAAGTCTCCTCAATGGCCAGTCAAGATCAACATGAGGCTTGCCGTCACTGCATACCATTTCAATATGCCATACCACATCAAGGTAGAAGGTGAGGAAATTCGACACGATGATTAAGATAGAGGTGTGAATAGATCTGTGCTAAGCAGATGAATTCTTACCCAAATCACTTTGATTCTCCAATCACCGATTCTCATTATCATATGAACCTCAACCGGAGAGTCTACAAAATTCCCCGTAGGTATTGATGATATATTTATATACAAAAAACTGAATTGAACTATACATCATCATCATCATTATTATCAACATAGGACCAAGCATTACTGCGTAACGGTCCGAGTTGCCACACCTCACGTCAGTTCATCAAGTAAAAAGGTAGTGAGGTGAAGGATGAAGATAAGTGGATGCAGTCAAAGGAAGTATAAAGTACGAGAAGAAAGAGGAGTGACAAAATGGTAAGATTCCGTATAGCGTCGTTTAAGATGAGGATAATATGTACATACACCTGCGCCACCGACATCGGTTCTGAGCCATATCACCTAGGGTCTCCAACCACTGGTTCCTCTTGTCACTGGGGTCCCCAATCACCTAATCTACATCGTCCCACATGGCTTAAACCAACAGTCAGAGACTTCATACATTGGTGCCATGTTTTAGTCTGGCCACCTCGGGCCTTTTTCCAGCCAGGACCCACCTCAGCCAACATTGTGTGACGAGGCAATCGGTGACTGGGCATACGTAGTACGTGTCCCAACCATCTCAGTTGATGAAGGTTCACAACTATACAAGATTTGATGTACGCACTGTCTCGCATACGTCATTATTTTACGTAATCATGTCTAAGCCCTATATTCATTCTTCTTAAATTTATGCATGAGAGATACCTTTGAGGTACTCTCTTCATTATTACTTCCAGTGATAACTATTTAATTATGTTTAATAATCCCAGAAAGTTTCATGCCTACAAGCATTTTAAATAGATTAGGCTTTTGTTTGAGTATTTCGTTGTTTTGCTTTGCTTCTCCGAATTGTATATCCAAAGAAATATCCAATCTCTTGAAACATTGATCTCCCACCTTTTAGTTTCACAATCAATTGATCAATAGTATTCAGTGTTTAATCTCCACTTAGCGGTTTCTAATTTTTTGTCTATGTACCCTAAACACATGTATAAATTCGTAATGTAGTCATTTGTCAACTTAGTTGCATCATAAGCTTTATAAACCGTTTTCAAGACCACATTATCCTTATTTAAGATTCACTAAGACTGATACTTCAGGAAGATCCAACACGAACACTGATTGTAATTGTAGTAATAGGTATACTTGAGACATGGTACCTGCCGATTGGAAGAAAGGCTACCTTTTCAAACTCTTAAAGAAGAGAGACCTAAGTATTTGCAAGAACTGGCGCGGAATCATGCTCCTGTTCACCGTAAGCAAAATATTAAGCCACATCGGCATGGAGAGACCGAAAAAATGCTCTGGATTCAAAAACTACCACCGGAACTGGCTGGCTGGCTTCAGGAAAAGCAAAGCATTTACGGATCGAATTGCAACGCTACACTACGCTACGCATCATCATGGAGTGTAGAATGGCAGTCAACTCAACTATCTACCTCAACTTCATCGCTTTTGAAAAGACCTTCGACAGCGTCGACCGAAAAGTAATTTGACAGGCAGCTGCTTCAACACTATGATTTTGGTACCACAAACCTTTATCAACCTCATTCAACAGCAGCTATATGCTATGTGATGATGCTACATGCCAAGTGATTCACAATAGAAAGCTCAGTGTCGTCTTTGAAGTGAAGACAGGAGGAAGACAAGGTTCTCAACTATCACCGATGATCTTCCTGATTGTGGTCGACTGGACTGGATCATGCAACAGACAACTGTGAGAAGACGAGCATACAGTAGCTGGACCGATGAAAAGACCCCAGAAGATTTGGATTTCGCCGATGGTGATGATTTATGTCTAATATCTTTTCGCACAAACTCGAAGATCTACAGCCTTCCTACCTGACCCCTTTTATTTTCTCACCCCTTATCTTCTTGAGTTTTTATATAAATACCTATGACAAGTACGTGTGTGATCAGATAGATCGAAATGTGTTGCGCAAATACATTACACGGTTCACGTAATTTATGTCTTATTGTTTTGTCGAAGTTTATAAAGGGAACTAATTGTTTTAAAAACTGATAAGTCGACAGAAGAGGTAGGGCAGCGAAGATGGTACTGACTTCAGGTGAACGTAGAGAAGATACAGGTGATGAAGATACTCAAACAACAACAAGCATCAATCACCATCAACGATAAAAGTCTAAAGGAAGCCGTCTATTTCACTTCCTACCTAACCAGCATTGTTTCAACTAAAGGCAGCGACACAGGCACAGACATATAAGGATGTCAAAGCAGCCAGGATCGGAAAGATAGCAAGACAGGCCTTCATTAATCTAAAATAGTCAATGTGGATGTCTACTGCACTGCACTCAGCATAAAGCGTGAACAAGATCCAGATTTTCAACAATCTCAAGTCAGTGCTTCTATATGATGGTTAGGAGACTTGGCGCGTTACGAAAAGCATTTCCAGCAAACTGCAGAAATTACATCACATGAACAGCTGCCGGCTACACTTACTCGATGCTGACAGCAAAGATGATCAGATGGCGAGAATAATAAGAATAAACAACAAAAAAAACTCACTATGACTGGCTGGCAACGAACCAACCTAGTACCTATCACTCAACAAATATGCAGAAGATGAAAGTGGAGATGGATTAGATTGGACATACACTGAGAAAACCATCTGGTGGCATCACACGCCAGGCCGTCGATTGGAACCGAAATGGGAAACAATGAGTTGGGCGTGGTAGTGTGACATGGAGGAGATGGTGTAACTAAGAAATGAAAGCTTGTGGGCTATAGTTGAGCCAGATAAAAGGGACTTTAGAGAAGAGAGTGAATTCGTGACGTTCTACTGAACCCGTTTGTTCCTCTAGGAACCCAAGGAACAAATAATATCCTTGAGACAGTCACAAAAAGCATTCCTGCTAAATAGTTCACCCAAAAGGCTCATTTCAGATGAAATTTTTCACTAGAAATTGTTTTTACTATTTCTAAAGTATCTTATTCATCGTAGACTGCCGTGTATTCAACTGTTCTACAGTACAGCGTATGCCCAGCACATCGTTAGTTGTTAGTTCAGCTAACGTCAGTTTGCGATGGATGCTATTTTGAAACCTATCTTTTCCTATAAAATCCCTGATGTTTTCAATGTGTTGCCACATAGTTTCTCTTTTTCTTCTATACTGTTCGACGTTTTTTTCGGTTTCTGAACATTTCCCACATAATTTTTCCTCTTTTTTAGGTGGATATCACATTCCTGTTTATCAGTTTATTACATTTACGTCCTGGTCTTGAAGAGTTTGGCTTAGATAATTGCCAGTGTACACGTTTAGCCAGTGAAGCTGATGCAAATGTCACATCAGAATCTGGTGCTGCTACATTAGGAGCTCATATATTAGCCTGTGATGAAGGTAGGATACGTCAGCCAATTGGTGATAGTCATGAAACACATCTACTACGCTTATGTTATACCGCTTTATTAGTTCAAAGTCTTTTAGCTTGGAGTCCAAATATGAATTGTTTAGATTATCTAAAACAACATAATCTTATATCAGATTTATGCACATGGAATGATATATGTACAGAATCAGATAACTGGAATATACCTCAGGTTAGTTATCACTTGTATTTCAGATTATTTTGATGTCCAAATTGGATTCTTTTTCTACTCTGCATGGAATCTTAATCACACCGGCATTGATGTATTGCAAATTCTGCAACCTGAAATCTATGCTTTGAAGATTAGGAGGAAGAAATATTCAGACTAACATTATGAAAGACTTTGTAACTTATAATTTCTCACTGTTGATTCGATCGAATGGATCGGCCAATATTTTGCAATATAGTCTCTTATTTGAATGCCTCGATATTGCTGATAATTTTGTCTGATAGGAATGATGGTTTATGACCAGCAGTCATTATCATCAAAATCAACATAGAACTAGGGATTACTACATAACAACCCAAGCTGTCACACCTTAGACCAGCTCATCAAGTAACAAGGCAATGAAATGAAAGATGAAGAGGACTGGAAAAATCAGTTAGAAGAAGTAGAAAGTAGTAAAAGATAGGAAGGAAGAGTATGAAATGATGAGATCTAGCATAGCGGTTAAGATGAGGATAATGCTTGTATACATCTGCGCTGCTGACGTTGGTTCTGAGCCATATTAATCATCTAGAGTCTCCAACCATTAGTTTCTCTCGTCCTTTGGACCCCGACCGGGAAATCTACATTTCCTTACATGTTTTAGTCTGGCTGCTCCTAACCTTTTTGTAGCCTGAACCTACTTCGGTCAGCATTGTGTAGCAAGGCAGACGGTGTCTAGGCATACTTAACATATGCCCCATCCATCTCAGTCGATAAAATTCACAACCGTATCAACTATCTTACCTCTCCTGCATAAAACTCTACATCTGACTTCTGGTTTCTCACGTGGTGACACCATGGAATACGGCCTAAACTACGAAGGCAACTGTAGTCAAACACCTGAAACCTCACGTCTTCCATCTTCAGCGGCCATGTTATACAGCCATAGAGTAGAACAGACCGGACTACCGTGCAGTACAATCTGATATCGTGGTGGCACCACAGATGGCGTAAGTTGGCGAAAGGCAGCTGAGCCTTTAGTATTTGTGTAGAGATTTCGTCGGCCACTAAACCACCATTGATGATCTGATTCCCTAGGTTAGTTCAACTCGCTCAACCACTTCACTTTCTATTGTTAGCTGAAGTAACGTTGAAGACCAATCCTGGAGCAACAATTCGGATTTGTTCTGTGAGAAACGCATCCCAAACTTTTCCAAATTGCTACTCAAAGTGTCCAGAGGACTCTGCATCTTGTCGGCGTATTCACTTAACAAGGCTATGGCATGTCATCTGCATATATCTAGGTCTAACGAAAATTCTCCTGTGATCAGGTCAACTCTGTGTAACCAGGTGACGAGAGGGAGACCTCCATAAGAATATCTATGATAAAATTGAATAAGAATAGAGACAGTGGGCACCGTTGACGGACACCACTCGATGAGTATAGCTCCCTGGACAACTCACCATAGGCTCTAACTGGCCCACAAGTGTTCGAGTAGAAAGCCTTCATTAAGGTGATGTACTTACTCGGCATGCATTTCAGTGAAAGACATTGCCATAAGACTTCTCGATGAATGGAGTCGGATGCCGCCGCCTTCAGGTCGAGAAATACAGCTATTGTTGGGCGTCGGTAAGCGTGCCTGTGTTCCGGGACCTGGCGGAGTGTGAATATAAGGTTGGTAGACCCGCAGCTGGGTCTAAAGCCACCCTGGTTTTCTGGGGCTTGATGTTCGCGAGCTCCACTCAGGTGTCGAAGAATTATAGAATTTAGGGTCGTGGTCACTATGTTCGTCAGGCTGATTTTTCTGTGGTTATCACGAGAGGACTTCTCACCTTTCTTGAAGACTGGAATAATCAGTGATTCTGACCAGTCAGAGGGGATCGTATTTGATTCCTATACACTAGTTTACGCTCCAGTTGACTTGACTAAAAACACTCTTTCACGGTCTTTATATACCTTAGGAACTATTCCTTCTGGTACTCCTCCTCTTCCTCTTCTTAGGTTACCTACCGCTTTCTCGACTTCTTCAGGTGCTAGGGGGCCTATCTGAGTGTTCTGTTCAGGATCCGACTGGATAGGGGGCAACCTAATAGTGGCTGGAGGCTGTTTCTCGAAGTGTTCCATCCATCGTTCCAATTGATTCCCTTGTGACTTAATCGCAGACTTATCCTTCTCCTCTATAGTCCCACTAACCATTGACCTTTTCCCCTCAGTTTCCTTAATTAGTTCAAATAATTGTCCATAACCTTTTCCATCTGTTTATCTTTCGCTGCCCACCACTGTTCATGGTCTTCGCGTATACTTTTTGTCAGTCTGCATTTGAGTCGCGTTCGCTCCTCATTGTACTCAGAGCCTTCAATGATGCGTTGGCGTGCAACCATTAATTCATACGAGGCTGCTTATATCTATTGTCTGTTTATAACCACTCTGTGGACTACGGCTACGACCTTCAATGCTGAATGAAGATAGCACCAAGCTTTTTTTGGATGAGTTGTAGTGCTCTGTTCTGATAACTGCCTAGCCAATTTCGCGCTAAAAGCGGTCTTAGCGCTCTCATTGTCGAACTGCACTTGTAATGGTCTTTCAGACCATTTAGACAGAAAAATATACGCCGCCAAACAAATGCGTGGTCGCTTTGCAAACACGTGCTCCCGGAGTGGCAATCTTACACCGACCCTCTCCAGCAATAACCGATTGCAATGTGGTCTGTCTGTGCCCATTCCTGGTTGAGCTGGATGGACACCACATCAGATGATGTCTTTTTTGACTGATTTTTTTGCTAGCTAGAAATCAGTGGTTATCTGAGCACAGTTGTAGTAGCCGATCACTGTTAGCTGTTCGACCGACTGCGATTCTGAAAGTGCCACCTAAGTGCCTTTCTGCCTGACTCAGCCTACCCACTTTTGCATTGAAATCACCGGCGACAACGACCACATCTGAAAGTTTTGCTTTCAGAAGGAGACCAGACAGTTTTCAGTAGAGCTCATCATTCACTTCATTCGAACTATGGTCGGTGGGTGCGTAAGCAGAGATTACAAAGAGACAACGGAGAGTCCCCTGTTCCTTTTAGTTCTCACTGTACCGTTCAGTCAGATAGCGCAGAGGCGACTATCAACCGGGATCCAGTTTAGTAGTGAGTTTTCTGCCCTAATACTTAATGCTATGCTTACACCTGTAAGACCGCAAGAGCTAGCTATCAAATCTCCAGAGACTCGAAGGGTGGATTTTGCGGATTCACCAGATTGGCCGGGAGAGGTCAGGTGAATAACCACACTTGGGTCCTATATGCGTGTCTCACAAACACAGCACACATCCATGGCCTGAGTTGCTAGAGTCTTGGCTGGTCACTTATGACCTTTTTGATGTCAAAACAAATGACCTGTAGTATGGGGGATGTAGTTGGACTTACACCCTTCGGTTTTAGTTTATCACCATTCACTGGTGACTAGTCTAAGCCAACATAGTCCGTCATCCCTTTATTTATCGAACGTATTAGGGGTAAGGGTAACTTCTTTTTGTGTAACCACTATCCAATAGATCTACGTGGTACTGCAGGACCTCGAGGGAACAAGTGTTCCAAAAGCATAGGTCGTCGGGTCATCGTAATATACATACATGACCACCACGTCAAGGCATCAGCTATCGGTCGAGAGTGGTCAACAGTGGAATCCAGGACGCCCATTTCGGCGTAGATGGGACTTTTCATTTTAATATACCTGCGTTTCAATCAACAACAGAAAATCACAAGGTTCACTATGGAAATCACACTCATTACACATGAAGTAGTGGAGTGAATGACACTATTGCGTTGGTTGCTTGGTCCGAGTCTCAAGGGAAACACCACCAATTACTGAGAGGCAGGTACATCCATTTTGACCAGCTCCAGCTAGTATGAAACACGCATCTTTGATTCCACTGCTGGCCACTCTCTATCATTACTATCAATTATGCAAGATATTAGTGAACGGTGAACAAATTATCTGTAGAAGAGGATGAAAAAGATATGCGGCTTCGAGTATCTTAAAGTTCCTGAGCAGGAAGAAATTCATCAGTCAAATCAACCACACGTCAAACAATTTTGGATGTATAAGTCATTCATGCTATTGATTAGATTGTCTTAGATAACTTTGGCTTAGTAAGCTGGTCTTGATGTGACGAGATATTAATTGAAGTTGAAAAAGTAAATAGATCTCGAAAGGCTTCTTGGTTACCACCTACACAGCACTATGCGTACTGAGTTACTTGACTTATTCATGCTAACTTTGCATACTACATGTTTTTAAGTAGTATTCTACTTTTTCTTCTTTACTTTTTAATGAATTAAACGATTTGCTAATAGCGAATAATATCGTTGTATTATTTGTGTTTTAATTTTATCCTCAAGTTGCTTGATGTTTGGCGTTTACTGCGGGATCTGTCTGGTCTTCCTGCACCAAATTTATCTACCAATGGTATTGATGATGATCCAGCTTATGTGACACATTTAACACAGTCACTGGGTTTATTTTTACGTGCCAATTGTTTACCATTTCTACGTGTTGCTGCTTTTATCATTCATAAGATCACAGGTGTTGATGTTCCAGCTGATCTTCGTCAACCTACTTCTTCGCAGGATTCAATAGGTTAGTGATTTTTTTAGTCTTCAAACATTATTTCATGTATGTTTTGTCCTCAAGTGTTCAGCTATAACGAATACTTTTTCCTAAGTAAAGAAGCCGTGATTCATCGATGCAGATATTCGGTTTTCATGCTACAGGTTCTGTGTTTGAGTCTTGAAATAGTGGAGAATATTTGTAGCTTGCCTTGACGAAGCGGTCTATGATTGGTTGGCTGTCCCTCTGCTTGACCTCTGACCTTTCTGTCGTTTATCATTTTTCCTGTAGGTGGATAGATTGGGTGTATGTCTATGCATCTAATGATTGCCGACTGACTGACCTGAATGCCAAGCTTCTAGGAATTCTCTGATATTCCTTGTGTTTTTTTTTACTCTTCGTCCAAGATTTCTACATTGTCGAAATTAAATTCATATCCATAATTATCTACATGCATTGAGTTTTTCTACTCAATGTGCTGAGTTCTTTATCATCCGAGAGACATGATCAAGTATCATATTATACATGTAGCCCATTGTCTAGTGTATAAATATGCAAGTGTTTGCTGACGTAAATAAATTAACTGCTAGAATTGAATCCTTTCTATTCTAAAGAGCTTACTTCCGAATACTTTCTTGCCTAAAGTCTTTGAAGTTTTAGATTAAGACCATTTAACTCTTATCTCAGTCGTATTACAGACTATGTAAACCTGTTTTTAAAAAAGGCAGCCTAATTTTACACATGATTTCCAGTCGATCGAAGGGTCGCAGGTTCGAACCCATCTCCACCTATAGAGGTTTGAACAGCCAAGTAGTATTACTAGTCGTTCTATAATATGTGTGACTCATTGCCTGCTGACATACACCCACATGCACCAAAGCGAATTGGTTATTTCAGTCGTTGCTAGGATTATCTCCAGGATTATCTCTCTTAAGAGGCGTTATTTTTTTCCATGTATTCTGTGTGTATAGATCTTCTGTTGAAACAGTGTACATCAAGAAACTGACTTAGGTCTTCTTAACTGAACTTCAGTGACTATTTACCCTTGCATCTGTACCGAGAGAGAGAGGGAGCTAAAGGAGCTGCTTTCCATGACTATACCCCGGTGTGCTTAAGTGAAACGATATCACTAATTGGAACATAAGCGATCAATTTGCATGAAAACCTGTTCGTCTTGAACAATGTAGATTCAGCCAAACTGATAGCCCATTTTTTGTCATACCTTATTCACTTGATAAATTTACGGAATCAGATGACGTCATTTCGATGCATAGATTCTCTTCAACTGCGCACAACTTTCTACAAAATTCACAGCTGATAAAGACAGTACTAGAAGAAATATACGCAACATGGAAAGTTCAGGATGTTCATTGCAACATTTAGGTATCTAAGCGGTAGATGTTCAGAAGTGAAAAAAAAAATATGATGCTAGTCCAAAATTGAAATTAATCTTCTTTTTTGTAAAGAAGAGTGACTAATGCTTTAAAAATACGATATGATAACGTAATGGTGTGAAAATTTCTTAGTGGAATATGAAAAATGAGTGATTTGTATAACGGTCTAAAGATAAAGGAAGATGTGTAACAACAGAATCCAGGTTATCCGTTTCGCCCTATTTACGACTCATCAGTACAACAACGGAATGTTATATGTATCAACGACTTTGTTTTTAAATACAATTCAGTAAGAAACCATTTCAAATTGTTACGTTGTTATCATCGTTATGAACATAATTCTAAAGGCCACCTTTGCAACTATTGAACCTCAGCATTTACATTTCTATGTTTAATGGGAGAAAAACTACTTGTCGAAAGGAATTGGTTCTTTCAGTTGTTTCTAGGGTTGTATATTGAATTATATTGTGTGTATGTTTGAAGTTATTCATATAAGTTAACTAATTAATGGCTGCCATATTCGTTGGATACCTAGGCCATGTTTTCTATTAACCGCAAAAAGGTAGGGTACCTGTAGTAACTGTCTGTTTTGTGAGAATAGAAACTCTGTTTCTATTTCATATAGGAGTTGTTGTTGTTGTTGTTTGGTTTTTTTGATTGACTGTTCTACAACTTGTGTCATATTTTCTTTTGTTAGACATGTTAATATCTGATTTGATGTCTTTCTTTTCTTTTTATTATCTCGTATTCTTCATCAACATCTTTTAGATAATATGAATGAACATAGTCTCCTTTTAACCTATTTGGGTTTACCGCCTACACCGAGTGATTTATTAGTTCTCTTATCATCATCAACATCACTATCAGTTGAATTGAATCCATTGAACCCTGTAAATCAATCGAATCATCAACAGATAAATATCTCTATGCTGTCTGAATCCTTATGGTTAGCGCGTTTAATAACTAGTTGGTGTTTAACTGGACGTTATTCATTAAGTCGTCAGTTATATCAATCATTATGTCATCGATTTGTAAAATCAACGAACTCACTTTCATCTATTGATGATATAATACCTTATCCGAATAAAAATTTACCGAGATTAATTGAATTACCAAACGAATATACTCATCTGCTTTTACTAGCTATGGATATGGAGTATGTTGAATATTATTACTTGTGTTACTGCTTTTTTTTTCAAGTCTTCTAACGTTGATATAGCACACTACCTGGTGTATTGAATAGGTCTGATTAAAACCCTGCACATATTTGTGTTACTAACTAGATACTATACTCCTTCTTTTGGAAGGAAAGCACACTATTTTTCCGCATTTTATATGTGTTATATTTGTTAACCTGAAAACAGAATTTCTTTATGTCGAAATAAAACTGGTGTAGCAGTGTTTAATTCTGAAAGAACTACTTAATAAGTAAGTTATCCTTTCTACTTCAACTCATGCAGCTGTGTAAGGTCTTGGGAAAGTTTCTCTTCTGCAGTAACTGAAACCAGGAGTGACCACCAGAAATGCCCAATATCACTTATATTCTGTTTAACCTTTTTATCGATACATGTGCTAATCAACATAACTCATGATATATCTGACTCCACAAGTCTTAAGCACATGGTTCTTTTTCAATATGCAAACAACCTAGCCACTTAGGCAAAGACCAACTGACACTGACAAAATCAACGTAGAACCTGACAAACAGGTTACTCCGTTCAACTTACTACACTTCACAGTACTTAGCAAACATCAAGTCGATGCAAAAACAGAAATATCAAAGTAGCAAAAATTGTATGAGAGAATTAAAACTCTGAGGATAAAGGTTAGTGAGAATATTCAAGGTTCAGAAGATGTCGATGAGTGACTACTGTGACCGATTTTCAGCCATGTCAATAAGATTCCTCATCTCGGGGACCCCAACCAACAAGTCTATGTCTCCTCACACTGTCGAGATCAACAGTTAGAAAGCTAATCAACTGTTGTCAGGTCTCCAACTCCTCACTCTAAACCCTCTTCCAATATAGTCCGTCATCATGGAACGACGACGTCGGTGGTGACTCGACATACCCAGTTATATGTCCCATCCACCTCAGTAGATGAAGGTTCACAAAATCATCAATCGACTTGCCTCTATCTTGTCTAGTACCCTTAACTTCAACTCAATATTCCTCACACGTCGATTCCACCAAACGCGAACAAAGATACGCGTGACCGAACACTTGCAACTGCTTCACATCTTCTCCTTTCAAACGCCTTGTCTCACATGTGTATACAGGCCAAAACAAACAACAGTGCAGTATTCTCGTCCTTTAATAGATAGTTGGATATCTCACTAGTTGGTGTCATAGAAGATGTAGGTTGCCAAATACCAAGTAAACGTTCTGTATCTGAGCTGAGATTTCGTCAGCAATCAGACCTTTCAGGTCAATACAACTCCCCAAGTAAATGAAACGGTCGACATATTCCACCGCTTCAATCCCTGTCATTAAACTGAGAGTACTTGAAGCAGACTAGTGATGGAACATTATCTTACATTTGACTGGTCCCAGAGAAATGCATGCTAGACACACTCAGATTTCTACTCAACATATTCGGGAGATAGTGTACTTTGTCAGCGTCTTCACCTTGCAAGACAGTAGCGTCTACACTATCCAAATCGACCAGAAGCATTCCAGGAGTAGTAGGACAGTCAATGTGACTTTGGAAGTATATGTGGTTATGCGGATTAGTACGTTTGTGACGAATTTAAATATGAAGGATGACGGTGAACATCCCTGGTGGACATAGTAGTCGTCAATATACATGACAACTCTCTACATGCCTTGATACGGCTGAATAAGTTCGAGTAGATAGTTTTGATTAACGTTACATTCCTACTCGATACTCCCCTCACACTCTTTACACAGTTCACAGTCGACAAAGTGAAATTTCGCCTTCAGGCAAAGAAATTTGGCAAGTGGAGGTATGTCTGTGTCCTCAGACCCTCATCATAGTGTAGTAATTTACACTATCAGGGTTACTGCTTTTAGTCCTGTCACTATGCAACAGACCTTTCTAGCATGGTAGTACCTCAAGGGAACAAGTATTCCTCTAGGATAACTCTTTGTGTCGTTGTGATATTCAAACTCAACGACCACGTCACGGTAGCAGCTATCTGTTGGGTTATTAGGCTACGACGTCGACAAAATTCTGTTTTTTGAATGCCTTCAGGAGGCATCTCTGTAGAATCGTCATATTCCTGTAAACTCATACTTCACTAAACATTGTAATATCATTTTCGTGTACAATACGCTGTCTGTTTATTGTCGGATGTTAAGCAAAAAATACAATAACTGTCTTACTGATTTTCAGCCTACTTCTTTTGTCCTTGTGTTGTTGTTTTTATCTTTTACAGCTGTCACGCCGAAGGTCGTACACATAGTGATTTAAGTTTATGCCTTGTCTGTGGACATTTGGCGTGTTTATTCTGCTATGGCTGTCGTCAATTTGAAAATAATTCTAATACAAATCAGTCAGCAACGTTGTCACCAATGCTTGCCAATTACTCTAGTCTTAATAATAATAATAATAATAATACTGCTGCTGGAAATATTAATCAAGAATTTGCTGTTTACCGTATGCAAGCCCATTCAAGACGTTGTCATTCCGGCTATTGTCTTTTACTACGTATTCATTCATGTCGTGTAATTCTGTTGTCAGATCAAGCTCGACGTATCACAGAGATACCTGCACCTTACAGAGATTCATTCGGTGAAACTGATCCAGATTTACGGTAATCTATATTGTATTTTATTGGGATTATGTTGTTGGCTGTTCTTTTGATTCACCCTGATCTTTCTGATTTTGTTAATGATGATGTCCCCTCTCTCCGTTTTCCTTTAAATTTATGAGGGTTTTTCCCTCCCCTCTCAATTTTATAGGGTTTGATGTCATCGACTTGTGGTACGCAGACGAGATATATTCCTTTTAGGTGAAGACACCGACAAAATATAGTCTCCTGAATACTTTGAGTGACCTTCAATAATAAAAAAATTTCGATTGCCTTTAACCAATCTGTACTACCTATCCCATAGCCTGTTTAGAGTTGAGTGTGCCATACAGCAGTTTGTTGTGTTCTACTATATAATAACTGTGAAACATTATCATTTCAACGGACTTCCGAAGGTTCCTAGGGTTTGCTCACTGTTACTTTCTTAACATTTTCCATTTGCAACAATGTTTACATTAGACGCAGATTCAGTTGACGAGGCTGAAAGTCTTCATTAACGCATCGTTAGAGAATGTGTTGCGTATTCTTGTTCACTCGACATGTTATATTAGCCTTAGTATTATTGGGTTGCAGCAAGGCTAAGGGGGTAGCCGATATGAAGATAGCAATATCAAGTCCAGAGAGAGTTGTAAGCTTCCAAATCGAAGCCTACGACACCGTAATTAATCTGTGAAAACTCTAGATGATATGGCACTTAGAATCGATTACACCTTATCTTCAATTTAACTGTTTTATCACATCTCGTTATTTACTTTATTTACTCTTCTTTTCGTATCATGACTTCTGTACGGCTTTAAGTTAAGCCTATTTCTATTACTTTTTTCTCTTCCTGTTGCCTTGTGCCTTGCACATATCTGGTGTTGATTTGAGAAACAAAGATTCGGTTGTCGATCTCTCCCTCCATTTGACTAAGGTTTTAATATTATTGCTCTGTCTCATATTATTGTATCGTTGGCAAAAATTGCCTGCATACCTATAGCAGAGCATTTCTCTACATTCCTGGGGCCCACCAATACTGATTTAGCTACGTTTTTGTGTTTAGGTGGTCTAATTGACCTTGCTGGACCACTTTGACCCATGTATTTGACATCGTAATCATTGTCATCGATTTGTTAGACTCAATTATTTTTTTAATTAGATCAGTAGGATTTCTTAACCTATCAAGTTTATATCTGAGTGAGTTTGTAGGTTTAAATGCCAATCTAATCCCAGAATTCATTGTAATACTTCCGAGGTGTCTTACTTCAAAGCAGCACCTGTTCCAGATATGTGGAAAATTCTCTACTACGCCCCATATCACAAACGATAAGAAAAATGTAAGCTTGTATAAACCATTTGTCAAAGTTATGAAATCATCTGATATGAAGATGGATAATAAATTATGTTGGCAAGCGAATCCGATAAATAACTGTTTCACTATGTGCATCACCTGAAACGAATGGAACTGTTCAAAACCTATTGAAAAGGAAATGTGATATTATCAGTATGCTGAGTGGTTTTCATATTTCAGTTTTTCGTTTACTCTTAGGTAAATAAATGGGGAAAGATACGGAAAGATACGGTTATGGCATGGATACACATCATAGTTGAAGTCAATAACACTGAAGTGACGGGATAACACTCGATTAGCGATTTCTGTTCACTGTGTTAAGTTATGAATTAGGAACCGTATTTATACACCCACAACGCCATGCCACTGGATACTGATGATAGGAATATTGTCCTCACACTACTAGAATATACAGAAAATGGCGAAAAGTAACTAAGCATATGATACTTTATATAGTTATTTTACTTGACCAATGAATTGTCAAGTTTAATATTAAAAACTCTTTTCTCAAACGCTGGTCAATAATCGTATGTAGTAATCATTAGTTAAAACACAGGCAATATCGAGGCATCTGCACAAGAGCCCATGTGCCAATAGAGGTCGATCAATTTGCACCTGTCGCACAAGAAGTGGCTATCGTGGTCCGGTGGTGTTGAAAACGCTGTGGGGTTTAGAGCGGTCGATCTCGAGTTCGAGTCCCGGTGGGAATAACATCACTCAACGGGAGGCAGGCACATCCAGTTGACGAGTCCCAAATAGGACGAAATTCGCGCCCTGGATTCCCCTGCTAGCCACTATCCATCATTGCAATGATTAAAACACAGACAATATCTAGGCATCCACACAGGAGCTCATGTGCCAATAGAGACCGATCAATTCGACCCAATCAACGACGGTTTAATACAAGCAGTAATACTAACTATTGATGGATAGTGGCTAACAGTGGAATCCACGGTGTGCATTTCGTCCTATTGGGGACTCATCAGCTGGATGTACCTGCCTCCCAGTGAGTGATATTGTTCTCACTGGCATTTGAACCCGAGACCGACCGCTTCAAACGCCAGAGCGTTATCGACCTCTATTGGCATATGGACCGGGATGCCGCGATATTGCCTGTGTTTTAATTATATATAGTAATGACGGTAAAATCGATCCAATCAACGACGATATAATACAAGCTTTAATACTGATCAATAATCGACTGATAAAATGTCAGTAGGTCAGCCATGTAGAGAGGTGTAGACTGTGTAGCTGATAAGAATCAATGGTTGGAGACCCTTAATGACATAGCTGAAAACCGATCACAATAGCTCGGTTGTATTTACTTTTCAACGTCTTCTAAATCTTGAACAATTCCACTAAACTTGATTTTTAAAATTCTCTCTCCTCCTATACACTTATGTCTACTTCAATATGAATATTTTTCTACTCACAGTTTTTCTTTGCATACTTCTGTGAATAGTAACCACTCGAATCTATGCTCTTACGTACAAGGTTGTACGTTTGTCTGTTCTTTGTACTCGATTCTCAGTTATAGTCAGTCACAACTTCTAATACTGTCCCACTTATTGAGGTCTGATCAGTCGGGTAGTGTTATTCAACAGAACACAATACGTGTGTGTTTCACTGTCTGTACAAGTTTTGCATATCAGTCAGTTAACATCAACTGGAGGCTGGAAGAATTACTGCCTAACTTCTCAGGTTGCCGCCACTCATATCAGCTCAACATGCGAGAAGGCATTAAAATGAAAGATGGAGAAATAAGGGAAGAAGTAGGAAGAGCAAAAGGCTAGTTTAAAACAACTAGCAATATGTGATGTGAAGATCAGTGGTGATAATATTTTGATGCATATTCACTAAAGAGATCATGTAATCAACTAGTATCTCTAACCATTGATTTCAATTGTCAAGGAAAGTCTGATCAAGGAGTTTACACTTCTCTACATGGCCGGGATCAATATCTATGGTCTGATGTCACGTTTTAGTCTGTCCACCCTTTATTTTAGCTCTAAATCTCCCATACTTCAGGTAATATTGCTTATTGTGTGGTAGACGGTGATTACTGATGCATAGTATATATTCAAGCCATCTGACAGTTGATAGAAGTTTATAACACGCCTATGGTATATACAGCTTCACAGTTATGTTTGTTCATTAATTTATTTTCTCTTTCTCTGAATTTTATAGGCGTGGAAATCCTCTGTTCCTTGTGGAGTCTGAATATAAGCGTATTAATGAGTTGTGGATTAATCATCAATTGGCGTCAAGTACAGCATCGGAATTGGTTACACCATCAAATTTATCATTTAGTTTATAATAATCTGGTGTTGCTTGGTTTTCTGTTTAAACCTAATCAAATAAAAGGGAAATAAACTGTTCAACTATCACTTTTCACATAAATGTTTATCTCCATTAATACCATTATTATTATCATTATTATTATTACTATTATTATTCGCATCGTCACCCTGAACACCGATCAATCAATCATCTGCCTTTTTCTAGTTTGGTATCTTCTCTATTCTCATACTCTTCTACTAATATTCTCTTCTATTGTAAGGAGTAATAAAAACTGGGGGACATAAACGCACACATAGAAAAACATGCAGGTTAAAATCCAATTTCTTCTTTTTCGTGTTTCTCATCGGCTTTAGAAATGTCTTTGGTAGTCTTCTCTGTTGGTGTGTGTGTGTGTGTAATGTTTTTTGTTGCTATTTCTATTTGCAATTTGTAAGATATTGATAAAAATTGCGATGTTTTACCAGATGAAGTAAAGTGAAGTGTTACTCTTTCTATTGCTGAGCGTTGTCTTCTTTTCAATTCCTTATATACTGTTTGCCTGTTCTACCTTCTTCTTCTTCTTCTTCTGCTCCTTCTTCATACATTACTTTAGATCATACACAGTCACTCCTTCCTTCCGTCCTTATATTTTGTTCCAGGTTTTCCGTTACCTAGTAAAGCAATTATCGCAACGTTTACTTCTGACAATTTATGTTTCCCGGTTTTCGTTGCTATTATTTTTCCAGTTTTTGATGTGTTAAAGAAAAGACAAAAACACAACAGTTTTCATTGGTTGTTGGTTCTACGTCTATGTAGTTGGCATTGTGTTAACACACAATATTAGAATTCCTGTTATCTCACATCTTATCTATTGCTGACATATTTAGAAACATATGACTGTAGGTTACGCTTAGTGTAAAATCTTTTCATGGTATTCTGTTTCTTTTCCACCTTTCTCTTATTACTCGAGTCTACTCCCCATCGTGTACCTTATTCATTCATTGTAAGATGTAACACTTCTACAAAAGATATGTATGCTGATTGGTACAACAGATTTCAGGTTCATCTCTTGTTTCAAATTCAATCTTTGTGCGTTTACTTCATGTTACTTCATACTGAGGTTTATATTATATGAAAACATTTTGGTTTCTCTCTTACCGAATATACATATTTTTTCAAATATATACATTTTCATAAATAACTTATTAGTTCGCTTTTGTTTTTCATTATTTCATGGTTTGTATGATATGTGACGATTACATAACAATGTTGTGTATAGTCTGCTTTGAAAATATTCATATGAAAGGTTATTTGATTTTTACTTCACCGCTGTGATTCCTTTTGTGACGCTGAATGACATTAGAACACATTGATTATTATACTGAACTGAATAGACTCAATATTCTTTGAAGATTAATTGTTATGTAATATGATTATTGGGTGCTAGGACTTTTCAACTGGATGTACTCTTATTGCAGTGAATAACAATGATCTCCTTAAGACTCCTGAATACCGATCGCTGTAAACACCAGAGTGCCATCTACTGAACTGCTGAATCAAGACAGTCAACTCCAGCGTTTCTACCTATGAGTAATATGTCTGAGTCTTGATAAGAACACCACCATTCACTGGGATTTAGGCACACCCCACTTAACAGATCCCAAATACGAATAAACGAAGGTCGTGAATGTTACTGCCATTCACAGTAAATTGACACCAGAATCCAGTTTAATTTGTATTCAATACAGTAAGATCTGTCTATTCGTGATTGGAAGATGAGGATACCCAGTACGTATTTAGAGAGCATCTACGTAGGCAATTATCTAAACGTGACACAAATGGTCATCCTAAAGAAACATGTCATAGTCTTCACTTTCCTGTGGAAACAGCGGTGAAGATAGTTGGCAACCTACACTTGAACATTAGCAATCGACATTGATTGATACGACGAGACTGATTCCATCTGGCTCTGATCACAATGAAAACCGAAAGCAACCCAAATGTGAACTCAAAGCTATCTACCCAAACTTATTCAGGGCATGTAGAGAGTTGTCATGTATATTGACGACTACTATGTCCACCAGGGATGTTCACCGTCATCCTTCATATTTAAATTCGTCACAAACGTACTAATCGGCACAACCATATATACTTCCAAAGTCACATTGACTGTCCTACTACTCCCTGGAATGCTTCTGGTTGATTTGGATAGTGTAGACGCTACTGTCTTGCAAGGTGAAGACGCTGACAAAGTACACTATCTCCCGAATATGTTGAGTAGAAATCTGAGTGTGTCTAGCATGCATTTCTCTGGGACCAGTCAAATGTAAGATAATGTTCCATCACTAGTCTGCTTCAAGTACTCTCAGTTTAATGACAGGGATTGAAGCGGTGGAATATGTCGACCGTTTCATTTACTTGGGGAGTTGTATTGACCTGAAAGGTCTGATTGCTGACGAAATCTCAGCTCAGATACAGAACGTTTACTTGGTATTTGGCAACCTACATCTTCTATGACACCAACTAGTGAGATATCCAACTATCTATTAAAGGACGAGAATACTGCACTGTTGTTTGTTTTGGCCTGTATACACATGTGAGACAAGGCGTTTGAAAGGAGAAGATGTGAAGCAGTTGCAAGTGTTCGGTCACGCGTATCTTTGTTCGCGTTTGGTGGAATCGACGTGTGAGGAATATTGAGTTGAAGTTAAGGGTACTAGACAAGATAGAGGCAAGTCGATTGATGATTTTGTGAACCTTCATCTACTGAGGTGGATGGGACATATAACTGGGTATGTCGAGTCACCACCGACGTCGTCGTTCCATGATGACGGACTATATTGGAAGAGGGTTTAGAGTGAGGAGTTGGAGACCTGACAACAGTTGATTAGCTTTCTAACTGTTGATCTCGACAGTGTGAGGAGACATAGACTTGTTGGTTGGGGTCCCCGAGATGAGGAATCTTATTGACATGGCTGAAAATCGGTCACAGTAGTCACTCATCGACATCTTCTGAACCTTGAATATTCTCACTAACCTTTATCCTCAGAGTTTTAATTCTCTCATACAATTTTTGCTACTTTGATATTTCTGTTTTTGCATCGACTTGATGTTTGCTAAGTACTGTGAAGTGTAGTAAGTTGAACGGAGTAACCTGTTTGTCAGGTTCTACGTTGATTTTGTCAATGTCAGTTGGTCTTCGGGATTCCGAATTCTCCCTCAGCTAAATAAGTGTTTAAACTTGAGGTCGAACACTTCTGTTCTAGATTCTATATTGGTTCTTTAAGTTTTTCTGTACACTGTGTGTATATCGAACTTTCCCTAGAAGCTGTATTCTGGTACATATGTTGGGTGTTCATTAAGCTGATAACCGTCGTTGAGTAAAGTATAGTAACCGATTGGGTGAACAATTCTTAAATGATTAACAAATTGCACCATCTGGATTGATATTTGTTGGGGTACACCGATGATGAACTCACGTCTAATGGAGCAGTATTTAGATTATTATCTGACTGACGAAATCTACTGATCAATCAGATTGATTTCCGACTTCTCAAGTTGTTCAGTAATAGCATATTTCGTAAGTTCATAATAGTTTTGTGTCAGAGATCACACCTTGTGTTTTCGAATGGAAACGGTGTTGACACTACAGTTGGTTGGTTGAAAAACTGATCAGCTGTGAAAAATGTGAACGTGGATTGTGCAATTACTAAATCATTTTCAAATTGATCGTCCTGTTTTAGTTACACCGGTCCACGATAGTCAACTTATCAGATACAAGTGATCTGAAGTAATTCATCTGTATGGGCTAAATTAGTCCAGGTACACCACTGATGAGCTTGGCCCTAAATGAGCGAAACCGGTGTTTAGATTACTCTCATCCGGTTAGTAAAATCTACTGATCAACCTGATTGGCTTTTTACTTGTCTGTTCGTTCAATAGTAGAGTGATCAGTGTTGAAAGATTATGCACAAGAGTGTAGTGGCTAGAATGGTAATTTTTTATCAAGTGAAATGTGATTGGTTATTTCAGTAGTTGTTTTGATAATGTTTTGTAAATTCCCATATTGTCCGAGTTCTGCTGCATATTTGGTGGAATTATTTCTTACCAATGAAATACGAGTGTGGCATTGTCTTGTTTTAAGCAATGAAATTCAACCATGTAAATTACTTAATTTTTATCTCTCTTCTCGTTTTACTTCATTATTCGATTTGCTGGTTCGGTTCCCACTATTTTGTGTTTCCACCGGGCTGGATTTGAAAGTGTTCTTTTGAGCCAATCATAACCTGGCTAATAAGTTTGTGAAGTGACTAACAGAAGAATACAAGACACAAAAACACTACTGACGCAATGAGATACTTGGGGTGTACACGAATAGCGACTGTTCTCTCAACTCTGATACTTCACTAAGCCGCGAAAATCAGAAGACAAAGACTGGCCTGTGACGCCAAGAAGGACAAGGAAGACAAATTTGTTTGACAAAAAAAGTATCATTTATGTACAGTTTTTTCTCAGATAAGGAAGCCACTAGGTCAGAAGTTGGATAGCTATTTGATTGGTCAGCTGTAGGATAAAATTATCCAGTCAGGTTTCTCCTGACAACACAGTAACATGAAACAAGTTTGGAATCTAAAGCTTAGAATGCTGAGTTTGATTTTGGGCACTTCTTATCAGTTTATAGTTCTCAACGAAGCATTCAGATGTTTTATTCTCCCAAGAGTAGAGGTAAGTGAAGGAGACGAAACTAGAGGTTTGCAGGTACTATTACTTATTGATATACTTGTAATTCTCCTTTGTTATACTGAATCTAGTTGACCGCACATTGTTGGCCTATGGTCTCTTATGTGGATGATTCAATATTTCCTGAATATTTATTTTATGATTGACTTGGTACATTGACAGGTGCATCCGGCTGACGAGTCTTAAATAGAACGAAACGTGCATCCTGGGTTCCATTGATAGCCACAACCAGGGTCTGCAGCTATTTAAGCTTATTTTAGTGAGGGTTTTTTATGAAAGCATTTTTTATTGACGCTATCACCTTGTAGTAAATTCTCAGAACACAAGAAAGATGGAATGGAATACTTTAGTCGGCTTTTGACACAACTGACTCGTTTAGTGTATCAAAGGACTTGATCGGAAAGACTATAGTTTAACTTACAACGTAATGAATACTTAAAATCTATCTCTGAAGATTTCGTTTTTTTATATGCTCATTGAAAGTTTAGAATTTGCACAATTACTCATTCAGAGGTGTAATTGGTAAAACGAAATCATGACAGGTGTTAGTGAATAAATTTCTTTTCTAGGCGATGTCGTCTCTTGCACATATCTAAACACTTGACACTGCACATTAGTATCAATTACGTGATGTTTTCACTGTATACTAGCAGTCCTATAGAGACACCTCGATGATGAAACACGCAGAGTTATCGAATATCTTCAAGCTTTGTACAGAACTCCCAACACCAACAATTTGCTTACTTGACCTTCTACAGCAAGGTTTATGACTGAAGATGGCTCATATTGGTGTATGCCTCCTTGACTTTCGATATACAGTTAGAAATGTCATCAGTCACTCTTTCTTGCACCACTTCGTCTTCTTATTGTTTCTCTTGAACACTCACTCATCGGTCGTCGCAGTATGTGCTACTTAATGTATTTATAAGTAGCAAACATCACACTACCTAATTTTGGTTGGCCTAGTTAGTACTTTCATTAAAGCATACATTGAACAGGTAATAGAGTTAAGGTTGGCAGAAATGTTTAAACTTTAGAAAACATCACCAAGGGTTTCTAACCATTGATTCTTATCGTCTCGAAGCGCTCAGCTACATGGTCTATGCCTCTCTACGTGACTCAGACCAACAGTCAGAGACTTCATGGACTTATGCCATATATCATGATCTAACCGCCATTCCAACCCAACTTGAGTAGTAACAATCAAGTATAAGATAATATGTTAATGTCTAATGAGTTATATACCCTTGTGTAACATATTTTATTCCAATAAATATCAACTTCTGCAAAATGTTAATGTACGCATCTTATTAAGAATGTACAAATATATTTCAATTTTTCACAGATATGCTGTCAAATTCAAGTCAGAAATCGGTTAAGAAGTCAAAATCTGCTTTCAAGGGATTATCTAGATCCAAGAAGCATAAGAAAGATGAATCAAATGATGTCAATGTACAAATACAAAGTAATCATGATAAATCTTCAAAAAAGAAGTCTCCTTTTCAAACAATCAGCACAGATTTCTTACAAACAACAAATAATATTGTCAGTGGAGTAAATCATTCTGTCAATAATGATAGTTCGATGCCAATGATGACACATGTTATTACTACTCCTACAACTACCAACAGTATTACTTATACTGCCCCTGAAAGTAATAGTATCCTCAGTATTAAAGAAACAAAAAAACGAAAAATGAAGAAGAAACAAAAAGATTTTGAACAGTTCAGTGTCAATGTTGAGAATAATCTACCAACTAATCAACAGTCTGAAATAATACATCATAATAATACTATAAAGGGTAAAAAGAAACGAGGCTTAAAATTGCACTCGCATAAATCAATGTTAGGTGAAGAAATTTTGAAAGTGGTAAACAAGGTGAATTTATACACTGTTATTTTATTCATATACTGTAGAAAGTCTATTCTGCGCTTGCTAAATATTTTTCTAATTTTCTTTTCATTTTCTGTTTTTCCATTTTATTATAAGATTATATACATGAATTGCATAATAAAGATCTTGATATATTTGAATCAATCCCGATTAGCAGTTTCTATGAAAAATTATTCTTTTGGCTAAGATGTGACTATATAATTGGTCAGTATGGAATTCTCAGTGGGGTATTTATTGTATCATATTTTCAAATCAAATAACCATCATAGTTAATGTAATAGTAAGACTTCGACATACATCGTTGTAGACTGTAATTCCATTTTACACTGTTTATCAGATGAGTTGCAAATTGGACGAAATGCGCATCCTGGATTCCACTGCTAGCCACTATCCATCATTACTATAATTAGAACACAGACAATATCGAGACATTTACACAAGAGACCATATGACAACAGAGACTGATCAATTCGGTCCAATCAACGACGGTGTAATATAATCAATAACACTCAAAGATGAGTATGAGTATGGACAATAAATTATGTCAAAAACGTTATCCACTAGATGATGATGTTCTTTCTTGACTGTGTGACATTTTTAATAATGGCAGTATGATGAGCAATAATACACACCAAGCAACTGTTTTTTCGTCGTTGGAATGTTGTTACATCGGATGACGAATTGAAAAGCACTCGTTAGTTTGGTAGGGGGGGGGGGAGAGGGATTATTTAGCTAGCATAATAATTTTCAGTTCCTGCTAACCATCCTTTTTGACCAGACACATAAACCAATTCTCTGAACCTGCAGTTCCTCTCGTACTAAACAGGATTACCATAGCAACGGGCACTGATAAATGTATTCATTAGTAGGATAAGACTAATCTGCCTCACGACGCTCTCAACCCAGTTCACCTTCCTCTATTAGTAGGTGAACTCGGTGATATCGACATCAGTCCCTGGTGAAAATTAGTTCGTAATGAATAAATGTCGATTAGAAAGCACGAAAAGTGTCAGGAAATTCATATTTCTTACTCTTTTATGTACCTTTTTAGAGTTTTATTTAATCAAATTTCTTTCTTCTCTTGTCTGTTTTTTTTCCATAGCCAATTTTTGGGGTTTCTTTAGATGTTGCCTATAACAGGAATCCAAGTCATGATGAAGTTATTCTACCGGCATTTTTCCGTCATTGTATCGACTATATCGAACAACATGGTCTCAGTTCAGAAGGCATATATCGTGTAAGTATTCATATTCTTAACTTCTAGCGTATCATATTAGTGTGTGTATGTGCATGTAAAGTAGTCTAGATGACCGAATTGAATACTCTACTTCACGTCTTTACACAATAATTACTACTGATATTGGTATGAGTAATTGCCGGCTAACCACAATTGTATGGAGCTGTTACTCATCGGTTTATGCATTTGACTTTCGACCAATGCTTTATGAACTAGAATATCGCTCAGTCTACCAAAGTTTTGGCACCCGGGTAGTGCACTTACATACCTAGTGCACACGTGGTTATTGAATTTTCATTTCATCATATTCGTGACATCGATTGTCTGCTTTAGCTAGCCGAATCGACATGATGTCATTTCACTTTTTTGCAAATGACTGGATCATTAGTTTACTCGGGGTAATTTTGCTGACACAGAATCAGTTATAATAAAGATGGATAATGGCTAGCAGTGGAATCCAAGATGCATATTTCGTCCTATTTCGGACTCCTTAGTTGGATGTACCTGCCTCCCAGTGAGTGATGTTCTCGCCAGGATTCGGACTCGGGAGCTATCGCTTCAAATGCCAGAGCGTTGTCCATTAGACCACCGAGTCACCATAACCACTTCTTTTGGGACGGGTATAGTTTTAGTATTTTTGTTTGTATCATCCCGTCGTTGATTGGAACGAATTGGCCGATCTCTGTTGGCATATGGGCTCCTGGGTGGATGCCTCGATATGCTTGTGTTCTAGTTATGGCAATGATAGATAGTGGCGTAGTGGGTAACGCTCTGGCGTTTGAAGCGATCGCCCCCAAGTTCAAATCCCAATGGGAACAACATCATTCGCTGGGAAGCAGGCACATCCGGCTGGTGAGTCCCAAATTGGACGAAATGCGCATCCTGGATTCCACTGCTATCCACTATCCATCATTACCATAATTAGAACACAGACAATATCGAGACATCCACACAAGAGACCAAATGACAACAGAGACTGATCAATTCGGTCCAATCAACGACGGTGTAATATAATCAATAACGCTCAAAGAATCAGTTGTTTAAACGATTAATGGCTAACTGGTAATCCTATTTTACTTTTTGATAATAATGGTATATCAAACAAAGCATCACACTTTGTATTGTGCATGTTTCGACATTAATAACAACAAGTGGCGGTCCGCTTGAACTCTGGGCTACCGTTTTCTATCATCGAGTATATTGCATCAAATTTCTTATTTCTATATTGTTTTAATCGTTTAATTATGTCAACCAATCGTATTGTATATTCTCGCGCGTTTTTAAAATCATTACAACCTATCGCTTCGCAAGTTGATAGGAAATTTAAGAAGAAGCACCACGGTGGATGGCAACGAGCTCTGAAGCGTATGACCATAGATCAAATGACTATTCCGGAAATACTTAGCACAAACTGCAGGTCGTTGCCGAATAAAGTTGATTACCTTCAGTCACTCTTGTCCACAAATGTTTATCGAAACACGGGTGTAATAATGCTGCAGGAAACATGGCTTCATAATCTGTATGATGATGACTTAGTCTGCTTAGATGGTTTCAAATTATTTCGACAAGATCGAAGCTTTTCGAAGAAGAAATGTGGTGGTGGTGTAGCAACATTTATTAGTACTAACTGGTCGTCCTCCAACTATGTATGCTTCTGCTTCTCTAACGAAAAAATTGAGTGCATTACCATCAAATGTCCCCCTAAACATTTGAGCAAATACAAATACATATATATCACAAACATGTATGTCACACCTGACTGCAGTTTCTCAGATTTGTCAACTTTTGCTGATAAATTCACTGAATTTGCTGCTCCGGTTCTGGGAAACTCCTTGTCTATTGTCTGTGGTGATTTTAACTCATGTGACTACAGTTTTCTATTATCATTGGGTCATAAAAATATGGTTAACTTTTCCACTCGTCTTGACAACACCTTAGACTTTGCATTTACAAATGAACCTGGCATATATGAAGCCCGTAAACGGGCTCCACTGCTAAATTCCGACCACTGTATCGTTCGTGTTTTGCCTAAAGTGTACGGAAAATTATACAAGAAAGCTTTTGCATACCTTTCAAGGAAAGTTCAATACAGATGCTGTTCACAAGAAAATATATTACGTTTGAGAAGCATGCTTATAGAAACGGACTGGGATATATTTGCTGATGAAGTTTTAGACAACACTATTACCAATATCACAAGCTATCTCAGATTCTGTCTCGATATCTGCTGCCCTACTGAAACAATTTACATGAGATTTGACAGACTTTCCTCTCCTCATCTCAAGAGGCTTCGGAGAGAAAAGGAAAGGTTGTATAAGGCGAGAGATCACCCTGGCGTTAAAAGGCTTAACTGCCTAATTAAGTCTGAAATACAACGTCTGAATACTATATACAACAAGTTCTTATCGTGTAAGAACTCTTCCAATATATGGAAATTATTTAAAGAGCTTACTGGTAAAAAACAGATGACAACACAAACTCGTTCGGATGTCTGCGCGTTAAACAAGTCATTTATACGTCGGCAAGCTAATTTCACCCTTCCTAATGTGCAAAATCAAGTGGATAGCTGCTTTCCAGGTTTCAATACAAATGATGTATTTAAATGTCTAAAGTCTTTGAATCCCTCCCAAAGCTTAGGTCCTGATGGTGTTTCTAGTATCATATTTAGAAAATGTGCAGATATTTTGTGTCATCCACTTACAGATATCTTCAATGTATCGTTCTCTAAAAACATAATACCCACTGCTTGGAAGCAGATAAAAATTGTACCTGTGCCTAAGCCATCTTCTGGATCAGATGTTACTTTTCGACCCATCGCTATAACTTCCCCTTTTCTGAAGACAATGGAGAAATTACTTCTGCTTGTGATTGAGCCTTCATTGATGGCCTTCAGAGATCCAAAACAGTTTGCTTACAAACACCGGAGGAGTACTTTAGATGCAGCTACTGTCTTGCATCATAATATTGTTTCTAGTCTCGACAAAGGTGTTAAGTATGTCCGTTGTGCCTTTTTGGATTACTCATCAGCCTTTGACTCTGTTCCTAGACCACTTTTGTTAAATAAGCTTGCCATAGCTCACACTGATCCATGGGTTACAAAATGGCTGCATTCTTATTTTTCTGAAAGGAAACAGTACACTATTCATAAAGGAATGCGCTCCACTTCATTGCTTACTGAAGCTGGTGTGCCTCAAGGTGCTGTACTTTCTCCTTTTCTGTTTTCCTTTTTTTGCACGATTTGCCTTATTCTGTTGAAACTAATTTTATCAAGTATGCTGACGACCTGACGATTTCTATTCCAGTAAACTCTTCTTTGGATTGCTCGAAATTAAATGAATTCTTGTCTGAAGTTGGTAAATGGTCTCAAACTAAACCCCTCTAAATGTCAGACCGTTAATTTTAGCCTCAGGCGTAAACAAGACTTATGTGAGCTGCTTAAATCTCATGACGCCTGCTGCATCAATGGTATTTCTGCAGAAAGTAAATCGAGTGTGAACTATCTTGGGTTGCGTTTTACTTCTGACCTTTGTTGGTCGTCCCATATTTTATTGACTTGTAAAAAAATCTTTCGTTTAACTTATTACGTAAAGAAATTGAGGCTTTCTGGTATAACTCAACTGCTTCTTTTACAATTTATTAATTCCTGCATTTTACCTATTCTTCTATATTGTTCCCCATTAATCTTTCCTGGTCTTCTTAAAAAGGACTATGTTATGTTGCGTAGGGCTTTGAAGACCGTCAGCAGGGTGAGTGGTGTGTCTCTGGCTCAACTGATTAACACTGTAGTTGATCGACATATAAATTCCTGCAAGCTACTAGCTACAGAAATTTTAACTGACAGTGAGCATCCACTTCATTTACAGCTCTCTCCATGTATCTCCTCAGGGAGGACAAGGAGAAACTACATAAGACTGTATGCTCGTACAGCTAAGTATAAGAATTCGACTGTACCTTACCTTGCACGTATATTTTGTGAGGAAAAAAGTGTTAGAACAGAAATCACACATCAACTTTGTGACAGTTAAAAATCTCATTTCAATAACTCAAAGTTTTATGTAAAATTTTCTCGTTTTTAATATTCTTCACATAACTTAAATTTTTATAATAAAATAATTCGAAGGCTGCAAAGTAGTATGTATATACTTATATTTTGTTGTTATTGCAATATATATTACGCTGAGAATTCCAAATTGTACCACAAATTGTTTGGAATAAAGTGAATTATTATTACTATTATTATTATTAAAAATAACTGCGGTATATTATCCTGCCCTCAAATTGTGGATCGTGTAATCACTTGCTTTCCTTCCGGGCAAAAGTGATTTTGAATCATTTACACTAATCATCACAAGTTGGTTATTCATATTTTGACAGATGTGAATAACATAGGGCGTGGCTTACTGTCTCCCTCTTTGCGCGTGTTGCACCTGTCAGATGTAAGAAGATGCTCCAGAATTCGTGTGCAAGTACTCCCAGTTTAATGATGAGTGAAGTGGCTGAATATGTCCACCACTTCATTTTTACTCGGGTTGTTGAATCAACTGCAAAAGGCTGGTGGCTGACGAAATTTCAGTTTGTTTACACAAGGCACATTTATCATTCACCAAGTTGCGTCATCCGTGGCGCCAAATGGCAGGATATCCGACTATCTATCTGAGGACGAGTATACTGCAGTGCAACTCGTTCTGTCCTGTTATACACCTAGGAGATATGGCCATTGAAAGTAGATATGAAGTGATTACTGGGTTTTGATCATAGCTGTCTTCGTAGGATTGCTGGCGTTTTGTAGAATCATCGTGTGAGCACTGTTGAGGTGAGGCGAAAGATACTAGACAGGTCGATTGATGCGGTTGTGAACTTTCATCGGTTGAGGTGGCTTGGACATGTGTTGCACATACGGAGTCACTACCTGCGTCTACGTGTTTTGATAGGGGAAGTTGGATTAGATTGTAAGAGCGTTCAGAGTGGTCAGACGAAAGCATAACACTAGTCGATGAAGTCTGTTACTGTTGGTTCGAGTTGTGTGGGGCAATGTAGACTGTCTGGTTGGGGACCCCGAGACAATCGGAATCATTAGCGGAGGACTCTTGGTGACATTGACTAGATATCAGTCACAATAGTGCAGATGTATTCACTCCTTGATGTCTTCTAAAGCTTGAACATTTTCACTATTCGTTATCTCCAAATTGTTTACGCTTTCACACAAGGTTGTCTGCTTTGATATCAGTCTTTTTAATCCGCCTTTTCTTTGTATACTACCATTAAGTCTCGTTACTAGAACCGATTCGCTTGTGTGCAAAGTTATACGTTGTCTTCTGGTTCATGTTGATACACAGTACGCCAACGCATCGATGGTATGTGTGTGGAGTAGACGAAATCCACAGTGTGAAAGATATATTGGTAGCAGTTGTAAAACTCCACATTTTGCATAACATCCGGTGTGTGTTGGTCACATTTGTGATAGGTGTCAATGAGTCTACTACTAAGCTAATCATCTTGAAGACATACCTTCTTTCTGCAAAACACTTGAGGAAGAGATATAGATCATTTAAATTTAACTTTATTCATAAAATTGCATGTTTATGTATAATTTGAAATTGTCTACAGTATCATACGTATTCTTTGGTAAGGAAGTAAATATTGTTGTTGTTTTTTTGAGAACGTTGGACATAGTATATTCACCCCAATTACTAACCTACTCAATGTGTATTACCCATAGTACTGGTACTGGTTACCTTCACGCGAAGCTGATCGTCACATTAATCTCATTTCACTAGCTAACACAGTGAGAATACAACGTTTGTCTATTCCATAATATTCAAAGGATAATGTATTTAACAAAATCGTATGGAAATGTAGAAGATTCATGCAGGCTTAATTGGCTTGTTCAAGTTCTTGTAAATGAAAGCAGCTGGTGGATAGACCAAAGTTTTACCCTGTTTGTTGACCCTCACCTCAATCTCCGTAAGTATGGTTATAAGTCAGCTGGTGACGGATGAAACACGTAGCAGGGCAATTATCAGATATCAATAATACAACTCAAACGTGTTCACATTTACGTACTAAAACTAATGAACAACTCGAATTGTTATAAACCATTCCGGTTGATTTTTAGATTTCGCCAACCAAAACTGGTGAAGTATAGTTTCTAACTACTCACTTTGTTCAGAAGTAGTATCTTTCACATGACAATTTTGTGTCAGACATCAAACTTTGTGATCTCGGTTGAATAGTTTCCAGCGGAAAACTTGTTGATACCACAATTGGACAGCTGAAAAACTAATCAGCCCTAAGAAATGTCAATATGGACCGTGCAGTTTGTAAATTATTTCCAAATTGATCATTCTATTTATGCACTAAGTTATGACTGCTTATGTTATCAGCCAGTCACCTGAACCTAAGTAGATGAGACGAAGTTTAAAGTAGGTGGATTGCCCACCAGTAGTAGGTAACCAATGCAGCTGTCTAGTCTTTTCCCCTCAATACTGACCAAAGTCTATCGATCAGATCTGCACCTTTCCACTAAGGTAAGTGATGCAATGCTGAAGTCCACTGTTTCTAAATACTAGCCATCACTCAACAAGGAGTCTTGAACTAGGACAACTGAATCGGTTAACGACTTGTGAGCAATTCATCTACATAATCTAGTTGTTCACCAGCGACCTGAATATAACTTAGTGGTGAAGTTTCTGACTTCAGTACTAAGTGATGCAGTTTAGAATCACCAATAAACATCAGTTTCTTCATGGTTACAAATTTGCCTTATTGATAAGTGCCAACAATGACGATACCTACTTCATTCCTATTGGCTCTCAACACCCTAACACGAGAATTAAAGTTTCAAAACTCAGATGATAAGTGAATATCCTTTTTTTTAAATTCATAATTATTTAGTTGTAAATTAATTTCTATTGTGATTCACTTTCAGTGATTCTTTAATGAATTCCAACTTATCATCATTATTGTATGTAGGTGCCTGGAGTACACTCTCAAGTCCAAGCAGTTATCTCTTCTATTGATAATGGTCAAGAATTTCCAGATATTCCACCAACATCAGCTGCATTCTATCATAATGAAGATATTTTTACTAAACTACGTTCTAGTCATTTTCTTACCGGTTCTGATATTACTACAAAAGGGAAAACTCGACATTCAACCTCGTGTAAGTATAATTAAGCCTATCCAATTTATTATTATTTTTCCCTTGTTTTCCTAATGGAACATAAAGCTTCAGTAGCACGCCTCCGTCGCACTGTCTTCTCTGCAGTCTTTTGAACCTGGCACCACGACAGCCCACAAGCTTTCACTTCTTCCTCACACGATCTCCTCCATATCACCCTCAGCTAGGACGCCCAACTCGTCGTCTCCCTTTGGATTCTACTCGACGACCTTCTTCAATAGTGGTGTGAGCATGTCCGCTATTGTCTCTACGTGTGTTCTCAGTGCTTCTGAAGTGGTCAGCCCATCATTTCCCTTGTTTCTCTTCTTTGGTAACTAGATTTCCTTCATTATCTTTTATTGGTTTCATCTGTGTTGATCTCTTCCCAGGCATCAAGTAACCTGGTTATTTGATACAATATTGTCAGGTCTGTCCTACCAGCAGCCTGTTCTGCTTCACTTGCCAGTGTGTCGTAGAAGTGTCTTTTGTCTTTCCGTCCATTCTTCTTCTCTTCAATAGTATGATATTTCCCTATTAAATGCATAATCTGTGTCAGACAGACCAGAAAACAGCACAAAAGTGCATCGCCCCAAGTTGGTACACTTCACACCCTAAACCATTGAAAATAGATTAACGAAATTAGTCGAAACTTGAACATTGTCAAATTATGTGTACATCTGTACTATGGGTGGTCACTTTTGAACCATATCATTAGTAGATTGTGGAATTATTGATTCTTGTCGTCTTGAGGATTTCTGTTGGACAGTTTAACACATTTTTAAACGACTCAAATCAGCAGTCAGAGTCTTCTCATAGACTAGTGCCATTTCCTTATCTGGTCACCTATAGCCTTCTTGTTACATCCTAATTCTACTTCGGTTAACATTGCGTGTCGGCGTGTCCAACACATGTCCAAGCCACCTTAGTGAAAGTACATAGTCGTATCGTTTGACTTCTATATATTTTAACTATACGAATGAATCATTTCTGGACATTCGTAACGACTATCGCCTGAGTGTTTACAAATTGATACTCTGATTCCTAACACTGCTGTTTCCTCTGAAAGATGATGTGGATATCAAGCACGTTAAGACGTGATCCATGATTCTTCAAGTTATATTTCAGAAACTGTTATTTTATTTCTATTTATATATTTTTATTTATTTGTCCTTTGGGTTCCTACTGGAAGATATGACTTCAGTAGAACGTCGCCACTTCACTCTCTTCTCTCTAGTCTCTTTAACCTGGCTCCACGACTCCCCATAAACTCTCATTTCTTCTTCACATCATCTCCTACATGTCACACTCCCACACCCAACTCATCGTTCCTCATTTCGGTTCCACTCGACGGCCTGGCCTGGTCTGGTCTGGTCTGGCGCGTGATGTCCCCAAACCGTCTTCTCAGTGTATGTCCACTCCAATCCAATCCACATCCGCTTTCGTCTTCTGCATATTTGTTGGGTGATAGGTTCTTGCTTCGTTGCCAGCCAGCCAGCCAGCCAGCCAGCCAGCCAGCCAGCCAGCCAGCCAGCCAGCCAGCCAGCCAGCCAACCAGAGTCAGTTCCTTGTTGCTTATTCTTATTATTCTCGCCATCTGATCATCTTCATTGTCAGTATCGAGTGAGTGTAGGTGGCAGCTGCTCATGTGATGTATGTCTTTTCGTGACACGTCAATTCTCTCAGCCATCACATAGAAGCACTGACTTGAGATTGTTGAAAATTCGGATCTTGTTCACGCTTTATGCTGAATGCAGTACAGTACAGTACAGTACAGTAGATACTCACACTGATTATTTAAGATTAATGAAGGCCTGTCTTGCTGTCTTTCCGATCCTGGCTGCTTTGACATCCTTATATGTCTGTGCCTGTGCCGCTGCTTTTAGTTGAAACAATGCTGCTTAGGTAGGAAGTGAAAGAGACAGCTTCCTTTAGACTTTTATCGTTGATGTTGATTGGTGCTTGTTATTGTTTGGATATCTTCATCACCTGTATCTTTTCTACGTTCACCTGAAATTCCGTCTTCGCTGTCTTGCCTTTTCTTTTAACTTATTGGTTAAACTTATTTTATATCATTATATTTAGTAGTTAGTTTTGTCTACTTTTTTCTTTCTTGGTCAATTAGTGTTTCGTTCTATGTTTCTAGTGTACAGGAAATAAAAGTCGTTCAACTTTCAGCGTGTTATTCATTTATAGTGTAGTCGATGTAGTTAGTTATTAGTCACTCATTCATAGGGTATAAAGTGGTCTTCGTAATCAGTCAGCGGTACCTTAAATTTTTTTCTTCTAAATAAATTAATAGTTGATTTCTGATTGATAGTTATCATAGACTGACGTTAGTTGCAGGAACCTCTGAAACCTGGGAGTATTGGATAAGTGTTATGTTGTAGTGTGGGACTCCTCAACAATGCGTACTCATGACCCCAGACCACCATCGATCGAACCCAGGACTTTCAGGTCCCGTGGCTAGTATGTTACCATTGAGCTAGCCACCAGGTTGAAATCCTCTGGCCTGCATTCCCTACTTCTGTGGCTTGACCGTTATTCAATGTCGTCATTGATTAAGTGTCCTCATATCCGACTTGGTTGACTGCACTGGTCACGATTTCTCATTGGAACTTCAGGAATCACCTCTCGAAGCTAGTCACCAATGAGCGCTAGATTAGTTCTCTCTGGAGATTTTGTGGAGATTGAATAATTGATTTTAGGTTGGAATTCATCACAGACTGATATCAGTTGAAGGAACATTGGAAACATGGGAGCACTAGTCAGCTAGTTTGTCCTAGTATGCGACTACTCAACAGATATTCAGAAGGTCCTGGGTGCACACTGCTGAAGTGTCGTATACTAAGAAGAAACAGCTGTCCAGTGTTCCCAAGTTTTCAATGTTCCTCTAACTGATATCAGTCTGTGATGAATTTCAGCTTAGAATCAATTAATAAATCTCCACAAACATGCAGATACAATTCATAATTCCCATTGTGACATCAAAAACAAGGTATATATATATATATATATATATATATATATATATATATATATATATATATATATATATATATATATATATATATGACTGCATTCCGTGAGGAATATTAAATTTAAATAATAAGAGAATGAAACAAAAATAATGACGCTGTCGTGGAGCAATGTAGATCTACCATAGCCAGAGATTGTTCTCAACACGTATACAACAACGTATCCCAGTCTGGATTTTTAAGGATGAAAAGAAATGCATTAGAAGTTCTATTTCAATCATTCAACCGATTCGAACAATGATTTTAAGGTTGTCTATCGAATCGGCTCAAATATTTCATCTTTTCTGCGTCTAAAACTTCTATAAACAGCAGAGGCTTTGGGTGACCATGAATTGAAGCCTTACCTTCGTGTACAGAAAGAGTACGTATAGTCTTTGTATCTACTTTGCCCTTAGCTTTATTTAGTCTTGGTTTGTTTTGTGTCTTTCTTTTCGTTAGAATAATCTTTGTACTTTTATGCCGTTATTATCAATATTATTATTACTACTATTATTATTGTTCTTACACTTGATAGTTTCTGGTGTTACTTCATTTAATCTTACCAACTCTTAATAAAATCATTTGACTATCTGAGATAGCCGTGGTTTGGCAGACCAGTATTTATACTGAGCGATGATTGAAGATGAAATAAAAAGTTGGACCGTGGTCGGATTTGAACCAGTGACCACCGGGTTTCTGGCCCGATGTTCTACAAACCGAGCTACAACACCCGACTGCTGACCAAATTCTTTATCACTTCAATCATCATGAGTTTTGCCCTACTACCATGTGAATTCGTGACGTGTTACTACCGCTTGATCGTATTCACACTGGGTGCCTAGTCAGGACTTCTCATCCAAATCTAAGTGAATTAGAGAGGGGGAGCATCATATTGATTATGATTTGACTACCTGAGATAGCCGTAGTTTTGCAGACTAGTATTTATGATGGGTGATGACTGAAGGTGAGATGAAAATCTGGACCGCAGCCGAATTAGAACCAGGGACCACCAGGTTATCGGCCGGGTGCTCTACAAACTGAGCTGCGAGGTCCGACTTCTGACCAAATTTTATTTCACTTAAATCAAACAAAATATTTTCAGTTTATTTCAGTTATCATGTTGTCTCATTCATATTACCTAATTCTTTGATTATTTATGACCTCCACCTTGTTCTCATCCCATTGTAATGTATATGCACCCCCAGGAACGATTTAAAGAATCTTACGTAACCTTTTATTGTGATCATCCAACCTTTGCGTCATCAACTAGTAACATTATATATGTGGTACAACATTTACTGTGTTTTGTCTATATTATGGCCTTCGTACTCATTGACACGCTTTTTGCTATATATGCACGTTTGAAGGAGTACAGCAACGATGCATCTGTATTGAAAATATAACTATTAGCTATTGAAGACATATCAAGAAAGATACAAATGAATATAGATGCAAAGAAGCAGCTTTCTATGGTACAAGGTTTCCCACTCCAAAATTTCTGAAGTTTTCCAATCACTAATTCACGTTCAAAGCTGTTGGGTACCAATTAATATGAGAGAATTTATTTTTTGTGTTGCTCTAACCGACAGATTGTATAGCTAATATTTATTCATAGTATTCAGGATAATTTTTAAAAAAAAACGTTTTCTTTCCATTTTAACTATTTTAGCTCACTCTGGAACTAAAGAAATCACTTCTATTCTGTTGCCTAAAACTCAAGATAACCGTGGTGTAATTGCCTCACCTGCATCGTTCAATTTCACATCTGGTGGTTTTTATCCTCGAAACTCTGTCATCGGTGCCGGTAGTGGTGTCACTGTCAGTACTGCTGTTGGCAGTGGTCATTCACCTGTAAAATATCCTTATTCCACTTCATTGCTGACCACTACGACAACTACAAGTTCGCATTCAATTCTACCACATGATCCAGCGGTTATTGCAAGTGTTATTAAACACTTTCTACGTAGTCTACCTGAACCAATATTAACAAAACGCTTGAGCAATGTTATCGAGTCATTGACAACAGATACTGTGCAATTTTATCATAATTTATCTGCATTGATACACCAAGAATTACCCGTGTCCAATCGTTACCTACTAGCATGGATTATTCAACATATGATGCATATTATTGATAGAGCTGGTGAAAATCGTATGACACTAGCTAATATTATTATTGTTCTCTCACCGTGTCTAGGCATTAGTCATCGTTTATTGTCTATCCTATTGAATCCTACACCACCAGAAAGTATGTCTAGATAAGATTTTATTCTTTCACTTTATTCATCTCTTTTGCAAGCATTTTATCTTTGCTTTGTTCTGATTGCGCGATGCGTTGTGTTTTGTTTGTGTACTTTTTTCTGTGCCAATATTAAAATCTAAGTATAATTCTCTCCTATCATTCAGTTGAGGGTGAGAGAACATCTACCTAAATGGCTTCAAAAACATATAGAGTGTGAAACTTTAATAAGCGTAGGTGGAAGACGACCCTCTCCATTTCTATCGCAGACGTTTGTGAGAGTTTACAGTAAAGCTGTCACTGCTATTCACCATAAATACAGAAAGATTTTTATGTGGTAACCACTTTTTGTACTTTTCATAAAAGGTTCTAGTCATTTAGAATGGGGCTGATTTGTTGATATGATGTTTTAGTAGTCAATTATTGCGCTATGTGATTCGAACACTATTCTGAAGTGTGATCAGAAAGAGCACTGTAACAAGAATGAAATGGTCAATACACTTAAGAAGTGGACAGCGTAAAGAAGAAAGAGGTCATTTCAAAGACTGAGGAGAAGTCGCGTACCAGGTTTGTCTATATGAGTGACAAGAGCTTCGTTGATGCAGGGACTACGAAGACATGCAGCCTTTGGATAGTTTCTTTGAATGAGTTGTTTCTCGAAAAAGAATGACCCATATTCACGATATGTTCAATTGTAACACTTCTTATTGATCCATTGTTACCCCTTTTGTAACTACGCGGGATAGTGCTGTTGAAGCCTCTTGCATAATAGCCACATTAAATAACCGATATGCCTGACTCCACAAGAGCAGGTGAATTGATATACGTACATAGAAGTGGTATATAGGTCATGATAATAGAGACCGATATATAGTTGAATGTGTTGATTGCTTCGTCTACCTTTACCTGCTCCATCGAATTATTTGTCAGTGAAACTATTGAATAGATTCAGTAAATACAGTTGTAATTTGGCGAGTTGTACTGATTTTGGTGCAGAACAGCTATCACCGACCTTATTAGAGGTTGATTATGCATGGCAATAGTTCACTATGGTCTAGCATACAATTATTAAGTTCAAGCCAAATATTTCAATGTAATAAACTAACCACACAATAATAAATGCCTATCTTCAATGTTGTTTGACTGGAGGCAGTTGGCACGAAAACATAGTAGGATGAGAGTTTCAAAATTTTCCATTATGTAAATTAGAACAAGACATATAAGCGAACAATATTGTTTTCAATTAGATCATCTTCAGGCTTTACCCTAATACAAACAGCTTTATATATATATATATATATATATATATATATATATATATATATATATATATATATATATATATATATATATATATATAATTAAACCAGTCATGTAGATTTGTCGGTTGATGTGATAAATGTTTCATATAACGGTGGAGATAATAATACAAATAATAATAACGATAAAGTGATAACATTGACTAAAGCACATGCAATATAGATGATAATGATGATAAGAATCAAGGAAGCAGCATGAAAATGTAGACACTCCGATAATAAGATTGGATCAAAAGCTTGTGAAAATTAAAGTTACGTAGTAGTGGAGGGCGAGGTAAGTGGATAAACAAAAAGGCTTATTAGTAGATCGGAAAACCTGCGACAAGAAACTAGACACATCAAGAATACCCTAGGTCACAATAATTACCCACCAAAATTATAGATAAATTTATAAGAAATCGAAAGGAAAATATTAGTAGTCGTAGTAGTGTGTATGTCGTCTAACCTATGCTTTAAGTCATAAGAGTTGGTAAGTCGAGACTTTGAGTGATTTCTTATTGGAGCTAACACCATTGCTAAATATTTAGACAACTCGTAAGTCGGAGTGTTTCTAAAATCTACTATAGTCCTGATGGGATAACCTGGTTTATAAATCTTAATAGTACCATACATTCTACTGGGATTATTAGTTTTCAGTATTAAACCACATTGACTCACCTAGAAATGGCTTCATCTGGCGTATGAGATCCCCTGTCGATTTCTTGACCTTATTCATAATAGTATCCACTGACTTCTTAATTTCCTCATATGGTCCTGTTTTTTTATGCTCGTTCACCTGCGATAAGAAACTAGACACATCAAGAATACCCTACGTCTCAATAATTACCCATCAAAATTTATAAATAAATTCATAAGAAATAGAAAGAAAAATATTAGCAGTGGTAGTAGTAGTAGTAGTAATACAGGTGTTATTAAAAATAATTCCACTACTAATGATAATAATGGTGACATGGTTAAGAGGGAATTCAAAGCCTCTGTTGTGTTACCATACAAGGAAGGCACCTCAGGAGCATTACGAAGAATTCTCAATAAGGCTGGGATTAAAGTGGTATTCAAACCAACACACCCACTTAGAAACAAGCTCTGTAGGTTAAAAGATCCTTTCGATGCAATTCAGCAAAATAATCTGGTTTACCAGATCCCTTGCAATGATTGCGAGGTCAAGTACAGAGATCAAAGTAGTCGACCAGGGTCAATTAGAATAACAGAGCACAAAAACTTAGTCAAATCGAGATTAGTAGATCCTAATAAGATAAGAAATCCAAAGAAAAGCTCTGGTATAGTTCTGCATGCAATGACACACAATCACATAGTAGGGTGGGATAGGGCGATACTGTTGAAGACTAACTTAATTGAATGCAGGGAGAGATTGATAACCGAATCTTTGTTTATCGAATCAACACTGAGTACATTTAGTAATAGGAATGATTTTACACCTGTCCCAGATATATGGAAAATTCTACTACCCTTGTCACCACAGAGGAGAGAAAATTAGGAATATATCAAGTCTGTCTTGAAGTTATGGAGTTACTTAACTGATATGAATATGGACAATAAATTGTGTCCGAAACGATGTTATCCAGTAAATGATACCGTTCCTTCACGGTGTGATATTTCTAATAAATAGAATAAAATAGATAAAGCCTAGAAAAATACAGTTTATAGTGCATTAGCTGAATACCAACCAGTATGTCGGTGTCCACTTTCGAAATTGAAACTTAAAATACCAGAATATTGTCCACTTTTTTCCTGTTAAATTATTGATGTTATCTGAACTTTTTTTATGTATTCTTGAAATTAACTATATATCATCTACTTTCATTGTTTCGCATTGAATATCCACCTAACTCTGAAAAGATTTCACCTTGGATCTATGTAAATTAGATCCAAAATTGCCATTATTCAATCCGAACAAGTCGAATATCGATCCGAGTACATGGCATTGGTTATTTCCTCATCCAATATATTTATTAAAACCATATATACCTCCCTTGAAATTAACGCATGGTTTAGAATTACCTGATTCCACTGAAGAATTAGACATTGAATTAAAAAAACAAGAATCTCTACTATCTCATCTATATGAACAAATTAAAGCGGGTGAAACAAATCCTGGTAAAGAATATCTACTACGTGATGTAAGTTTCTCCTTAAAATTATCAATAAAATTAATACACTCAAAAATGTAGTTGATAATGTTTGAATAGTATATTAACTATCGTCTGTTAACTGACTTGTAACTGATGTCGCATTAATCAGCCAATATCAACATAGAACTTGGAGGTAAGTTGTCGCATCTCGTACCACCAAGACAATAAGACGAAAGATAGAGAAATAAGAAAAGGAATGGAATCCAAAGTTGCAGAAGATTGTAAGAAGAGAAGAAGGAAAAAAAAAGAGCAAGAAGGAGGGTAAAGTAGATGAAGAAATGTGAGTTGATGATTGGGCTGAAGATAATATGATGTATACACAACTATTGCAACACTACAATCGATTCTGAGGTATATTACCCAGAGTCTTGAACCATCGATTTCGCTTGTCATACAGACTTTAACTGAGAAGTCTACCTTACAAATCATTTATCACAGATTTTATGAACTAATGAGTTAAGGGAATAATTATGCTTGGGTCTTATAGCCTTATTTGTCGAACATAGCATGAGTTTTGACTTTCTAAGCCTATTGTTCAATTTAACGATGGTTTCAGATCAAGTTTGCTGTTTTTTAAACTTGCTATCAATATCTTTAGAGGTGAAAGAGATTGAAGGTGACATAGTCTCCATAACAGAGAGATGTGAAGAAAGATTAGAGGGCAAAAATTTGAAAGATTGAGTGGTAACCTAATTGTGATGGCAGTTGATAATTCCTGATTTGTAACACCACCGAAGATTATTTCTTCTTTAGGTGCCTAAAACAGAAGTCGTAAAAGTGGCGCATAACCAAAGAGCTCAAGCTACATCTGTTTGGGGAAAACCACATATCACCTTTTTTTAAAGTTGACATTTCGGTTTTTCTGAGTTGAATCGTGGCTATAGAAACGTATACTGCCGGCACTGGAATCTGGCAGGGAAGAGAGGCACTGGGCCATTTTTAGGGTTAACCTTTTTTAACCCTCCTTCTGATAAAAAAAGGTAGCATCAACATGAAATGCTGGCTTACAACGATGAACATCTTACTGTTGTCATATTCCATGAACCCAGCGGTCCAACTCCAGCATAGCGTCAGCTATTTACATTAATACGGTAATTACTTTTAGTATTGCCACTATCCAACAGATCTTTCTGCTGTGGTCGAGAATTAAGGAACAATTATTCGAGACAGCCTAGCTGGTTGCCTCAATGTAATAGGGAAGCGCTATCTCCACGTCATCCACTGCTGGCCGGCGCCATACACATTGTGACATCAATTTCCGGGTAGTACCGAGGAGTGATCATCCCCATATACCAACGAAGGTTAATCATTTCGATCCGGTATAAAGGGCGAAAACTAATAAGTTGGCAGAAAAGGCAAGACAGCGAAGACCGGATTTCAGGTGAACGTAGAAAAGATACAGGTGATGAAGATATCCAAACAATAACAAGCACCAATCAACATCAACGATAAAAGTCTAAAGGAAGCTGTCTCTTTCACTTCCTACCTAAGCAGCATTGTTTCAACTAAAAGCAGCGGCACAGGCACAGACATATAAGGATGTCAAAGCAGCCAGGATCGGAAAGACAGCAAGACAGGCCTTCATTAATCTTAAATAATCAGTGTGAGTATCTACTGTACTGTACTGTACTGTACTGCATTCAGCATAAAGCGTGAACAAGATCCGAATTTTCAACAATCTCAAGTCAGTGCTTCTATGTGATGGCTGAGAGAATTGACGTGTCACGAAAAGACATACATCACATGAGCAGCTGCCACCTACACTCACTCGATACTGACAATGAAGATGATCAGATGGCGAGAATAATAAGAATAAGCAACAAGGAACTGACTCTGGTTGGCTGGCTGGCTGGCTGGCTGGCTGGCTGGCTGGCTGGCTGGCTGGCTGGCTGGCTGGCTGGCTGGCTGGCTGGCTGGCTGGCTGGCTGGCTGGCTGGCTGGCTGGCTGGCTGGCTGGCTGGCTGGCTGGCTGGCTGGCTGGCTGGCTGGCTGGCTGGCTGGCTGGCAACGAAGCAAGAACCTATCACCCAACAAATATGCAGAAGACGAAAGTGGATGTGGATTGGATTGGAGTGGACATACACTGAGAAGACGGTTTGGGGACATCACGCGCCAGACCAGACCAGACCAGGCCAGGCCGTCGAGTGGAACCGAAATGAGGAACGATGAGTTGGGTGTGGGAGTGTGACATGTAGGAGATGATGTGAAGAAGAAATGAGAGTTTATGGGGAGTCGTGGAGCCAGGTTAAAGAGACTAGAGAGAAGAGAGTGAAGTGGCGACGTTCTACTGAAGCCGTATCTTCCACTAGGAACCCCAGGGATAAATAAAGTAATAATAATAATAAGGGGAAATTATAAGTTTCAATGAATAAAGGAACTCGAGAATTTCACCACCTTAAATCCACTATTTGCTACATTCACCAATTCTGAACTTCATAGAACGACCATACAATCAGCTTCAGAGTTACTTCATGGTCTCTCGAAAGTTACCGCAGAACAGCAAATTTCTATGATTCCATCTATGAAGCACATTTTTTAACATTTTTTAAAATGTAGTGAAAAATCTCTTAAATGCCACAAATATCGATAAAAATGTTTGATGGAATAGATAGTTGATAAAGGTTTACAATCCCGTCAACTGACTTTACTGTTCACTTTATACTCAATCGTGTTACCTAACACGAGCTATACAACGAAGATAATGGTTGTTAAATACCCCAGGTTACTTACAGTAAACCTCACATCTTTTGTTTTGGTCATAGCTGACTTAACCTTTATTGGTCATTAATCCACTAAGATTGTTACAACTTGTCGAATAGGTGAAGGAGTTAGCGTAATCAATTATTTTGTATCCTATTGCGTGTAACCTTCAAAATTCATATTGATTAGTTTTCAGTGTATCTTTTTCACTTCAGGTTCAGCATATTGTTACTGAAATAAAACGTCGTAAAACACTAACTGATCCAGAGGCTATTCGACAAGAAATAATTAAACAGCAAGCACAATTGGATAAATTACATTTAGCAATAGCTCAGAGTACAATAACTGATGCACATTCAGACACATCGAGTGGATTATCACAATCGAAAGATACCTCATTACCCAGCAGTGGTCAGCGTCGAAGGTGAGTTTTTAAAAGATTTATTATTATTGTTGTTGGCATTCCGGCAAAATTCTCGGCGATCGAAGGGAAATTAAAGTCTGGCCTGCGGCTGGGTCTCGTGGCTCAGTTGGTAAACCAGTGGGCCGATAACCCGTAGGTCGCTAGTTTGAATCCTGCTTTGACTTGTTTATTTCATATGTTGAATGCGTTTACTATTTCTACTGGGTGACGACTGAAGGTGAGATAAAAATTTGGACCGCGGCCGGAGTCGAGCCAGCCACCACCGGGTTACCGGCCAGGTGCTCTACCAACTGAGCTACGAGGTCTGACTGCTGACCAGGATTTTATCTCATTTCTATCACCGAGGGTTTCGCCCGACCATTATGTGAATCCGTGACGCGTTACTACCGCTTGATCGTATTCACACTGGGTGCCTAGTCAGGACTTCTCATCCAAATCTAAGTGAATTAGAGAGGGGGAGCATCATATTGATTATGATTTGACTACCTGAGATAGCCGTAGTTTTGCAGACTAGTATTTATGATGGGTGATGATTGAAGGTGATTGAAGTGAAATAAAGTTCTGGTCAGCAGTCGGACCTCGTAGCTCAGTTGGTAGAGCACCTAGCTGGTAACCAGGTGGTCGCTCGTTCTAATTCGGCCGCGGTCCAGGTTTTCATCTCACCTTCAGTCATCACCCAGTACAAATACTCGTCTGCCAAACTACGTTTACCGTTTCACTTACTTAGGTATTTAGAATCACCCCTGATAAACCACTGATCTAAGAAGTCTTTGAATAAATACCAGATGCCTTGATTGACTCCAGCCCACTTACACCATCTATGGTTCCAGTAACATATGTGATTGTCTCCTCAGAGTCGAGTGTATACTGCATAGTAGTTGAAATCGCTACTCATAAATTACTGATCATTGCTCATATCATTAGCTAGTATTTCTTTAGGATCAGGTGTTTGTTTGGATACATTTATAACTTGTGGTCATTATGTGGTCTAAGATATCTTTCTACATGAATCAATCTTCCTGCTTGTATTATAAATTTACCGCCTACGACCGATATATCCGTACATTTTGGCACTTTGTAGAAGCATTTGATGATTTGACCGCATCTTTTACTTTTCTCAAGATGTCGCCTGATTTTTTGTCCAAATGGAATTCATTTAATCCAAATAAATTTGGTATTACTCTGATACAAATCACTTAGAATAGTTTCTATTTACAGATACAAGATTGTTAAGCTTTGGAGATGGGGAAAGTCTAAGTTATTGATTGCTGAGGGTTGTCAAAGGTTCCTGGTTGTCTACGTTATGAAAGGTCCCTTCTTCTTGAAGTATTTGAGAAAAGAAGACAGTTGGTATAACACATTTGGTAGTGGCTAGCAGTGGAATCCAGAATGCGCGTTTCGCCCCTTTTTGCACTCATCAGCTTGGTTGATTTGTATCCCAGTGAGTGATGATACTCTTTCTACTGATATTTGAATCCAGCAATATCGAGGCATCAGTTCAATTTGCCTATATGTCAACGGAAACCAACGATCATCTCTGTGTAGTGTGATAATTAGTGATAAATTGGAAAAAAAAACCAATAAATAGCCAAAAAAAAATTAGTATTCGCTCTGAATTTCTACATTCCGTCTTATCTGGAATAGCAATACTGCTTCACTGGATAAATGCTGACTCTTACTGACTGTTCTTACATAGCTCTTCAGTTAACAATATGACTTCATTCTCAAACTTTGTACCTTTTTCATACTAATTACTCTTATTTGCATAGTTGACCTGGGGTAAAACTTAGAGAAATAGGCCACTAAAGGTATTAGTCAGTAACAGACTTATCGTATAAGGTGTATTCTTACTTGTGTAATTCCCGCTTAGTATGTTAGAACAAATAACCAAATGAAACAAATATTTTGTATTATTCGCCAACGTTTCGATCTTACTAGGAAGATCCTTTTCAAGAGTAAGAATCTGACATTAAGTTTTCACGGTAATATTCAAGTTTTGATACAGATTGCGACTATCCAATAACATCTTGCCGTGGGAAAAAGATCAATATGCGATGTAGGTGAGTAAATTCGGGCAACTTTAAAGGCCACCTTAACAACTGCGGAAGTAATTAATCAAGTTTCGTTATTATGTCTAGCAAGGTTATTTTTTATAAATTATTATTATTATTATTATTATTATTATTATTATTATTATTATTATTATTACTATTAGTCCCTTGGGTTCCTAATGGAACATAGGGCTTCAGTAGCACATCTCCAGTGAACTCTGTTCTCTGAAATCTTTTGATCCGGCTCCACGACAGCCAGAAGCTCTCATTTCCTCCTCGCACCATCTCCTCCATTTCACCCTCACGTGGGACGTCCAACTCGTCGCTTCCCACCGGGGGTTCCACTCGAGGGACTGGCCTGACGCATGATGTCCCCAGTCGGCCTTCTCAGTGTATGCCCAATCCATCTCCGCTTCCTTCTGCATATATGTTGAGGAATAGCTTCTTGAATGGTTCGTTCCCACAGCTCCTTGTTGCTTATTCTTCTGATTCTGGCCATCTGATCTTCAGTAGTTTGTTGGAAATGACTTTCGTAATGCGCCAAGTCTCTGAACCATACAGAAGCACTGACTTGAC